GTTGTTATCTAGAGGATTTATTGTGATTTGTGGAGTTTATGTTGTTGAATTAATGAATGTGAGACATTAAGTTGCTAATTTAGATGTATTTTCGATGCAAAAGGAATTGAAATGTAGGTTTGAGATTTTAATTTTAGGCGATTTTAGGTTTTTTCCCCTTGCTGTGCGATCGGTTTTGACCGGTTAACAGTCGGTTTTGGCGGTTAACATTCGGGTCTTGGCGGTTAACTGTCAGTTCTTGGCGGTTACTGGTCGGGTTTTTGCGGTTGCTGGTCGGTTAGGTAGTTAAACCGAACCGCCCATCAATTTTTCGGTTGCCCCGGTTAAACTGCACCTGAATCGAAAACTGCCCGGTCGGTTTGCGGCTAACTGGGGCTCTAGGACGGTCGGTTGACGGTGGCCACTGGTCAGGTCTCGGTTTAACCAAAAACCAAGAATTCGATTTTCGATTAAACCGAAACCGACCGGTTGCTAGCCCTACTACTCGTAACCTATCCTAACCACCTAGTACTTTCTAGGCTAAATACAAAGCAATAACAATAAAAAAATTAATAACACAATTTAACTTAATTTAATTTGTTAATATATCAAGTATTTCCCGCCCTAACGGGCCGGGCCTTTCGGCAATCGGCGGTAAGCCAGTAAGTGACAAACAAGACTATAAAAAATTAAGACATCGACTACCTAACTAACATTTCTCCACAGTGTCTCTTCCCTTCTTTATCGAGAAACCGCCGAGGAAGTAGTGGAGAAGTAGCGCCTCTGCCATATTTGTCTTCTACGGGAACGACGCGCCATTCAAGCTTTGAACAAAGGCCTCGTCGGTGGGGTTTTGCGGTGGATTTACCCGTGTGATCATCGTAGAGCAACGTTGATTGTTTACCGCCCTTGGTATTTGGCGCTGGGGTTTCTCGAATTAGGGATTTTTCTTTTTAGGGTTCTTGGTTAGCCAAACGGAGAGAACAAAGCGACCATATGCAACAAAAGATGCAGCAGCCACAACAGATGATGCCCATGATGCCTTCGTTTCCGCCTTCAAACATCACAACTGAGCAGATCCAGAAGGTATTCTTTTTGTAGGATGGTGGTCATTTATGTGCTCTGTTCTTGGGTGTAGTTGAGATTGAGTTGTCTTTTTGAAGCGGAAAGTTTAGAGCTTTACGGTTTTTGTTTCAGAAGGAATGATTGGGTCTAAGTATTGGATGTCTGGCTTTTAGATGCTAGTAGCAGTAATCATTAGCTCAGGATCAGGAAGCAATGGGCTTGTTCCTTGAAAAGTTGGTGTCTTCTGCTCTTAGCTCTTTGCCCATTCCAGATTATTGATTTTTTATCTACTTGATTGCTCAATGATGTCTGATTGTATGGGCTTGCACTTGCAAGGCACTTATCAATGTTATATATTGCTAGTGGAATAAACTGAGATGGTGATTAAGCACACTTCATGATGCGCATGTAGGAAATTTCTGCGGATTGAGAGTGCCATTGTAGGTTTTTTCATATGGATTTTATGTGTTACCTTTTTGTTGGGTCAGCGATGTTGGCTGTTGCGTGTCTGTTTCTGTGACCATGAAACCGAGACAACATACAAGTTTGCCTTGTTAGACTGTATTCTTCTGAAGTTATATGGCAAGTACTTATTAGTGTATTAGTAGGTTTGGGCCATCTTATGCTCGCATCGCATTAAGTTAGAGTTGACATGGTATGGGAAAGTTAAGCTGTATGCTATCTTTATTGATGTGTTAATATTAGGAAATGGTATTTGCACACGTGGCGATGGCGCCGTGTGATCTTGTTTTGGTGGATCTTTTGAAATGTTTGTTGCTGTGGAATTTCTGTCAGGTTGATGCTCTAAATATTGTAAGTAGGCCAAGTTGTTTAATTCAATCATTTATGATCTTTCAATTGATCGCAGACTCCACGTGTTACCAGTCGTTTTTTGTTTTTATTTGCTCTGTGTTTGACAATCTACGGCTTGTGCTATAATCTTATGCATGTAGGTTTTTCTAACGCTCGATTCTGTATTTAATGCTTGATGCAGTTTCTTGATGAGAACAAAAAGTTGATCTTAGCCATATTGGACAACCAAAACCTCGGCAAGCTGACTGAATGTGCCCAGTAAGAAGTCATTGACTAATGCATCTGACATATGTGTGCTTGACTTTTTTACTCTTCGTGTGTACTGTCTGTAACTGAAGATAACCACTAATATTGCAATTGAATTCCAAGAAACCTGGAACATAGAAATGCCATTGAGTTCCATCTCAAAGTCCAAAATAGAGCTATTGACTCATAATCTGCTGTGGCATACATCTTCGTAATTGTTCTGACCACAACTGCTTCCTGCCACCATGACTTTCCTGCCTTCTCCTCATCCAATGTGATTGCCCTGTTCATTCTTGATTGTTTGTTGGTACTTTTGTTCCTTTGGCTTTCTAATTTTGTGAAATCTATACCTTTCTTGACAACGGTGTAGCCTTCATTAAAGCCTTCTGAGACAAGCTTGGAGATTAAGACATGTAGGACGTTGTTACATATAGTAGGGTCATGGTACACTTCCTCTTTTGCTTCTTAAGCTTTAGCTCTGTCAGAACAAGCCAGTGCTGGTGTGTCACTGTTTTAAGCAAGCGTAATCTTAGGGTGGGATAAGATTACAGAAGTATTAGTTTGTCTCTGAGTCATGCAGCCTTGTTTGTTTAGTATGGCTAGTTTTACTTGCATGTCGGGCCTCCCACAGATGCTAGTACTTTACTGTTGCTGTTTGTTTTGACAACTTACAGGATAGGTCACTGTTTTGTGCATCATATGATAGGGTGATTGGCCATTAGAACTCTGGATTTTCAAGAATCCGAAGTTTCATTTATTGTTAAGATATTGGTTTTGTATGTTCAATTGGCATTGGGTGCTCACTATTTACTGTGATTTCTTACTTGTCTTGATTTTAACTATGTAGATACCAAGCACAACTGCAGAAGAATCTAATGTATCTAGCGGCTATTGCTGATGCCCAGCCACAGGGACCTGCGATGCCGCCTCAGGTTGGTATATTGAACACACCGATCATCTACATATCTATTTTTCCCATTGACACGTCTCTAACTCAAACATTTTGCCACTCGCGTCAGATGTCTCCACATCCAGCAATGCAACAAGGAGGATTTTACATGCAGCAGCATCCACAAGCACAAGCACAAGCACAAGCACAAGCACAAGCTCAAGCTCAAGCAGCAGCAGCAGCAGCAATGGCTCAGCAGTCGCCAGGGGGTTTTCCCCCAAGGAATATGCCATTACAATATAACAACCCCCCACATCAAATGCAGGATCATCCACAACAATTACACCACCAACAAGCGATTCATGCACAACAGATGGGAATAAGGCCGCCCTTGGGGGTCAACAATGGCATGCATCATTCCATGCAAGCTGGCGATCCAAATCTAGGAAGCAGTGGGCCCTCCCCAGCAGCAGCAGGAGCAGGATCAGGATCGAATAAACAAGATGCACCACCTGAAGCTGGAACAACCGGTGGTGATCGCCAGGGTAGCCCAGCTGCTGGTGAAGGTGGTGTGCAAGCGAAATAACCAAACTGGGTTTTGAATAAAACATGAATGTGCCCTCTGCTGTTTGATTAGTTGGCATATTCATACAGTGAGCAGGATCTGTTTCTTGTGGTTCTCTTTTTGATGTTGTGAACCCAGAACTGAAGTCCTCTTGGTTTTCTTGTTAGTGTTTGACAGAGTAGTTCTCTAGCGTAAGTTGTTTGGTGTCTGGTATGGTTTGAAGTAATCTAAACCAGAGCTGTAGTTTCCTTTTCTTTCTGTTCCTTATCTGTAGGGTTAGTTTCAGACGAGTCGTTTCGTGTTGTAATCTGTGTGGTATGTGTTGTACTGACTGATAGAGCTGTCAAAATTGAACCCGACTAACCCGCCCCACACACCCGACCCACAATCCGTCCGTAACCTGATTTGATAAAAAGTCAACCACCCCAAGCCCGTCCGTAACCCGAAACCAATTGACCCGTAATCCGATCAACTCATTACTCGATGAACTCGTTATTTGATCCAACCCATAACTCGACCCATCTATAACCCGAATGATTCATAATCCAAAAAACTCGTGACTGAACCGAACTCGAATAACCCGAATAACCCATTTGACCCGAATGCTTGTCCAAAAATTCAATGTATACATAATTATATTTTTAAATTTACCAAGAAAGAATTGTTGTTCTCATAAGAATTGAAAATTATTTGTAGAATTGATGATATAAATTGAGGTTTTTTCTTAAATATTTAATTTTTAAAATAATAATATGTGAAATATCTTTTCATTCATTTTTTATTTTATGAAATTCAAAGGATAAATTTTTGAAGATAATAGGAAGAGTTAGACACAAATTCGTATCTCCACAACCCATAACTATATTAAACAATCAACCCTTGAAAATCAATGAAATCCCCAAAATCAATGAAATCAATGATCCCTACCAAGATATATGAGTGAATAGTTTACCCTTTTTACTTCATTCTCAACTTTTTACTGATTTTATTTATTTTGTATAAATTAATAAACGATTCGAACTAGATGCTAATATCATGTTTGAGCGAACCGTTGTTCGACCCATGAGTTTTAGGATGAGATGTTACTGTGAATATATAAAAAAATTGTGAAGATATATAAGTGGGTGATTCGGAATGATGTTCATAAGTCTTCGTGGAAATGAAGAGACACACATATAGTTCATACTATATTTAATTAAGACGATTCATTTCGAGATGTATAAGCATATAGTCTACCTTTTTTACTTCATTCTCAAATTTTTACTGATTCAATTTTTTATTATAAATTGAAGTTACAATCTCTACCATAAACAAAAAAATTATAACCAACAACAAAGCTTTCATATACACTATTTTATTTATATTTAGTTCTTATACTAACATAATGAATATTTAATTTGTATGTGTAAAATATTATCATATTATCATTTTCTTAAATTTGGTATCATTACCTACAATTTATATTCATATATTTTTTTTAGGGAAATAAATATTCATATATTGATAGTTTGTAAAACATTATTTCTGTCAAGAAGTAAATGATCCAATGGTTTGACCCGAATAACCCATAATTCGATCTGACCGAACCCGAATTAACCTGTAATCCAATAAACCCGTAATTTGATGCACCCGTAACCCGACCCGATCCGTAACCCAATTGACCAGTGACCTGATTGACTCGTAACCCAATTGACCTGCAGCCCAATTAAACCCGATCCAAATTGAAACCGACCCGATTGAACCCAACCTTATTAGACTCAATCCGAACCCGACCCAACCCGCCCAATTGACACCTCTAACTGATGAAACTCCTCGTAGCAGAAAATCTCGATTTCCTCGGGAAGTTTTCCATTTCTTGAGTTGGTAGTGGAAATCATATTAGATCGGGTCGAGAAAAGTAACAATAACGAGGAAATTTCTTCTATTAGAGATACAATATACCATCTTTATTATTTGAGTCGATCTCATCACCATGCATTCATAGGCAGAAAAAGAATGAACAAAATATTCAGGCAAGTAAAAATAACCAAAGTATTGAGTTGGAAAGAAACAAAATCAAGAGGTCCGCAGCACCCAATGCTGGCCATCGATCTGGACTGTATGCCCATACATCTGGGCAAACAAATGAACCGCCCGTCTGACCGAACGCCTATCCCCCACCATGAAATAGTCATGCCCAAACATGACCCCACCGGGTCGCAACAACCGGTACGCCCGGTTCAAATCGGACCAAATCGAGGTAAACTCATGACCCGCGTCGATCTCGATCAGGTCCGCGGTGACCCCCCACTCGCACAACACGGACAGGGTCGAACCGGCCGAGAACGGTAGCGGGAGGACCGAACCGGTCACGTTGGTATAAACCGCGTTCTGCATGAACTGATACAACAGCGTGACGGCGCCATTGACTTGTTTGATAAAGGGGAACTCCTCCCTGAACCCGGCCCAGCCCCGGAAGTCGTCGATGCACAGAATGACCGTGTCGTCGAGCCCGAGCTCACGCGCCAGCTTGGCCATGTGGACGGTGGACGCGCCGAGAAAGGTCCCGACCTCGATGATGACCTCGGGCCGGACCTCCTCGAGGAGGTGGCGGAACACGGGCGTGGTGGAGCCCCAGCCCTTGAGGCACTTGTGGCGGAGGGATCCGGCCACGTGCGGCGGCGGGAAGTCGGAGAAAGGGGAGGTGCCGCCGTAGACGCGGTCGATGAGGGTTTGTCGGATTTGGCGGGTGGGTAAGGGGTTGGCGGCGCAGTTGGGGGAGGCTCGGAAGTTGTCAAGCTCGGCTGGGAGAGTCATGGCGGTGGCGGTGGCGGTGGCGGTTGTTGGTAGTTGGGAGTCGGGGTGGTTGTTGTTGTCGTCGGCGGCGTAGAAGTAGCCGATGTAGAAGGAGAGGAGGATGAGGAGTGTGTAGATTGCTGTGGAGTTGAAGGACTGTTTGTTGCTGCCGTGGAGGCTCTTTCCGTCTTTCATCTTAATTTCTTTCTCTATATTATGAGGCTAGGAAAAGTGGAATGAGGAAATGTGGCATGCATTTGCGTATCTGTTATAGGTAAATGAGTATACGTACGGCAGCGACAATGGAATTAGGAAGAACGGAAAAGAAAGGAGGTACGTGCGCATGCATGTCCATTTTGAAATTAAATCGCAGTCCATGTAGAGTTGATAGGAGGAGGAAATAAGAAAAACGAGTTATGGGGATGTCCATGTAGAGTATGTGACGCATATTAATTAGTACAAAGACAATGGAGATTGGATTCCAGCAATTTCCTCTCGCCAAGTCATTTGGTTGGTGGGGAAAGCAATATTGGAGATTGGATAGGGCAAAATTTGTACTTGTTTACAAGAATCAATTATAATTGATCGTGCTTATGCTTTTCTAAGGACTAGTTACGGTAACAACACTCCTTGTATTGTTATTGTAACAACACTAGCCTCCAACCAATAGGAATCTAGGATTGTGATGACTTTTTATGAGATGAGTTGACCTAGTGTAAAACCAAAGCAGGGGTATAATTGTCATTATGAAAAATATATTTAAATAATAAAAAATAAAAAAATAAAAAATATTTTTTTATTTTCGGCCCAAAATTTTGGTCGCTGGAATTCGGTCATCGGTCGCCGGAATCTGGTCGCCAGTCACCGGAATATGTTTTTTTGTCGCCGGAATATGCTATGTTGTCATCAGAATATGCTTACCGGCGTCGGAATATGCTTACCGGCATCGGAATCTAGTCACCGGGGCCGGAATATGCTTATCGGCGCCGGAATCTGGTCACTGACGGTCATCGGAGTTTGGTCAACGAACTTCACCTGATGTTATGGTCTGCATTGTGAGATTTATGGTTTGGTTTCTCGTATTTTTGTATGCCTTTTGTGGTTTGTTTTATCGTGTTTGTGGTTTGCATTAAGAAGTTTCTGGTTTGCTTTATCGTGTTTGTGGTTTGCATTGAGAAGTTTCTGGTCTGCTTTATCGTGTTTGTGGTTTGCATTGAGAAATTTCTGGTTTGCTTTCAAAAATTTTGTGGTTTGCATTGAGGGGTTTCTGGTTTGTTTTAATATATTTGTGGTCTGCATTAGGACGTTTATGGTTTGATTTTTTGTGGTTTGATTTACTGTGTTTGTGGTTTGCATAAGGAGGTTTCTGGTGTGCTTCGCAAATGTTGTGGTTTGCTTTGTGAGGTTTGTGGTTTGTTTTAGGAGATTTGTGGTATGCATTCGGAGGTTTCTGGTGTGCTTTCTTGTGTTTCTGGTTTGCATTAAGAAGTTTATGGTGTGCTTTCGAAAATTTTATGGTTTGATTTGTGGGGTTTCTGGTTTGTTTTAATATATTTTTGGTCTGCATTAGGAGGTTTGTGGTTTGCTTTACCGTGTTTGTGGTTTGCATTATGAGGTTTCTGGTGTGCTTTCGGAATATTTGTGGTATGCTTTGTGGGGTTTTTGGTTTGTTTTAGGGGATTTGTGGTATGGATTGGGAGGTTTCTGGTACGCTTTTTGTGAATTGTTTTACCGTGTTTGTGGATGGCAGGTTTATGAGTGCATTATAAGTAACAACATCTCGTCCAAATTCAAAAGTTTGCATCTCCTTGTAGACGTCCAGAGCCTCCTCAAATTTACCAAGGTTAGCATAAACCGAGAGCAATGTGTTGTACAAAACTCTATCCAACTCAATCATAATGCTATAAGTAACGACATTTGGAAACATCTTCTCTCCAGGCATCTCAGACATAATCTTCAAAGCTATATCTAATTGCCCAGCTTTACAAGCAGAGTGTTGTATGTAATTCAATTAGGTACTGGCGGCTGTTCTTCAAAGCTATATCTCAGACATTAATCTCGAAAGCACATAATTTGGCCGCTTCGCAACAACACTAACATAAACATAATTTTTTTTTTCATTACGTCACTTAGATCTCGGGCACAGCGGTTCCCCGCAGAAATGAATATTCACTCGCCGGCGGGGGGAACTGAATACGATGGTGATGCCCGTGCGGAGCAAGCTGCGGCGACGGCGGCTCCGTCGGTGGGGACCTCGGACTTGCTGTTGGAGCAGGACTCTGCGGTTTACCTGGCGTCTGACTTATTGGCGTCACCGCCAGGAATTTCGTAAAACGATGGTGGCGGTGGTGATGATGGTGTCGATGGGGCGGCAGCGAGATGATTGGAGGCTGCGATGGCGGAGCTGACGGTGCATGACTTGGCGGCTGCGTGATGATCGGGAAAAGACGGTGGTGGCGATGACGGTGGGGCGGCGGAGGAGAAGGGTCGCAATGGTGAGAGATGAGATCTGACGGTGTGTTAATTAACTTTATTTTATTATTTTCTATCTAATTTACCCTTTTACCCTTAATGAATTTTGTTGTTATAATAACAACACTAAGAGTGTTGTTATTCTATCCGAGTCCCTTTTCTAATATGATTTCAAGAAAATATATATTGTACTAACCATAATTTTTTATATTGATATAAAATAATAATGATCATTTGTAATATAATTGAGGAGAAATACTTGTGGCCAAACCCTTGTTTGTAAGAGATCCGGTATATTTTGCTGCCCCAGGGCTTCTCCAATCTCACGACCTTGAGGCGTTTTGACGCCTCCATGAGCGACTTGACCGGGACCATTCCCGACGAGGTCTGTGGGCTGGACCTCGAGTCGCTCAATTTGTTCGAGAATCGGATTCAAGGGAGCCTGCCCGAGAGTATAGCCAGCTCCCCCAACTTGTACGAGCTCAAGCTCTTCAATAATCAGATGAACGGGACTCTGCCCGCTCGACTTGGTCTCAACTCCCCGCTGATGCGGCTGGATGTCTCCTACAATGGCTTCTCCGGTGGGATCCCACCGAATTTGTGCGCCAAAGGATTGCTTGACGATGTGATTCTCATCTACAATTCTTTCTCCGGGAACATCCCGAAACATCTCGGGAAATGTCGTAGCTTGGGTCGAGTTCGATTGAGGAACAACCGCTTGTCCGGGCCGCTCCCCGACGACATGTGGGGAGTGGGGACTCCCCAGGATGTACTTGCTTGAGCTCGACGGGAATTCCTTGACCGGCCAAATCTCCAGGAAAGTTTCCTCTGCTTTTAACCTCTCACTTCTGCTTATGTCGAGCTGGGGGTTTTTGGGGAATTTGATTGAATCCACGGCTAGTCATAATCGACTCAGTGGCCGAATCCCGCAGAGTTTGGCGCAGATGAATCAACTCGGCAGGCTGGTTCTGAGCAGCAATGAATTGTTCGGGGGAGTTTCCCGCCGGAGCTCAAGGTTGGAATAGCTAGTTTGAGCTCAATTTGGCCAACAACAACTTGTCACGCCAAAGCCCAGCCGGGCTAGGAAGCTTGCCGGTGCTCAGCTATCTTGATCTTTCAGGGAACCAGTTTTAAGGCAAAATCCCAACAGATCTCCAGGAGTCGAGCTGGGGTTTTTGGGGAATTAGTGGCGAGGAAGCGCCCTTTTAAATTTGTAATTATAATATTTTTTTGTTTTATTTATTTTACTTTTAATGTAAAATGAGTTGGAAATGATAGAAAATTAAAATTTATTTTATTTATTATTTTTTAATTGCCACGTCACTGAGTTAACGGTCAACTTTGAGGGTTGACTGCCACATCAGACAAATTTAACGGAGTTGGACGGAGAGTGACCAAACTTGAACCATTTAACTAATTTGAGTGACCAAGATTGGATTTAAATATTTACAGTGACCAAATATGAACGTTTTTTGTAATCTCAGTGACCAGCCATGCAATTAACCCGTTTAGTTGCAAAAAAATAAATTATTTGATGAACGTGCAACATATAGTATGCTTAAGTGGCTATCCGTGCATGTTGCCCCTATTTTTGTGTGCGCGCTATTGTTTTTCTTTTTTGATTATGATGGGAAATTATTCTAACCTTCATCAATTTAGTGGTGTCATAGCTGAAATAAATTTTGGATATGGTTGGCTCAGATGAAACTGTACCGAAGAAAATGTTTTTTTTTTAGGAATATGTTCATATTGGAATTTGAACTTGGCATTTTCACGTTAAAATTAATAGTGTTATCTACACTCCTTTTATTGTGTTAGTGTCATCTTGACCATGACCATGATTCTTTTTTTTTTTTTTTTGAATATTTATGAAACTCAAACCCAAATTGATTTCGCGCAATTGAAATTACCGGGGAGTACTTGTACATTTATGTATTGATAAGACAATTCACGATTTCTTGAATCTCGATATCTCCTCTGACCGAGGCATCACCAATTCATCATCACGATCCATTTATAAAGTTGGTTTGATAGATAATGTGGTTTGAATACACGAGAAGGGTTAAGTTTCTTTGTTCAAATAAAAGAGGAAAAATACAATTAACCTTTTCTATCGTTTGAATCTCATCACATACACATAATAAGTTGGGCAAATGAAGCAATTTGGTATAAAAAATACGAGAACCCAAATAACCAACGCAATAATACGTGGGGATATGATATTATCTATCATACCCTACATTCAAATATCACCAATCATCCATATGTAGAAAAGTAAGAAACAAAATTCGACTTCAAACTTGGGAGAACCAAAATCAGGAGGTGTGGATCACCCAATGCTCGCCATCGGTCTGGACCCTCAGCCCATAAATCTGAGCAAACAAATTAACCGCCCGCCTCACCCCACGGTTATCCCCCATCCGAAAATAATCATGCCCAAACATAACCCCACCGGGTCGCAACAGCCGGAACGCCCGGTTAATATCGGACCAAGCCGAGTTAAACTCGTGACCCGCATCGATCTCGATCAGATCCGCGGTCACACCCCACTGGCACAACCTGGAAAGGGTCGAACCGGTCGAGAACGGGAGGGGCAGGACCGAATCGGTCACATTACTATACACCACGTTCTGCATGAACTGATACAACAGCATCACGTCGCCGTTGATGTGGTTGATGAACTGGAACTGCTCTCGAAACCCGGGCCAGCCACGAAAATCATCGATGCAGAGAATGAGCGTGTCGTCGAGGCCGAGCTGACGTGTCAGGGTGGCCATGTGGACGGCGGAAGCGCCGAGGAAGGTGCCGACCTCGATGATGATTTTGGGGCGGACCTCCTCGATGAGGTGGCGGAAGACGGCGCCCTTGGATCCCCAGCCCTTGAGTTTGCGGTCGCGGAGGGAGTTGGCGACGTGGGGAGGTGGGAAGTTGTCGAAGGGGGACGCGCCGCCGTAGACGCGTGTGAGGATGGTTTCGCGGATGAGGTCGGTGGGTATGGGGTCGATGCAGTTGGGTGCGACGCGGAAGTTGTCGATCTCCGGTGGGAGGGTCATGGCGGCGGTTGTGGCTGCGAGCCGTGAGGGGAAGTTGATGGTGGCGGCGGCGGAGGAGGAGGAGGAGGGGGAGAAGGAGGTGGAGGTGGCGGTGTAGTAGCCGGCGAAGAAGGCGAGGAGGGCGAGAGTGAGGTAGAAGAGTTGGGAGGTGAAAATGGAGCGGCAGAGGGATGGTTTTGGGGCTCTTCTGTTGCCGTGGAGGCTCTTTATCTCGTGATCTTTCATCTTTTGTGTGTTGAGTTAGGGGCTTGTTTGAGGTTGGTTTAATTTGGGGAATGTACGTTTGTATGTGGAGATATATATGGGACTTTGGAGGGGAAGAATGGTGGCAGCAACGTTGTTGTTATTATTATTATTATTATTATTATTATTATTATTATTATTATTATTATTATTATTATTATTATTATTATTATTATTATTATTATTATTATTATTATTTTTTTTTTTTTTTTTTTTTTTTTTTTTTTTTTGAAGAATGGGAAAAAGGAGATAGGCACGTATGCATATGTCCATGTTGAAGTTGCGATCTTGAAGTTGATGGACTCACAAATTAGAAAAACGGGCTCTAGCTAGGGGATGTCCATGTAGAGAATGTGACGGATATTGATAGAAGAAAATAATTCGAGTGATTTTATGTGCGTACTAGTCTCCAACGCCAATCTCCTGCCATTCGTCTTAAATCTCGTTACGTTGGTCTTCAATCTCACGTGTTAGAATTGATGAATCGGGTTCGATGGAGTCTATTTCCTCCCTAATTCCGCAATCATGCGCTCTGGCAAATTGCTACCCAACGCCCTCGTGCGTCCCTGCTCATGGCGTTTCCCCATCCCTGGCACCCTTTCCAGTGGCTTTTGCCTATTTTTACATGGGTTTCAACGGAGTTGCGGGCTGGACCTTCCGGCGGGCGGCGAGCCTTACCTGCGAACGACTAGGCTAGTGGGCTGCGGACGGTTATCATTTGATGGCGGTTACAATTCTAACGGATAGCGGTTACAAGTCCAAACGGATCCTACCCTGTGTTAAGCTAAGTGGACAGTTATCATTTCTTACTTAGTTGTATATTTTTATTATTTTTATTTTTATTATTATCTTCACCCTTGTTTTATGTATTTTTTATGGGGTTGTATGGTTTTTGTACTCAGTGCCGATGAAAAATTGCTTGTCGTACATGAAGTGTATTTCCTCCACTGGTTGGGTTTGGTATATTTGTTTTCCTATTTCGGAGACGGATTGGTTCGCATAGCTTGTGGAGCATCGTCGATGGAGGTTCGGTGGTTTTTGAATTTTGTTTTTATCTCTTTAGGGGTCGTCGGTGTGTTCTTTTGCAGGTAGCTTGCACGTCAGATCTACTGCTAACCGATTGGAACTCGACTTCTAGGAGATGGGAAGTCGTTCCCGTCCCTATCATGGGAGATGCCAGTCATCTCTCCTTTCCACGAACACTAAAAGACATATATTAGGCATATATGATACACGCTGAATTGAGTGCTAGCATACACTCATTTTTAATGATTATGAAATCATTTTTACATCTTAATAAATACTATATTAATGTTACAAATAAATGTTTACCAATGTTTGAGCTTACAAATCGAATCTCATAATGTGAACGATGACCACCTCTACATATACTTTACTTTTATATAATATAAAATAAAAAACCATTTTCTATGGGATATGTATGTGGTTATTTGATGATATTTTACTTTCATATATTAAGTCCATAGAGACGCCATTGTTCTGTCTCCTACTTTTCAATTAATAAGGAAACAGGTGGTGATAAAATAGTTAGTTGTCTCATGCATGCACGGAGGCCGGCCGCCACAGAATCTGGAAACGGGAAAGAATATGGCCGGACCAGAATCTGGAACGGGAAAGACTACGGCCGGACCAGAATTCTCCACTTGAGCATCTGCCGGCAAAAAGCTTTATAGTGCCTAGTGGTGATCATGTCTATACATAAAGCCCACGAAGGCTCGTTCTATCTGCTCATTCATCAAACACATCCGATCCACCGCAATATATTAATAAACAGTGTCGTCGTGATATTATATAATGTCTCGGTCATCGTTAACATCAGCCGCAGTTGTAGTTTTGCAGGTACTGATCATCATCATGCGTTACTGTTGTGGGCTACGCAGCTCCGACGATAACACGTTTTTGTGCACCTCCAACGATGAACTGGGCTTATGCCGTGGGAGCGACAGCAACGGGTTGTGCAGCCTAGAGGCGTTCGACGTGGGAAACGCGGCGGAATTCCAAGCTAAGGTGCTCGATTCACTTGGGGCTGGTAATTATTTCAACAATGGGAACGGGGTGGGTTGTCTCAAAACAGATACCGTTCCTCCTGTATACGCCTATTACTGTTGTAGCAAGGATGCTGCGGCCGATTGCAGCGACTGTTATGCCAACGCCGTCAAGCTCCTGAAAGATGGCTGTTCCGGCAGGTCTGGAGGAAATGTCCTGTTTGATAAATGTAGTATGAGGTATGAGATTTCCAACTTCTGGAGAAGAGAATAGCTTTGTTGTAGTTGTACTCAATCGAAATAAATATCGATGCAGTCTTGTTATTTTACCTGGTGTTGGAACCTTGAAATCACTGTATCGTCTGAAGACTCTCGATCTGCACTCCATGAATTTAGTATATTATGCTTCTATTGTCAGACTAATAAAATAAAGTACGATACATGCGCGCACATTTGATTACTTCTATATAGGGTTGTTTTGGACTCCATTTCGAGGAATTTTTGGCTTCGCCAATGGACGGATTTTTCACTAGGAAAACATCTCTTGTCATGTTAGGTGACAAAACACCTAATGTCAATTTATTCACGTATTTTTGTGCTCATTCACACCATTTGGTGTGTTTTCACGTAAGACTATGTTTATTCACGTAAGATTGTAAGTTATTCACGTAAATGAGAATTTCAGACTTTTTTCCCCTAATAATTTGTATTGGCTATATTTTATGGAATTAAATTTGGATTCTCAATTAATCTGTAAAAATATGCTGCATTGATCATAATCTATACAATGACATCCATTTTGATATTTTTTTAACGTAAAAAATTTAATTTTACAATGACGTGGATAAATAACAATATGCGTGAATAAACACCAGGCGTTGCTTTGAAAATGGTGGTGGGCTCCTTTGAAACTGGGGGGACTTGGGATCGCGAACCTGCGAAGTCGCAATCAGGCGTTTCTTTGCAAATGGTGGTGGAGGTTTGCTCGGGAAGGGGACTCCTGGTGGCGGGGGTTGATTAATTACAAGTTTCCCAACGATGTGTCAGAATGGATGTCGGATAAAATCGATGGCCCCTTAGGATTGAGTCCCTGGATGCATATTTTGAAACTCAAGAATCTTTTCTGGAGTTTCACATGGATTGATCCTGGTGCTGGAGTTGATACCTCTTTCTGGTTCGATAGATGGGTGACTGGAGGGCCTCTCGCTGCGGAGTTCCCGCGGATTGTCGATGCCGCCGAGGAGCCAAGCTGTCGGGTTGCTGACGTCTTTCAGAATGCTGAGGGGAGTGTAACTTGGGATATTCCTCTTAAATTTATTCTTAGAGGAGGGGCCGAGAGAGAGAGAATCAAATTGCTTGATATCCTACACAATTTGCCTTCTGATTTTCTGTGTGCAGGTCCCTCGCGTCTCGTGTGGGAGCCCTTGACCAACCTGGTTTCAATGCAAATTTCCATGTACAAGGAGCTTATTAAGGAGCGGTATCCCAGTTCACCGGACTTCCCCTTTAAGTTTGTGTGGCAGGCTGCGGTTCCGTTCAAATTAAGTGTGTGTTTTCATGTGGATTGTTGTTCAGAAGAAGGTCCTTACCCACGATGCTCTGAAAAAAAGATAGAGGATGGGCCTTCCCAAGCCGGTGTGTTTTGTCCGGTGCTAGTGAAGAAAGTCTCGACCACATCATGCTTCCCTGCAGCTTCTCCATGGAGGTTTGGAGGATCATGGAGGCCTTCGTGGCGCTGCCGGCTAGGGCGACCGATCTTACTTCTGCCATTTCCTCCTGGCCTTGTGGCCAACCTGCTAATTCCACGGAGTGGTGTTCCAAAATCTTCCTCCATGCTCTCTGCTGGCGTATTTGGTTAGAGCGAAATGCTAGGATATTCAAGAACAGGATGGAGCTCACTCGGGTTGTTTGCTTCAGAATCGGCAAGGCGATCTCTGACTGGTTGATTGTGGCTAATCATGTCGATCGAGTGGTGGTTGAAACGTGGCTCAACGCGTTAAGGTCGCGCCTCCTTCCCAGTAGCAGTAATCAGCATCAACTCGCAGACCTAGGCTAATCATCATCTTCTTCAGGTGGTCCTTGGGCTTCGGAGTTTCTACTGTTTGAGCCTTCCCTGCCTGTTGTACCTTTTTTTCCTTTCCTGGACTGGCTGCTGCTCCTTGCCGCTTGCTGTTTGTGGCAGGTGGCGTGCGCCTGTTTCCCTTCTTCTTTCATGTTTGTTGTTTTTATTCTAAACTCTTTGTTAATTTATTTCACCATTATAAAAAAAAATATTTGTTGTGTGAATAAGCAACACTCTTGCGTGAATAACGTTAATATGACGTGAATAACGCAAATATGACGTGAATAAATAAAAAAATGCGTAAATTAGATGTTCATGTCACCTAACGTGACAAGAAACTTATTCTTTCCACTAAACGGGAGTCACCCAATTATAATTCTCCAATACGTGTTTTGGTTAAATAGAAAAATACGTGTTTTGATGGATATATGGTGAGTTTATGTTTTTTTTGTGATATATAAAATAGGTGGGTGGCCGATGAGTTATTGGCCCGTAAAAACACCCTATATATTATGACACTGATTTACATTCTGTAATAATACTTATTTTTCCTATTTTAACATATAAATTATGAAGAATTCAATCAAATAATTTATTTTGTAAATTTTGCTTGACATACCATATAAATTGCCCATAAAATGTTTGTTTTTCGTTTCCAAATGAGTAGAATGATACTATATTATGCAATAAACTAAACTTAATAGTTATCGATTCTCTTGAATGTTATACTACAATTTGATATTCAATTAGGTTGTTGTAAGCTTTTTTATTCCACAATTTTTTTTTATAAGGATGGTATATGTTTGTGTATATAATTATGGGCTACTTTAAAGATTTCAATATGATACCTATCGGCCTGTTTGGATACAATTCCTCATGAAGAGATGGAAATGGAATTTCATTTTCATTTTCTATTTTTATAGAATTCCATTTCCAATTTTTGTGTTTGGTATATTTTCTACAATTATGGAAATGAATTGCATTTTTAACTATAATTAATAATATAATATGTTTGTTTTATCTTGGGAAATGGACTATGAATGATAGAAAAAGAGAGTAGAGTGATAGTTGATTAATAAAATAATAATAAATAATGATGGAACCCACTAATTCCATCTTCACAAACCCAATTCCTACTACTACTTTTTATAGGAATTGGAATTCCCAAAACTTAGGCTAAATGGAATTCATTTCTCAGCCTTCTTATCATTCCAAACATAAAATATGAAATTGAAATTAAAAATAGAATTCCAAGTCTTGAGTTTTTTGCCTATCCAAACAGGTCGTATAAGTCGAACACCAATATTTGTACCACTTAAACCAATTAACCAAACACTTATTCGCTATCTTATTATTTGAAAATAGTGTTAACCCACCAGAAATCGCCAAACCCTCCTATCATCCATCCAGCCCTATAATAATTGGAAGTAATTTTTTCATGGTGACCAAGGGGTGTTCAAACGGATTGGTTATCGTGGTAACCATATTAACAGGTAGCATTTGGTTAATTTGGTTTGGTTAATTTGGTTTAGGTGGTTTGGTTTGATTTCAACACTTCTAACCAATGAAACCAATTAATGATACACGTAATATACAAAATTATTTATACTTCCATGCAACCAACCAAACCAAACTTTCGTGATTCCCTATTTTTTTCCATGTGTACAACAAACCAAAGCATTATGGGTCAAAAATTAAATGGGCCTGCTTATTCACTAAACCAAAACATTTTGGAGAACTACTAGATTTTAGGATTACGTACAGTACCATGACAACCACCTCAAACTATGTATAGTTTAAGTGTTTTGTAGGAGAGCTTTAACTTCCCGATGAGCGGTATTGGTATGTATTTAATATTTATATTAAGGGTTTGTTGTAAGCTAAGTATATTAGGTGCATAGATTATGAATGATGTATTAACTCGCATGATGATGATGATAATTATGGATGGTTAGTCTTATTATTATTGCTTATATATAATAATAGTTTATGACAGTAATAATATATTATTATGTTTTATTAATTAACATGGTAATTGTTTTCATGGAATGTTATGTTATTTGGTTAATCCGATTAACCAAACTAATTAAATTTTGGTTTGGTTAATTTGATTTTTTCTGTTAATTTGGACGGTTTGGTTAAGACATTTTATTCCACGGTTAATGAAATTTAGGCTTAATTGGTTTGGTTATTATCACGGTAACCATTTGAACACCCCTATCGTCACCAACACCTTGAAATGAATGGATTTTGCCAATCCCTACTATATCCTTACAGGTCACTGGGCCTTTGAATATGGAGGAAGCCCAAGTATTTTGGGTTGGGCCTTCCCGTACTCATCCGCTCATATCCTCCACGCCCAACCGGATCCCTAGAAAGTAGAAATACCTACCAAACAAGAAAAATTTTACAATGCTATATAGTATTGGTGCTATAGGTTTTTGCCTTTATGGTACAACTTAAAATTGTACATTTAGGTTATGGTACAACTTTAGATTGTACCTATACTTTTGGTACAAATTCTTTTATGGTACAACTTGAACTTGTACCTTTATGTGATGGTACAACTTCAAGTTGTAAAGTTGTACTATAACATAATGGTACAAATTGTTTTATGGTACAACCTAAACTTATACATTTAATGTTATAATACAATTTTAAGTTCTACATCAAAACACCAATGCTATATAGCATAGTAAAAGTGCTCCCAAACAATTTCTTTCCTTTTGGGCGGGGGAGCGGAACGTGAATTGATTGGCGACCCGATACAATCCATTCCCTGAGCCATAGATGTGGTTGTCACGCCGGCCGGCGTGCCACTGGTTGAACCTGGTTCAACCGATACCGGTCATAAAATCAGTGTGACACCACCGGTATGACCGACATGATCGATATACGAATCTCTATGTAAAATGACCTTATTTTAGTGAGTTTAATTGATAAAAATAATTTTATTATTTATTTTACGAGTATAAAAGTTAAATATTGATGTTATTTGTTGGATTCAAGTATAAATGGTTAAGTATTGATGTTAAATGTCATGTTTAAATATGAGTATTTATAATTTTATTTTTAATATTGACCGACATGAACCGACACAACCGATATGTGCCACCGGTCGAACCATTCCACTTGCTAAACCGGCACACTGGTATAAATCGGTTTGACAACCTTGAACCCGGTGGACCAAATTGTACCAACTGAAGAGAAGAAAAAGAACTGGATCCGGAATCCAGAGCGTTGCACCTCGCCCAACCAAGGGGAAAAAAGAGCACACATCACACAGTTCGATTGTAGCTTTCCGTCTCCCTTCCCTTCCCTTCCCTTCGGCTTCTCCTGACTCTGTCGCTTGGACTTCTCCTCCTCCTCCTCCTCCTTTCGCCATTTCCTCGCTTGACACTTTGAACGGACTGCGCCATCTCAACGCATCAAATCCCTACTACTTCCGGAGCTTAATTCGTTTCCACATCGGGTACATTTGCATCCCCTCCTTTCTTTCACCGTATCGAATCCGGATTGCAGAGTCTGTCTGGCATGATGGCTACGCCGCTGTTTCTAGGTCTCTCTGTCGAGTACTCGTTGGTGCTTTTTATTTAGACAAGGTATCAGAGCTGGTTATTTGGCATTCGTTCAGGGGGGTTCGCTTAGGGTTTCATTTGTTCGTCGTTCATGCTGTATGGATCCGAGGGCTATATTGGATCTCATTTGTGATCTACTTGATTTAATTGCTAGGGATTAATATGGAATTCTTGATTTTTGGAATCACATTGTCATGAAATGTGAGTACGTAAGTTAATTTTGGGGGGTTTTCCCCCTCTCTGGTTGTGCGCCCATTAGTAGGTCTGCATGCTCGTATTCCTCCTTGGATCTGCGATTCTTGCTAGTTCTTTACGTGTCAAACCTTGGAGCCTACTTTTCTTGGTTAACATTTTCCTATGCGCTTTGGGCCCGGTTTCAATTGGTAATGTAACTAATGACAGAGCTTTCGTTTCAACAGAATGGCGTCGGAAACAGTCAATCCAAGTGTCCCCAGCGCGCAAACTGTTGGAAATGCCTTTGTTGAGCAGTATTACCATATTCTACATACCTCACCTGAGTTGGTTCACCGATTTTACCACGATTCCAGTGTGCTAAGCCGTCCTGATGGGAGCGGTGAAATGACATCAGTGGTAACCATGCAAGTAAGTTTTCAATGTTACTATTCGTTGGTGTTTAATAACCGAATGTTGTGCATTTACTAATCCGATGGTTCCTGGTCTGTGGTCGAACTTCTGTCCTTCTTCTCCCCCCTTTTGCGACAGGGTATCAATGAGAAGATACTCTCATTGAATTTCAAGGAACAAAAGGCAGAGATCAGAACAGCGGATGCCCAGAAATCTTATAAGGATGGAGTTACTGTGTTGGTGACAGGGTGTTTAACAGACAAGGACAATTTCAGAAGAAAATTTGCGCAATCATTTTTCCTTGCACCTCAAGACAACGGATATTTTGTCCTCAATGATGTTTTCCGGTTCGTTGAGGACAATGAACCACTGGATAACCTCTCGACGAATAGTATTGACAACACCCTGGCAGTTCCCCCAGTGCCAGATCCAGGTAAGACCAGCTCTGTATTTATGAACCCAACTCAAACTCCATGTGTCTTAGACTTCTCTCATAGATCTAGAACTTCTGACATTTTGTAGTCTTTTACATCCAGAGCCTTCACATGTTCCTGAACCTTCTGCTCCCGATCCTTCAACTTCAGTTGAGGTAGAGGTTACAAAGGCTTCTGAAAATGAAAGTGAGCCATCAGACCATGAGTTAATGGTGGAAAAAGAAATCCAAGTAGAACCTCAATATCATGCAAACGGGAACCAAACCTCTGTGATTGATGAACCAGCTTCTACAACAGCTCAAGAGGATGCTCCTAAGAAATCTTATGCATCAATTGTATGTTTCTTGTCAAAAGATTTCAAGTTGAGATTTTTTTTCACCATATCTGTCCTGATATCTACCCCACTTTGTTGTAGGTTAAAGTTCCAAAAGGTAGTCCTGGCCAAATGAAAGTTTATGTACCTACCAATTCAGCAAAGGCATCCTCTAAGAAAACTGAGGATCCACCAGTTCCTGTGGTATCCGCTCCAGAGTCTGAATCACGTATGCCAAGTAGTGATGATGCACCAACGGATAGCTTTGATCAAGATGAAGGTGCGGTACTGTTCATGTATATGTGGTTTTGGTATGGAATAATTCTGTATCTAGTTAAGTTTCACTAGAGATGGTGTGATAAGTCAGTTTTAGTCTATATAAAATTCTTGAAAGCAAAACTAAGGACATGGAATAATAAAGCTGATTAATTGAAGAGTTAAATGGTGATTAGTGTCACTCATGTTTTTTTTTTTTGTTGGAAACTGTCCATTGTTTCCTTGAAGTATATCATCTAACTATTTTCTACTCCCAGTTGAGGGCCACTCCGTTTACATTCGGAATTTGCCTCATAATGTGACTGTCTCTCAGCTTGAGGTGGAGTTCAAGAAATTTGGACCAATCAAGCCTGGAGGAGTCCAAGTTAGATACAATAAGGTTGGTTTGAAAACATTTTGCAGTAGTCCAAAAGTTATTTATACTTTGTCTTTCTTAGGTATGATGATATATCTTATGTATAATTCTGGTACATGCAGCAACAAGGATATTGTTTTGGCTTTGTTGAATTCCTTTCTCCGGACTCCATGAATACTGCAATCCAGGTTTGTTCTGGGTAATACCTTTTTGTTACTTTTTTTTTTCATGGTTATCGTTTTGTTTTTTAGTCAAAACAAATTGAAATCCAAGTTAGATTAGTTGGATTAGCTACTTCTCATGTCAAGATAATTTTCAGAATATCGACAATTATTTAGAAAATCACTCTTTGTTGCAATTTGTTTCTTATGATGGCGGTTTCTGCATTATTTCAGTTTCTAAGTTATATAAACGACACTTGCAGTTACATAATGTCCTTTGTGATCCATCTTAATTTCCACTTGCAGTTACATAATGTCCTTGCTGTATTCTTTTGAGCTAGTTTGCCGATTTCCTGAAATGGGAAAACCTGGATGTCTCATCACACTTAGTTGACTATTCCATGATGCACATGTTGGGTCACGCAGATAAGAACTAGTTTGATATGGTCACTTTTGATCTGTTCCATCACATCAGCCTTATGTGAAACGTAGATGTTCAAATAGAACTGAGATCCAGCTATATGCCACTCTGCTTTCCTCCTTGGCCTCTTAGCTAGGTACTATAGATGTTTTAAGGAAACTTGCGTCGGGCCGATGTACTGTGGTACGTGTTATAGGTACCCTGTTTCCCATATAAGGTAGCGTAGATGTATTTTAGCAGTACAAGACTGGCTTATTGTACTAAAACCGGATGGGAGAGGTAGAAAGATACCTAGGAAGCAAAAGTGATGAGGTGAAAGAGAATTTGAGATGACAAAATGAGGTATCATTGTATGGGTGAAGATTCAATGGCGAGCTTGTCATTTAGCATCCCCAAGTGAGTCTGTCTACTTGTGAATCAGCCATCTGGCTACGTATTGAACTAGGAACCAGGCACAGACCTAATGTTTTCTCCCCTAGATATGCTAACTGTTGCAAGTCTATACTGCTGAAGTGGTCCATGCTGATTCTGTTTATTGCGATTTGCTTTTGCTTTTGCTTTTGCTTATACTTTACATATCTGTCTTTGCTTATTGGTCCAGAACTTAATCTGAGACGCTAAGTGGAGTTCTGTTGCTGCTAGTACTTTTGAATGTTTGACTATCTTTAGTCCTGTTGTCCGGAACAAAAAATTTCAATATTTCCTGTGGTCATCTGTGTTGTTGCAGGCATCTCCTGTTCCAGTCGGAGGACGTCAATCAATTGTTGAGATGAAGAGAACTTCAACTCGAGGTGAGTTTGAGACTCTGCATCCATGTTTAACTATCTCTTTTATCTTTTGAAACTTTGAATTGGTTTCTTCGAGTCTCGTATTGATGCTGAAGTTAGACAGGGTAATGAAATGATCATGTTACGTATGTAATATAAACTTGTAAAGCCGAATTGTTGAATGATGTACTTGGTGTTGCAGTTGGTAATGGAAGAGGCAGGTTCCCAACAGGAAGGGGTGGAATGTATCGGAATGACAGCTTCAGAGGGGGCCGAGGGAACTACGGTGGAGGTGGTAGGGGTTTTGGTGGAAGACCGGAGTTTAACAACAACAACAACAACAACAACAGAGGTGAATATCCCGCTGGTAGGGGAAGGGGTTATCCAAGTGGTGGCAGAGGCGAAGGTTATCAACAAGTTCGAGGTAGAGGCGGCCGTTCAGGTGGAGCAGCTAGGCTACCGAATAATGCTAATGCCTCGTGAAAACTCCCGACTTCTCTCTCTGTGTTGGAGTTTGCATGCCTTAACTGTTCATCAATTGTTCATCCAGTCGGAGTAAGTAAGCGTCCTTGTTTCCCCCCCATTTTATTAGAAATATATATGTAGAAGTGTTTTGGGTATTCCAGCAATGGATGACCTCTGGATTACTATACCAGCATGGTTTGTTTCCATAGTGGGGTGGGAATTCTATTTTGTAGGCTTTAGGAGTAGCCATGCAGGCATGGGGAACATACTCAACTCATCGGAAGTTCTTATTCCGATGTCGGCGATTCGGTAGATTTTTTGGATGTTGTCATGATAGAGAAGAGGTTGCACAGTTAATTGAGAGATGGTTTCCTAGCTATTATTCGGAGGATTTTTCTTTAGTGTTATCTTTCTTCCTTTCCGGCAAAGCATATCGATTACTTGTACTTCGTAGTATGCATGATGATAGTCGTTGAACATAATCACAAACTGGAGACAGTTTGGTACATAAATACATTAGATTTACACTCAAATTCTTTTGTCAGTGAAATACCAATAAGGTTTTAAATAAGAACACATATATAGGCCGTTTGGTACAACATATGTCCGAAACAGGGTCAGAAATGAACTACTAAAATTTGAAGTTTATGAACTCATGATGAAGAGGACCTGGAGAAACAGGGCAAGCAACACATCCAGCTCTTTGCCGCTGCCGTGACCTTACAGTACGTCGTGCTTTGAGGTTCTTCTGTCGTTGTCTTCACCGGCTGCTCCGGCTGTTGTTGTTGTTGCTCCTCCGCCTGTTTTTCATTCTGACGAGTCTCCACTTCATTTGGCTCCTCTGCCACCGCTGCTTTCTTCTCCCCTGCAGCCTTCTGCTCTGCTTCCACTTTCCTTGTACTGTTTCTTCCCATTTGTTCGTTCTGCAATCTGAAAACCCATCAACAAACATTAATTAATTTCCCCTTAACTAACCCCCACGAAATTGTTGATTGATTGATTGATCAATAGATACTCACATTGGGAACTGGAAAGATTTGGTGCTGCTGGTCGAGTTCCGATTATTGCTGCTGCTGGAGGTGGAATTCCGATTAAGGGAACAGGCAGCTGACTGCGTGCTGGCAACTGGGGCGGCGGCAGCGGCGGGTGGAGGAGGAGGGAGCTGTACCTCCGGAGGGACGTTAATGGTGATATTGTTACTCGGCGGAGGATTAGCTGGGACGTGAATGTTGATGATATTGATATTGTTGATGGGCTGATTGGCATTGGCAGGAGGAGGCATGGGAGGCTGCCATGTGGCGGCGGAGGGGGAAGAAGGTGGTTGGTTGTTCGTTGTCCTGGCCGCCGCCGCCGGCGTTGGGGGAAGGGCGGCGTAATAATCTTGATCGAGCATGGGGAGCTCCCCGGATTTATACATCATTGCAATTTGGTCCCTGGAGAAGCTGTTGTTGCCCATGTAGATGCTGAACAGGGACTCGTTCGACGCCGTGCTCCATTCGATCCCGTTCCCCGACTTGGACGCGAACACGCCGGACGGGATCCGATTCGGGTCGTAGCCGGGTACTGCACAGCCGGCGGTCGGCGGTCGGGGCGGGGAAGAAGAGTCGGCGGAGCTGCTGATGACCGAACCCTCCACGTCACTGCTCGTGACGGCATGACGATGGCGTTGACGATTGCTGTTGTCGTCACCGCTGGTCGTGGGATGGTGGCTGGTTGGGCGCGGGACATTGTTGTGTTCGCGATCCATGATTTGACGAATTTGAAGCTTTTGCTCCTTTGTTGTTGGTGATGACAACTCCGCGGCTAATGCAAATCCAGGTGAAGGATTGCAATAGCCGGGGAGCTGAAATTGCAGACGGTAGAGATGATTGAAGGAAAGGAAGGAAGAAGATGGATTATAATTAATTAAGGCGATGAGCGGATTAAGAGAGCCCGGTGCAACTAAGCCAAACTGAATTTAATGATAATCGCGTTTGTTTGATAAGTCATTTACCTAGCTGCTAACTGATTTTACGCGGGAACTGATAACAGAATTTCTCTGTCAGTGATAACTGAGACGTCTATCAAATGGTTGTTCGTAGTTTGTGATTAATGCACATCAATTCTAGGTAAAACCATTATTAGCTAATTTCGTTGCTAGAAACTAATGGGAGAAAACGTTGGAACCATTTATGAGACAATTACTATCATCAAGTTGGTTAAACTACTCTGCAGAAGAAAAGTTGGTTAAACTAGTAACATCATTATGTTAGAATATATTGGATTTGGATGATCAACTGGTACAGTGCGTTTTTTTTCGCAAAAAGAAAACAATGTAATTATGGATGAGTAAAGCCAACAAATTTCAGTAAATTGCTACTATATATCGAGTCTATTAAATTAAAATATTTGCTTTTGAACATTGATATTGTTGAAAATTGAAAATACTTGACTTTAGAATCTATAAGAAGACTAACTCATTGGTTGTACTTAGTGATGGCAATGAGGCGGGACGGGCGGGTACCTCAATTCCCATGCTCCGCCCCACGCTACTACGGGTCGGGGCGGCTAAAACCCGCGCGGGGACGGGGCGGGGCGGGTCGACCCATTCTTACATGTTGTTCAAAAAAAATACAAGTAAATTTTACTTTTTACAATAAAACGTAGGGAAAAACACTTTAAGAATGAAAAATATTGATAATAGAATGGATAATTGAGCCTATCAAGTTGAAAGATCGACTCTAACTACTGTGTACATATCCTAATAAAAAGGGAACAATTACATAATTGATGAACAAAGCCAACAAATCCAAAGACAATCCTCAATACAATGGGGTAACGATAAGAACCACAACAAGAATGATATTTTGAGTAGGTTCGATCCTCTCAATCCGATCACTTGCAGCAGCTGCTCTGTTTCTCTCGCTTCCCAGAGAGAGAGAGAGATCATCATCAAATGTATAGTCCATGTCATCAACAATAACTGTGAACATGTTATAATTAATAAATGTCCAGAAGGATTATGTTGCAGTTGTCACCTCTGAAAATATATTCGACAAGTTTTCCTGAAAACTCATGTACGTAGCAACCAAAAGAGAAATCTTCTGAAACACGCTATCTAGTTAGGATTAATGATTCTTTGCCTCTGAGTTTGACATGGCTCTTACTGGCTAATGCCAAGGGTTAGAAACTTCAGAGAACGAGCAATGATTAGTGGTGTATACAACATGTGTTTAACACTGGGTGTTACCAAAATGAGAGCCTAATGTTCCTGCCCCTTCGCCATTGTTGCTGCCTTCGGACAATCGTGCTCATATCTCGAACTAAGTTGTGCTTTGTTTGAACTATTGCTCGTTTAACATTGGGTGTAACCAAATGAGAGCCTAATGTTTGTGAACCTATGGATATCCATGAAGCGGTGGATACTGTCACGACCCGAAATGTCGTGACCGTGTTGATCGTCTGAAGAACGCTGCCATCTGGTCGCCTTGCCATGAGAGGGGTAAAGGGGGCGACATTAGCGATAAGGCGTTGTCTGCCTGTGCATCGTTTATGGCCGAGTCAGGATGTGGATATGAAGGGGATCGTTGCAAGAGAATGCACAACTGGTCGGAGGCTATTGCCGTCTCCCTGATGAGCCCAAGGCAGGGCGAAACCACTTGACATGCGTATGCAGCAGGGGCGGAGCCAGGATTGAAAGTTCGGGGGGGCCGGATTTATTTAGTAAATTATTGTGAAAATCCAAAGATAAAAATAAATAATAACGACACATATTAATTAAAATAGAAAAAACTCAAAATATAAATAATTTAAAGTTTGCTAGTATGTTATACTCAAAATAAATGTTTATACTGTGAGCAAAAATTATCATGCATTTTAACATGTAATTTTTTTATACCTTGAATATGAATTTATGATTATATTATTGTTTTTAAAATTTAATTAATTACATATCCAAAAACAATCTTTGAAAATATGAATGTAGAAGTTTAAGAACTTGACTGAATTTATTTGAAATTACAGGATTTATAAGACAAAATAGAAAAATTAGAGGATTAGACAAAATAGAAAAATTAGAGGATTAACCTGGAAAAAAACTGTTAAAATTATAAAAAGCAATGCTGTCTATCAGAATCGAACCCTGAACCTTCTAACTAAAACTGCATGACTTCTCCGCTACACTACAAATCTGGGCTGTTAATAAGATTTCACTCGAATTTTATATACTTGTTAGATTGAGTTTATACGTAATTCTCGAAATTTCCTAAGACTTTATACGTAAGTTTCAAAATTCTCGGGGGGGCCCCGGCCCCCCCGAGAGCCTACATAGCTCCGCCCCTGGTATGCAGAGAGGCTGGTCTTGAGGAATGAGTGCACCTCAAGAGGCCGCACGGACTTCGAAAGTCTATGTCCGTGACAATACCCACTGAATTTAGCTGTATTTTATCTTATAAAATTCAGCGGATATTTTACCGGTTTGTCTGGACGAATGCAACTGCTAGGTTGAATTTGAATCTGGAGAAATCTGACCCAATCCGATTTGTCGCCATCCTTAACGTAAACAAGTTTCTTTTGCGCCCCGGTTGCACAAAAGGCCCTTTTTTGGTTCGAGCCGCAGTGCAATCAAATTAAACCTCCGGTCTAACCCTAGATTGGTCGGTCTCGACACAAGTTTGGTGTGTTTATTGGGTTAAAATGAGAGAAATAAAAAGGTAAACTAGTGTAAACAAGGTAAAATTGTTAATTTTTAGGACGACGTTAACAACTCCAATTTTATTGCTTATAACTTTTTTATTTGAAATTTATATAATTTTAACTCTTAAATGCATGTCAAAATACCATTACTTTATCAAAACTGTATTTCAAAACTAAATTGCAAAATTTATTGCTAACCTACTTCCAATATTTCTATAAAACTTAATTACATTTTAATAACAAGAACATTACGTATAATTAGTTACACTGTAATAACAAGATAATTTTATAAAACTTAAAATTGCATTTTACTCCCCGCCCAATCCTGCCTGACGGCAAATCCCCCATCTCTAAACCGTTGGGGGTGTTTGTTTGTAGTCTAAGTCTACTAATTAGGTTAATTCCCCCACTTCCTAATTCCGACGAGAGCGTGGTAAACTAAGAGTCACATTAAATGTTTCAATGCATGCATGCAGCCAAATTCACAATTCACAAGTTCAAAGCAGACAGCGGAAATTGGAAAGGCGCTCCAATAGTCAAGGCAAAAGTCGTCGGTCATTTCATTAAATAGTAAATACAACTCAAACGCATGCAAGCCTAGTCAATTCACTCCTCTGCCCCGCCCTTGCAAAGCCGAAAATGGGTGACAAAGAGATCAGCGGAGAAGTGATCGGAATCGACCTAGGCACCACATTCTCCTGCGTCGCCGTCGCTAGAAAGGGCCACGGCGTCGAAATCATAGCCAACGACCAAGGCAACCGAACCACACCTTCCTACGTGGCCTTCTCCCCCGCCGGCTCCGCCGGCTCCCAGCGTCTCATCGGCGAAGCCGCCAAGAATCAGGCTACTCTCAACCCCCGCCGTACCATCTTCGACGTCAAGCGACTCATTGGCAAAAAATTCGACGACCCAGAAGTCCAGAACGACCTCAAATACCTGCCCTACCCCGTCGTTGAAAGAGATGGAAAGCCTTGCGTCCAAGTTGAAGTTAACGGCGAGCTGAAAACATTTACACCGGGAGAGATAAGTGCCATGGTGTTGGGGAAAATGAAGGAGACGGCGGAATCGTACCTTGGGAAGGAAGTAACCAACGCCGTGGTCACAGTCCCGGCCTACTTCAACGACTCCCAGAGGCAAGCCACCAAAGACGCCGGCATTATCGCTGGGCTCAATGTTTTACGAATAATCAACGAGCCGACTGCTGGCGCCCTAGCCTATGGTGTGAACCAGGACCCGAACACAAAGAGGAACATTCTGGTGTACGATTTAGGTGGCGGGACGTTCGACGTCAGCGTTTTGGAGATCGACAACGGCATATTCCAGGTACGTCAGAGTGAAAAAAATAAAAAAATGATAACCCTAAATGAGTTGATATAGTGAAATGGTTAACTATCTTTCCTTAACCTCAGGTACTTGCCACTGGTGGTGACACGCATCTCGGCGGTGGAGATTTCGACCAGAGGGCGATGGAGCATTTTGTTCAGCTAATCAAGAGGAGGTACAAGAAGGACGTTAGTGAAGACCCGAAAGCTATGGGGAAGCTGCGGAGGGAATGCGAGAGGGCTAAAAGGGTTCTGAGCACTCAAATCGAGACTAGAGTAGAGATTGATTCTCTATTGCAAGGAACGGACTTTTCTGAGCCTTTAACGAGAGCGAAATTTGAGGATTTGAATTTGGATCTATTTGAGAAGACACTGGCGGTGGTGAAGTCGACACTGAAAGATGCAAAGGTGGAGAATAAGAAACAGATTAACGAGATAGTGTTGGTTGGAGGAAGCACAAGAATTCCCAAAGTTCGAGAGATGCTGAAGAAGGAGTTTGACGGGAAGGAGCCGAGCAAAGGGATCAACCCTGACGAAGCCGTGGCTTATGGTGCTGCCATCCTTGGAGCCAATCTCACTAGCGATCGACCTGGAGTGGGTAATTTTGCTACGTTGCAATTTTATTTATTTATTTCAGAGTACTAATTGTTTAGGGTTGCATTATTTCTCTCAGTATGTAACTTTTTTTCTTGATACAAAGTACGTACTGTTGGAATTATAGGTGTTATACTACTCGATGTTACTCCCTTAAGTTTGGGGATAGATGTAGTCGGTGATCTCATGTCAGTAGTGGTCCCCAGAAATACACCCATTCCTGCAAAGAAGTCTCGTGGTGGGTACAAAACTACGTATGACCAGCAAGCTTCTATAACTTTTAATGTAAGTTATAGGGGCTTGCTATTTGCCGCCAACCAAATTGCTATTCGCCGCCAAAAAAAAAAAAAAAAAGAGTATATATATGCATCTTTGGTTAAGGAGTTTCACAAGCTACAACATATCCAACTTTCAGAGAACGTATTTAATCAGAAAAATTCAACGCTCGCCGGAAAAGTCGCCGGAAAATCATCGATGAAAAAAAATGTATATATATACATCTTTGGTTAAGGAGTTTCACAATCTACAACATATCCAACTTTCAGAGAACGTATTGAATCAGAAAAATTCAACGCTCGCCGGAAAATCATCGGGAAAGCCTATCCTCGACATATAATGCGTACACGCATCCATGAATCATCACTAACCATCAGACAATGTGGGCAAAGTGCTACACGAACCATGTGTTTCAAACCCTAAACCCTAAACCCTAAGTGAACCCTGAACCCTAAACCCTTTGTTGATGTGACTTGAATCGGACTATCAGCCGCTACGACTGGTAATCGGGGGTCTCAATGTTATTTGGGTTCGGGTTCTGGGCCTGGTCTGTAACCGTTTCCTTTGTCATATTGGATTAGGTTTAGACCCACATGGAGAAGTACTATAAATACTTCGTGTTAGTGAACCACGTAAATCGTGTGTCGTGTTGCAATGCTCTATTTATATGTTGTTGTTTTTCTAGTTGTATTTTTAATGACCCTAGTGTCATTATGAACTTATGAATTTCATTATGGATTTCTAGCGAGTTCGGGGTCGATTGGACGAAGATCGGGCGCGAGGCAAGTCAATCGTCGGTCGCCGACACCGTTCTTCCGTCGTCGGCTAACCTCCCGTCGCCCTCAATCGTCGGAAAACAAGTAAGTTTACTTTTTTCGGCCAGTTTTCCAGTTTTCCGGTAAGTTTTCCAGTTTTCCGGCGAAAAACACGGAGGGCCGAAAAAAAATTGCGGCCCGAACGTCGCCGAGCCGAAAAAGATTTGTGGCCGGGACGACGGCCGGCCGAAAAATTCTTTCGGCCCGGCGACGCCACGGCCGCAAATTTTTTTCGGCCGGCCGACGAACACGCCGCCGGAAAATTTTTGGCCGGCGTGTTCGGCGACCGGCCGAAAAAAATTCTTTCGGCCCGACGTCGCTCCGGCCGCAAATTTTTTTCGGCCGGCCGACGAACACGCCGCCGGAAAATTTTTGGCCGGCGTGTTCGGCGACCGGCCGAAAAAAATTTGCGGCCGTGGCGTCGCCGGGCCGAAAGAATTTTTCGGCCGGCCGTCGTCCCGGCCACAAATTTTTTTCGGCTCGGCGACGTTCGGGCGGCAATTTTTTTTCGGCCCGCCGTGTTTTTTGCCGGAAAACTAGAAAACTTACCGGAAAACTGGAAAACTGGCCGGAAAAAGTAAACTTACTTGTTTTCCGACGATTGAGGGCGACGGGAGGTTAGCCGACGACGGAAGAACGGTTCCGGCGACGGAGGCACTGGGAAGGAAGGGAAAATTCAAAATTAAATTTTTTTTTTTTTACCGGCGACGGAGGCACTGGGAAGGAAGAGAAAATTCAAATTTTGAATTCCTTTTTTTTTTTTAGTTGGCGGCAAATAGCAATTTGATTGGCGGCAAATAGCCGTTCACAAGTTATAATGTGAATGACACATAATTTGAGATTGGAACATAATATTGTTACCTATGCGAATAACACATGATTTCAGGTTTTGCAAGGTGAAAGACCCTTGACTAAGGATTGCCTCCGGCTCGGAAGTTTCAAACTCACAGGCATTCCACTGGCTCCAAGGTAAGTAAACTACTTGTTCTTATCATTACGAGATTGCATGCATATGTACTGAGTACCGACTCCATCTACAGAGAATCTGTGTCTGCGGAGGTGACATTCGAGCTTGATGCGGATGGAATCTTAACCGTCACGGCCAAGGAAGAATCCACCGGGAGTTGTAAATCCCTCACTATTGACAACTATAAAAGGAATTTGAATTCGAGGGAGATTGAGAGGATGATCAGAGAGGCAAGGGAGATGGCCGACCACGATAAGAAGGAGAAGGCGCGTGTTGAAGCGAGGAACAAACTGGAACGTGTCATTTACGATTTGAAGAATGCAGTGGCAGAGAAGCTTCACATGTATGATGGTGATAAGACCGCAGTGGAGACAGCGTTGAGTGAAGCGTCGGACTGGTTTGATGACAACAAGAATGCATGCATGCAAGAGTACAAGGACAGAAAGCGGAAGCTGAAAGGCTCGTTGAAGAAGGTTTCACCAAAATAGTCTAGAAATCAAGTCCGATGCATGCATTCTCTTTATTTTGTACGAATCAAGCAAGGGCATCTTCAGTTTGACTTTTAGTTTTGGACTGTTCCTTCTGGTGACTAATGCTTTGCATGGTCCTTTGTTTAGTTTGTAATCTATCTATTGAAATTTAAAAATTCATGATCAAGTTTCCTTCGACCAGTTGTGAGTACTGAGTAGTACTAATTAAGTAGCATCTTATTAAAGATATCAAATAAAAGATAATGGAGATATAATAGAAGATGTGGAAATAAAGGATTTAAGACTAAGACCTATCAGTAATCTCCCTGCAGCATCACCAAACTGTGCGGGGAAATTTGTTCTCTACCTTTTCCATTATACCACTTAGAAAATACAGATACATCCACTGATCCACAGATGATCCACTAGTTCATTGAATAACTAAGTGACCAAAAAATGAAATCCAATCTCGTCGTTTTGGAAGTTGTAATTCTTCGAATTGATGTATTGAGTCAATTAGTGTATTATCATTTGATATATTGAATTAATCGATATATTAGGCAAATACCTTGTTTGTAGGTTTAGATTGTATTTTTGTTGTAAAGTCACGAAAGTTAATTTTGAGTGATGATGAAGAATCTCTAGTTTTTGTTGAGAATGATAATCCCTCAATTTTGTGTGATTGTGGTGGGGCCTCAAAAATTTAATTGATGTATTCTAGTTCATTATGAGCCAAAAAATGAGTGAATCTCACAAATACATGAATTAGCTCAATATATCAATTGAAATTACAACTTCCAATAACTCAAATTGTTGGGAGAACGTTATTATGGATCTTATACCTCTCTTACACCCCCCCTCAAACAAAAGTCAACTTACGGTTTGGAGTTTGCGCAGGCTCACCATACATTGTGCTTTAATCAACTGTTAATATTGGGGGTCATGGGGATTCGAAAACACAACCACTTAGCAAAACCAGTCTCTTATACCATGTCAAGTACGAGTTGGTCCCAACTTCCAACAACTCAAGTTGTTGAAAGAAGGTTATTAGAGATCTTATATCTCTCTTACAGATTGAAAACTACAAGAAAAAACAAGTTTTGCAACCAATAAAATTGTTCCCTAAAAGTTAAAAAATGGTTATTAATACTTTTTTGTAACCAAATTTTTTTGGTAGCAGAATTAGTTGCTATAACTACGTTAGAAATACCTAAGACAACTGATTCAGTGAGTGGTAGCCAAAAAGAAAGCTATCACAACCAATGTCGCACCGTAGCTAATCGAGTTGCTCTAGAAGCATGTGTACAAGCTCATAATGAGGGACGTGATCTTGCTCGTGAGGTGGTGAAAATTCATTGATAATTTGTAACCATTTAATTTGGCTGTCATAGTCCAAACTAATAGTTGGGAAAATGTAGGTGATTGGTCGTCAAAAATACAAACGACAATCAATTTATGTGAATATTAGTAACCTATTTTTTTGGATGCAAATAAAATTTATTTAAGTTTTATAGATGACTACTTAATTTGGTCGGTAAATTAGCATATGTCAACCAATAATATTATTATGATAACCAATTTTATTGTTATGAAAGTTCAGCACAACCATGAAATTTGGTCCTGAGAAATATATATGCCGACCAACTATATCATTTTCAACGACTAACTATTTTTGTTATAAAAGATTAACACAACTATAAGGATTGGTTGTGAAAAACACATACCTCAACCAATTAAAGCATTTCGGGGACCATTAGTTTTAGTTAAGCAAGTTTAATGCAACCTTAAAAATTGGTAAAAAAAATACATATGGTGACCAATCATATAACTTTAGGCAACTAACAATTTTAGTTATGAAATTCTTATACAACCATGAAATTTGATCGTCAAAATTCTATATGCCGACCAATCGTATTAGTTTAGATTACCAATTTGATTGATTATAAAAGTTTAATCGCACCTCGTTGGACTTGTCGATAGCATGGCCGTTTGTCGTATTAACATGTTGGTCATGCCGGTGGCTGCTAGCTGGTTGAACATGATTTAACCAGTACCGAACATGAAACTGGGTTGCAACTATACTTTTGAGACATACTACCATCAAGTCGATTAAGTTAATATGTGTACTGTTTGTTTCTAATAACCTTTTGTATGATACCGTTGTCAGATCCAATCTAGTGAGAATTCGTGCCCGTAATATAAAAGTTTGGGTTAATACCCTAGTTTGGCCCGAAATTTGGTGTAAGTGTCAGTTTTGACCCGAATTTTTCAATAAGACAGTTATGACCCACTTTTTAAATTAATGGACAGATTTGGCCCGAAATTTTCATTGACCGTCTATGTTGACGGTCAAACACTTATTCCGTTAGTGACTCAGCAAAACACGGCTGATGTGGCTTATGCGTGTGCCACATCACTAAATAATATAATTTATTTTTTTAATTCAAATTAAAATAAAAAATAATTACCTACAATTAAAAAGTTCCCTTTTATTATTCCAAAATTCCCAAAAGCCCAAAACTCGAACCCTAATCTAAAAACATCTCGTTCCCTTGCCAAAGTTCCTCTTTTCTTCTTCCAACCCCTTCCATGGCGCCGCCGTTCTCTAATCACCATCACCTAATCACTGCCTCCAAAATCAAACGACCAAACCTCTTATCAAAGCCCTCGCCGTCGTTTTCCTTAGCTCCGTCTACATCATCGGGTTCTACCAAAACACTCGCGGCTCAATTCCCCTCCCCTGTTCTAGCCCAAACAAGTGAAACAACAACAAAAAAGACGTTGCTTGCGTCATCCCTGTCCCTGCCACCAACACCCTTGACTTCGAGTCCCACCGCCGTCCTCCGCAGCCGTGTCTGAGTTCCCTCCGTGGCCCGTTCGACCCCTCCAACTCCGCCACGCGTCGCCGTGCTGGATCCAAAGACTATCGCCCGGTCTCCTCCGATCTCGTCCTCCTCCTTGACCTCTCTCCCACGCTCGAAGTTTCGCAGTCGGAGGATGCTGAGGCGTGATCTGGAATGTGGTTCATATTAGCAGAAGGTGAGAAGTTTTTGTAAGGAAGGGGTCTGTGTGGGACGCCATTTCAGGAAGGGTAGGGCGGAGTGGTAAAAGGGGAAGGACATCGGTATCGATGTCGTGGTGGGCGGAGGATTGGAGGGCAGAGAGGGCTTCAGCAACGGAGGTCGGAGGATTGATTTTGACAATGATGGTTGATTAAGATTAGGGTTTGGATTTGGGATTTTGGGATGATGGGATAATGGGAGGGAATTTTTTTAATTTGTTATTTTTTTTAATTAAATGACAAAATTAAAATTATATTATTTAATGATGTAGCACCATGTATAATCCACATCAGCAATTTTTTCTGAGTCACTAACGGAATAATTGTTTGACTGTCATTGTCAATATTAACGGTAAAAAAAAGATTAGTGCCAAATCTGTCCATTAATTTGAAAAGTAGGCCACAACTGTCTTATTGAAAAATTGGGGCCATAACTAACACTTACGCCAAACTTCAGGTCGAATTAGGGTATTAACCCTAAAAGTTTCAAGAAACATCAAATATTGAGACAATCTGCGATGAAAAATGAAATTTCATCGCGAAAAGTGAACATTCAATGACTATTACTTTTTCTGTCGTTAGAATTTTGCCGCTAAAAGCTGCATTTTAGTAGTGAGTCGATGAAATAGAAGTAAGAAAGTAGATTCGAACCTCGTTGTAAGCAAGAACTGTGGCATTATGACCACGAAACACCTTATCAACCAAAGGAGCAACGCAGACATCGTAGAGAGGGAGAATACCAATGTCAATAACAAGGTCAGCCGCTGCTGAGCTCACCATGAATTAGTCTCGTTCACATTGAACAAGGACACCACATAAAATTTGCATTTTGTGTTTTTGTTTTCTCTATTGTCATTTTCTTCAATAGACATGCAGTAATTAATTTAATCTGTGTATTTATGAGTATGACATGAAATGAGAAAAAAATCCAAAACTACTACTGTTTAAAAAAAAATTACAAAAATACCACTCATTCCCAATAATTTTCAAAAATACCATCTTTTATATAAAACCGCGCCTCTAATGAGCGATTTTTAATGAAACCGCGCCTCCTGACAGCGTTTTTAATTTCCAGCAAAAACCGCTTCTGGAAGGAGCGGTTATAGGCTAACCCTACAACAAAACGCTTGAGGAGGGAGCGTTTAAATGTCGGCATAATAAACCGCTGCCCCAGGCGGCGGTTTACAATGTCAGGACATAAACCGCTGCCCCAAGGCGCGGTTTGTGCCTGGTCACCCGACAGCAAACATGTCGGACATGTCGGCATGCAGGGGGTAGGGCTGCATGGCAGACCTAAAACCGCTCCCCCCCCCCCAGCGGTTTTGCTGCAAAATTTGCCTATAAAAGGCTGTTTCAGAGAACTCAATTCTTCACACTCCTCCTCTTCCTTCTTCAAATTTCAGCTTTGCACCTTTAAATTATTTAGTTTTTGCGATTAACGTTAATTCGTAAGTTTGTTTCGTAATTACTTTTCATTGTCCTTTGTGATTTTATGTTAGTAACTTAATTACTTTTTATTGTCCTTTGTGATGTTATGTTAGTAACTTGTATTACTTTTCATTGCAGATGGCATTCCAAAGGTTCACCCTTGATGTGGAATGGTTACACGAAAGAGACCAAAAAGGGTGTAAGTTACGTCGGTGGCAATTTTTATAAAATGAAGGTCCGTACGAGACCGATGCTTGAAGAGCTCCATCAAATGTGCACTCAGATTACCTGCATGGATGGCAATAGAAGAGTTGATCAAATGGTGTATCGATATCCAAACAGACATGACGGGTCGCTGTGGAATGAGGAATTCCTCCTTACCACTCAGGAGGACGTTGATGCCATGGTCCAATTTTTGACCACCAATAAAATTAAGCAAGCGGAGATGTTCGTTTACACCGAGGCCGTCGAAGGCAGTATAGGTCATTCTGGAGATGCCCAAACATCTAGTATTCACGGTGGGAGTGTATTATACGAAGATCATCCCCACTTGGATTTCCAAGACTCGAGCTGGAGGCAGGAGTATCATCATGGAACTGGAGGAAGTCAACAATCCTTCCCTTCATATGAAGAAGAAGCTCAACAGGTGGATCACAACCAACAAGCAGGCTACCAGTACCCACCCGAGAACAACTTCTATCAAAGCGGTGTTAGTTACCACAACTACCATTACGGAGCTGGTGAAGGTGAAGGTGCCTTTCATGATGATAATCAGATGGAAGAAGAGGCCAATCCAAGTCCAATTAGTGACCCGGAGGTTGAAGAAGAGGAAGGCGAAGTTAGTGCAGACAGCTTTGATCCGCTCGAAGGTGCTGATGATTCCGGTCCAGATTCAGACGCAAATGGTGATGAGGTACCTCACGACCGTGTACCTATTCCATACTACAATCACATTCAAAATGAAGATTGGTATGTTGATGCAGACATGGACCCGCCAGATGTGCTAGTATGGGGTCCACTCACTAGCTTTACGAAGGGCCAACAATTTGCAACGAAGAATGAGGTCCGACACGCTATTTCCACTGAAGCAATGGCTCGGAGTTATGAATGGCAAACAACCCATTCCGACACAAAGAGGCTGATGGTTCGATGCAAAAATGAAAATGAGGGATGCAAAGCTAGGGTCCGGGCCATCAAGAGCAAGAGATTCGGCCATTGGGTCATATCTCGTGCGGTGAACACACACACATGTGTGTCATCAATAACATCCCAAGGCCATCGACAGTTGAAATCAAGGGTGGTTGCCGCGGCTATCAAACATCTAATTGAGGAGCAGCCCGACGTGAAGGTGAAAACCATCATCACCCACATTTCTAGTCGTTATGGTTATATCATTAACTACAAGAAAGCGTGGCATGGGAAACAGAAAGCAATGGCTGCCGTGTTTGGTGACTGGGAAGAATCATATGCATTCCTTCCCAAATTGATTTTGGCGTTGGAGGTGTAACCCTGGCACCATTTTCTCGCCTCGCTACCAAGATGAAGAAATTCAACCGCCGGTGCCTGGTAACAAGCGCCAATTCAAGCGTCTTTCTGGGCCTTCAAGCCATGTATTGATGGTTTTCCATACTGTGTTCCTGTGATTCAAGTTGATGGAACATTCCTTACCGGAAAGTACAAGGGTACTCTACTGATTGCCAGCGGAGCAGATGCAAATAGATTAGTATATCCATTAGCCTTTGCCATTGTGGAGGGAGAGAATACCAATAGCTATGGATGGTTCTTCAGACAAATTCAGCTCCATGTCACCAGGCGGACGAACCTGACTATCATCTCAGTGCGCCACGCCGGTATACGGGCTGCTATCTTAGGCTTGGATCCAGCTTGGAACTGGTCACAGAGATGGTGCATACGGCATTTCAAGAGCAACTGGAACCATCATTTCAAGCGAAAGAAGCTTGCTGACAGTCTATGGTGGATAGGTAAGCGTTCTGATTAATTGTTATATAAATTTTTTCAACTGTATAAAACGAGGACCAAATCAATACAATACAACATTTATTTAGACTCTTTATAAAGAAATGCATGTATAAGAAAATGGGGACTTAAGCGATCATCGTGATCCCCCCATGACCTGGGAAAATCGAGTTCTAAGCGATCCTCGGATCCCCCCTTTTTCTGTCAAAAAGACTGTGTTTCTAAGGAGATGTTAATATTAAGGTCGATCTTGCTTATCTTACTTTTTTTTATATTCATCAACTGTCGCGTACCAAGAGAAGAAATTTAAAGAGAAGATGCAAAATATCCGTCAAATATGCCCTGAAGGTGCGCAGTGGCTTGATCAACATGACCTTGAAATGTGGACTTTTCATAAGGACGGAGGTCACAGATGGGGTATTGCCATAACAAACTCAAGCGAGAGTATCAACAACGTCTACAGGGAATGTCGTGCACTCCCCATCTCTGCAATTGTTGAGATGACATTCTGGAAAACAAACGGATGGTTCGTCAACCGTCTCCATTGGTGTGAGAAGAGGGAGGCACAAGGAAATATACATTCCGATTATGCCACAAAAATAATGGAAAAAGATAATCGGAAAAGCTCTCGTCACACAGTCACTGTGATGAACCGAAATGCTGGCGAGTATTCGGTCGAGACTAGGCACTGGGAGGATGGGAGACGTGGGGGACATCGCCATGAAGTCACCGTCAACTTTAGGACTAAAAAAGGGGCGTGCTCTTGTCAGAAGTATCAGGGTAGAGGAATACCATGTTCCCATGCAATGGCTGTAATAAAGCACAGGAGCAAAGACCCTCGTCATTTCGTCAGTTCGTTCTTCAACATTGACTCACAAAAGAGCAGTTATTGTACTAGTTTCCGTGCATTGCCGGATGAAGCTTACTGGCCAGTTTATGAGGGTATGGTCATCATTCCACCAATCGGTCTTAGGCAGGAAACAGGGCGCCCGCGGGTAAAAAGGATTCCAAATGAAATGGATCAAAGTGGAAGACCACCGCGAGGGCCAAGGCGGTGTTCCATATGCAAATTACCCGGTCATGATAAACGAAAATGTCCCGGACCAATTGGTCCTCAAAATGCAGGGCCCGATGTGGTGAACCCGGATAATGGCGCTTAGATTGATTTCATGCGTTTGTTCCATCTTTGTGTATTAATTTCAATGGTTACTCTACTTGTATTTGTGTGCTTAAATGACATTGGAGCTTTGCACAATTAACAAAATTTGGTGCAATTTTCCATCTTTTTGAATAAAACACATCACGAACACAAACACACTACATGAAAAACTAAAAAATAACTTCAACTAAAAACACCATTGTTCAACTTAATTTAAACAAAACATAACTTGAAATAAACACATTACATGAAAAACTAAAAAATAACTTCAACTAAAAACACCATTGTTCAACTTAATTTAAACAAAACATAACTTGAAATAAACACAACTTGTCACACTCATGCATTATTTCGACGATTTTCCCTCTGTTTCCTTGTGCGATGGGCGACTGGTCCACCGGGTGTAGCTGATGGTGGAACGGGTGGCAGACTCCTATTCGCCGTAGAAGGGCGATCCTCCATGCTATGCCGCCTCGGTTCCGTGATAGGTGGCCCCTTGTCTGCGGTCGAGGGCTATCCACGCTCATACGGTGGGGAGTGGATTGCCATTGTTGTTGCCATTGTTGTTGTGGTCGATTCCAAGGTGAGAAGTCTTGGTGGGGAGTGGATTGCCATTGTTGTTGCCATTGTTGTTGTGGTCGCTGCAGAGGTGAGAAGTCTTGGTGGGGACTTGAGTATGAACCCTCGGCCCAAGTAGCTGAGGATGTGCCGTCATGAAATGTACTTGGCCGTTGTTCATACTGGAAACTGGGCCGGAGATTGTATTGGAAACTTGACCGCAGATCATACTGGCTTCCGGGCGTGGGATCGTAGTGAGTACTCCCCCCTTCACCGCTGCACACCTCCAAAGGAGTAGGCACCTTCCATGCCGCAATCGGCATGATCTCCGGCACGTGAGGTCGATCCCTTGTAGCTTTGTTTGGCCTTCTATGGACCGGCGGAGGCACCAGGTCAACATCCTGCGTCACCGGCGGCGGTCTCACTGGGGGAACTGGAGGGTATCTATGATGGTCACGTCCGCGCGCTCGCATACAGCCAAGGAGATTGTTCGCTATCCTTCGAATGAGCCCCACCTCTCGACCCGCCGCCGAATGATCTGCCGTCCGCGCGAGGTCGTGGATTCGCTCGATGCCATCAACCTAAATCGAAGAAAATAACAAAGTGAGCCATTTAAAAAATAATGCACCGCATGGCTAAATAAATAAAAAATGAATTACTTACCAAAGCTCCGTCCGCCGCTCCTTCGGGGGTCATGTAACGAACAAATTGTCTTCGGTAGGTTTCCAGGTATGGGTCATGGTAGCCCATCCGCCCCACATGAGATGCTGTCACAATATCCTGATCTTGCCTAACATTCCACAGGCGAATCAAGTTTTCATACTCCTCCGGCCAATTAGTAGGTCCTTGTCGACCATCTTTCCCGTGGTACTCCTTCTGACTCTCCGGGACATCCAATGGTATGCATTGCTCACGTCCAAATTGTCGTAGACATCGATCCGGCAAGTGCCACTCCACTATATGGTGGCAGATTAGTGGAACTCGGGTGCACCATTGACCGGGATGTAACGGGAACTTGTGGACGTGATGCGCAACAATCCGTTCTGGATACGGATCGAACTTAAGCTAAGAAGGTTTATAAAAAAAACCCATTAATCAACATAATAATATAAGTTAAAAAAGTAGGAATTAATAGTGTATTATGATGCTCACCTCTGCTTCCCAAAGGCGATCAAGCCTCCTACGATACTCCTCCAACTTATGCGCTCCTAGGTTGTCGCATGTTTTTTCACCAAGCCACCTATTCAATCCAAAAAGTATGGAGTGTTAATACATAATACCCGGTTTGTTATAAAATACCCAATTAGTAAAAAATTGTGAGAACTATGAGTGGGATAGAAAACATTTACCTACAACCATAAGCTTCGTGTCATAGGGGGTGGTCGGGACCCCATTCCTTGTCGGGTTCAACCTTCGGCGCAATCCATGGCAAATGCTCCCAAGCCCAAAATTGGACGATGAACATGGCCCTATCAATCTCCTACCGCTCTCGCACTAGCATTACATAGGGATCGGTAGAGATGAGCTAGGCAAGCAGATGCCTAGCTTAGGTTTCCCATATCATCCCAACTACCAAGTATGATCTTCAACCATGAATTGCTGATTAGGTTGTTGGATTTCTCGGGGAAGAAAACTCCTCCGATCATGCCGAGGATGTAGATACGTGCATAAATATCTTTATCACGCTTCGAACTTTCCTTTGTGAGGGGAATGCCTCCGAACTCAGGGTTGTGCTTACGCCTGATCTCCGCTGTCAACCACGTGATGGATACTTGGCCCTTGGACAATGGTGGATGACCATCCGCATCGTGATCTCCCTTTTCTAGCGGACACAACCCGGTGACCGTCCATATAAAATGTTGCCAACCACTCATTTGGCAACAAGTTTAGGTGATGGCGTAGAGTCCACACAAACAACATCACCATCGATGGGCAGATCGGTTAGGATGGCAATGTCCTTAAGTGTGATGGTGCACTCGCCTTCACGAAAATTGAAGCTGTGTGTCTCCTTTCGCCATCTCTCTACCATCGCCGTGATGAGTTGGCGGTCGATCTTGATTCCATTAAAATGCCAAATCGAATCCAATCTTGCCCTTTTTAGAAAAGGCAAGATGACATCGTTCCATTCAAGCACATTCGTCGTGCCCCTATAGCGGACTATATGGTATGCATCCTAGAGAAGAATTTAAATTTCACTATAAGTTGATGATTTGTACATATATAAATATATTATAAGATGCAATTTATATATAAATCAAGGTTGTTTTAGAGAAATATACATTATCTAATAAACATTAATTTTAACATTACTAAAATAATTTTCTAAGATGCAATATTAATTAAATCAAGGTTGTTTTAGAGAAATATATATTATCTAATAAACATTAATATTAACATAACTAAATAATATTATAAGATGCAATATTAATTAAATCAACATAACTAAAATAACTAACATAATTTTCGAAATATAAATTATTTAATAAACATTAATATTAACATAACTAAAATAATTTTCGAAATTTAAGTATAATTATTTTTTGTACACATACACATAAAATCAAATATATTATTTTGTTAATCATATTGATTATTTTCAATAATTTAAAGCAATACAAGTACACTCGTAAGACTCTTAGGAGAGGTATACATCTCCTTAGAAACACAGTCTTTTTGACAGAAAAAGGGGGGATTCGAGGATCGCTTATAACCCGATTTTCCCAGGTCATGGGGGGATCATGATGATCGCTTAAGTCCTCATTTCCTTAGACATGCATTTCTTTATAAAGAGTCTAAATAAGTGTTGTATTGTATTGATTTAAATTATTGAAAATAATCAATACGATTAACAATTAAGTAAATTATTGTACAAACAAATAAATTACTTTAACAAAATACAAATTACAAGTGATGATAAATAATATGTACCTTGTGGTCGTTCCAAACGTCTCTTGAACGATGATTTGCTTGATCGTATAACACTGTCGGATTAATCGGTCCTTGATCAACATAATATCGTTGATTGAAAATATCAACATCCGGCCCAACCTACGATAGCATAACAATAACATAAATCAATTAGTATATAAATTAAATAAATCATTATAACAACAACAACAATTGGGAAAAATGAGTACGTACCGTTTGATAATCATCATAAAAAAGGCCCTCTTCTTGTGCGAAATCGGCCATTTTTTCGGAATCCAGACAGAGGTTCGACGGTTTTTTAGTGAAAACCAAAGAAAAAGTTTTTTGGAGGCAGATCGGACTTAGCCGCAACCAACAAAATAACTAATTCTAAGGTTTTTGGGTGGGGAGGGGGGTGGATATAGTGAGAAAGTTAGAGGGAGAGGGGGGAATTGGTTTGGTGTGCAGAAAATGGGAGGGGGAAGGGGGGTTTATATAGGTACGAAACCGTGTGAGGGAGGGGCGGTTTCATCCTTTTATCCCGCCTAAAACCGCGCATCAGCACGCGGTTTGACTGTTGGGGAACTCAAACCGCGCTTCGGGGGAGCGGTTTGACTGAGCGATGCGGATCGCTAAGCTGGCACGTGTTTTGGCCGTCAGATCGCTCCCTCATCGCGCGGTTTGTGTCACCGCCACGTGGCCACGCGTTTTGACAGCCATGCAAGGTCAAACGGCGCCTCCAAGGCGCGTTTTGTGCTATAACCGCTGCCAGGAGGCGCGGTTTTAAATAAACGATGGTATTTTTGGAAATTATTGGGAGTGGGTGGTATTTTTGTAAATTTTTTTAAACAGTGGTAGTTTTAGATTTTTTCCCAGGAAATGCATAACAATATATTGTAGAAAAATTTATTTAGCTAATTTGAAGGTTTGGGTTCAACTTCTCAATAATAATAGCTATTTGAGAAGACAATTGTTTAAATTTAGTAGAAGTATCGTGCGACACTCCAAATTTAGAATTTCCTTGTAGCTAGTAGATTTACGTCTGTGTTTTTTTTTTTTTTTGTGAAACGGAGTGCTTAAAGTGCGCTCCAACCTTTATTTATGAACTGCACGAGTAGTTTATACTCCAATAACATCGTAATACAACCAGTAAGCTAAAGTACTGTCCGGGTTGTAAAAAATGAAGACCAATTGGCCAAAGGTCGCCTAATGAAGCAAGATGATCCGCCACTACATTGGCTTCTCTGTAGACTGTAGACGTGAAGTATGTCTGTGTTTATTGAACATATATTTTCTAATAATTATATTTTTCCTTTTTCTTTCGGAACTCGGAATAGGATTTCTCTTATTTTCGTGTATATATATAACTCTTTTTTTTTTGTAGAAGTCTACAAAACTCTCTGCACACGACAAACTTCCAACATTCATTCACCATCGTCAAAGAAAAGTAATGGTGGGTAAAAGAAACGAATCATGGATGCCAGCATAAAACTTACCCATTGCGAACAAAATCGTGTCTAAGGGATCACGACCCACAAATGTAGTCCCTGACCCCCTTGGACGACGGGCAAACCCATTAATGCCCACCGAAATTGCTGCTGGAGGGTAGGACAGAGACGCCGGTAATCGGGAGAACAGGGTGCCTGCACTAGGATCCGGGGCAGCCGTAGACCCAGATCGGTGACTAGCGGAGGGGACCTGCGATGAGTCCTAGCTAGAGACACGCCATTCGTCTCGTTGAGCCACGAACTGACGAACTAATGCAGAAGGAAGGTATTGAATTCCACCATGAACTGCCCAGCATTGACCTTTCCATATCCTCCAACAAAGGAAGGTGATCTCGACAACCTGCAATTTGGACAAGTGCAACGAGAAGAACAAGTGCTTCCAAGCATTAATAGGATCCAATACCTCTAATTGTTGACGGAGAGAGTTAAGTCCGGCAAGCGGCCAAACTCCCCTAGCTACTCTGCATTGGAAAAAACAGTGAGTGAAAGACTCTTCATCCTCCGAGCAAACAGGACAAGTGGCGGCAGTGACAAGCTTTTTGCGGAGGAGGACCGATTGAATAGGCAGGAAACCACGGACCAACCGCCATAGAAAATTTCGTAACTTTGGAGGCATGGGCATGCTCCATAAGAATTTCCAAAACCTACCATCAAAAAGTAAAACAGGATGGGGGTGGCGAGCATTAAGTTCATTAGTTAAAACATGATAGCCGGTTTTAACTGTATACTCCCCCGAAGCAGAAAAATGCAAAACCAAACGATCCTCTGATGGGTGCAAGGCCAATGGAATGCCTAGAATGAGCATGACCGTGTCGGGAGCGAAGAGAGAGACCAGGAGATTTATGTTTTTGCTTATTGAACATATATTTTCTAATAATTATATTTTTCCTTTTTCCGCCTGTTGGGTTTAAACACATTGAAAGAAGACGTATTGCAGTTGAAGAAGATAAGTGTTTAATAAATATGTATTCTGGGTGAAGAGACGCGTTGGTTACTCATAATTAAGTTGTATATATATGTGTGTAACTGAATAGATTATTAATGAAATAAAGAAAATTCAGACTATCTTTCTTTTACTACTTCTGTAAGCGAATTTCCTCAATCCCTTCTAAATCTACATTTGGTATCAGAGCGTGGCTTGAGAGACATGGGCGAACGCGAGGAAATAGCGTACCAATCCAATATCCAATGTTAACGGATACGAACTATGGATTGTGGTCTGTAAAGATGAAAATAATCATGCGCTCTTTAGGCGTATGGGCGGCAATTGAAGGCGATGACCCTGTCGATGAAGAAAAAGATCAAGGCGCGCTGGCCGCTATATCGCAATCTGTGCCAGACTCTGTTATGATGTCAATTGAAGCATCAGAAATGGCGGCTGAGGCATGGGAAGAGATTCGTAAGATGCGAATTGGAGAAGAGCGTGTGAAGAAATCAACCATTCAAGCGTTAAAACGGCAATTTGATCGGTTGATTATGGATGATTCCGAAGAAATCGGAGAGTTTGCAACAAAACTGATTTCACTGGTGAGTGAGATTCGTACCATGGGAGGAGAACTGAAAGATGCACAAGTTGTGGAGCGGTTTTTCAGTGCAGTTCCTGATCGGTTCTCATCTATCATTAGTACGATAGAACAATGGGGAGACGTGGAGGCAATGTCCGTATCTGAAGCCGTAGGAAGATTGAAGGCATTTGATCGGAGTACACGTACTCGCCGAAGTGAACGAAATGAAGATGGGAATGATCAACTTATGATGGTGACTCGTGGGCAGATTAAGAACATGATTCAAAAAGGAAGGATAATCGGAGAAGGGTCTAGTGAAAGGTCACATGCAAGCCGTCAAGATGACGACGTTGAACGAAGAAATTCTGATGTGAAGAAGGAGAAGAAACATCGGAAGTTTGATAAAAGTAAAATCAAATGCTTCAATTGCAATGTAATGGGGCATTTTGCCTCAGAATGTCGAAAGCCAAAACGAGAAAGAGCAAACCTCGTACTGGAAGAAGATGATGACGTAGATGAACCTGCGTTGCTTATGATGGAATCTTGTGAGATTGCAACTCTAGGAGTTGCATCGAAGGGAGAGGTCTACCTGAGTGAAGAAAGGGTACTTCCAAAGTTAATAGGAAGTCAAACTCATTCTTGGTATCTTGACTCAGGGGCAAGTAATCACATGACGGGGATTGTTGAGAAATTTGTGGAACTTGACGAGTCCATACAAGGCAAAGTGAAATTTGGGGATGGTTCATCTGTGGAAATATGTGGTAGAGGATCGGTTCTTCTGCAGTGTGGAACGGGAGAACAAAAGGTTTTGACCAATGTTTATTATATCCCACAACTAAAAAATAATATTATAAGCATGGGACAACTTGACGAAAATGGTTGTAAGATTGTCATTGAAGATGGCGTCATGTGCGTGTTGGATCGGCAACGAAAGATGCTTGCAAAAGTGAAGAGGGCTAGGAATCGCCTTTATATTCTTAGCATCACCGAAGCCCAGCCGGTTTGTCTTATGACAAAACACAACGATGAATCGTGGTTGTGGCACTCGAGGTTTGGACATGTAAATTTCCTATCCTTAAGGAGGTTGGTGCAAGGAAATATGGTCAACGGGATGCCTCTTATTGATCACGTTGAAAAAATATGTGATGTATGTATGGTTGGAAAGCAAAGAAGAAATTCATTTCCAGGCAAGGCAAAGTATCGTGCAACAGAACCGCTTCAGTTAGTGCATGGGGATTTATGTGGTCCAATCACACCTTCTACACATGGTGGAAAAAGGTACTTTTTGTTATTGGTTGATGATTATTCTCGTTACATGTGGGTTGTGTTGATTAAGAATAAAGCCGAAGCCTTTAATGCAATAAAGAAGATACAAGTTATGGCTGAAGTTGAATCAGGGTGCAAACTGAAGATACTCAGAACCGATCGTGGTGGCGAGTTTACCTCGAACGAGCTTGAAAGCTATTGTGAAAATCTCGGAATGAAGCATCAACTCACTGCTCCCTATTCTCCGCAGCAAAACGGAATAGTGGAGAGACGAAATCAGACAATTGTGGGCATGGCGCGAAGTTTATTGAAAAGTATGAATGTGCCAGCGACTTTTTGGGGCGAAGCTGTAATGACGACTGTGTATCTACTCAATCGTGCTCCAACGAAGAGTGTGATAGGTAAGACACCGTACGAGGCTTGGCATAAGCATAAACCTGATGTTAGACACCTCCGTACTTTCGGTTGTGTTGCTCACGTCAAGACGGTTGGTAAACATCTCTCTAAGTTGGAAGATAGAAGCAAGCCAATGGTGTTCATAGGATACGAGTCACCTGTTTCGAAAGCCTATCGGATGTATAATCCTGCGACGCAGAAGTTAGTTGTGACAAGAGATGTGGTGTTTGATGAAGGACGGAAATGGGATTGGACAAAGGACGATCATCACAAAGATATGGCGGTCAGAGGAAGTTTTTTCTTCCAAATTAATGCAAGTCCTGTCATCAACGACAAACTACCTCAGGGAGAGCAAGAGCATTATGTCACTGAACCTGGAACACCAAACTCGCATATCATCTCAACACATGAAGACAATGAAGCTACACCAGGAAGTTCAAGCGTAGGCCCTCGTGGAATTCGTAACTTGGATGATGTCTATAATGACACGAGTATGGTTGATCTCGAAGAATGCTTATTCTGCATGGAAGAACCATCAAACTTTCTTGAAGCTAAGAAACAAGCCAAGTGGCTGAAGGCTATGAAGGAGGAATTAAAATCGATTATTGATAACAAAACTTGGGAGCTGGTTGATCTACCGAGAGGACACAAGCCTATCGGCCTCAAATGGGTGTTTAAATTAAAGAAGGATTCGAATGGAGTTGTGACCAGACATAAGGCGAGGTTAGTCGCAAAGGGATATGTTCAAAAATACGGAGTTGATTTTGAAGAAGTTTTTGCTCCAGTAGCTCGAATGGAATCGATCAAGCTTATGCTTGCATTGGCAGCCCAAAGAGGATGGGAGGTTCATCATATGGATGTGAAGTCCGCCTTCTTAAACGGAGAACTTAAGGAAGAAGTATATGTGTTACAGCCTCCGGGATTCGAAGTATGCGGGGAAGAACACAAGGTCTTAAAGTTACATAAAGCATTATATGGTTTACGACAATCTCCTCGGGCGTGGAATACAAAGTTGGACAAGACCTTAAAATCTCTCGGTTTTGTTAAGAGTCCAGTGGAACATGCAATTTATAGAAGAAACAAAAATCAGTCAAATCTTATTGTGAGAGTTTATGTGGATGATCTAATCATCACAGGTGATAACGTGGAAGACTTGCACTCTTTCAAGTAACAGATGAAGAGCATGTTCAGCATGAGCGATCTTGGACTATTAAGCTATTATCTGGGCATTGAAGTCAAGCAGCATTCACAAGGTATTTCTTTGCACCAAGCAGCCTATGCTTCTCGTCTCTTGGTTAAGTGTGGTCTGGAAAAATGTAATGCTGCTCAGACTCCAATGGAACCAAAATTGAAGTTGCGAAAGGTTAGTAGTGGGTTATCAGTTGATATTACCTATTATCTAAGTATTGTTGGTAGTTTGAGATATTTGGTACACACTCGACCTGATATTAGTTATGCTATTGGGTTAGTAAGTCGATATATGGACTGTCCTACTACTGAGCATCTAGCAGCTGTAAAACATATCCTGAGATATGTAAAGGGGACGTTAACATTAGGCTGTCACTACAAGAGGGAAGTTGGTGATAATTTCAGCCTCATTGGGTACAGTGATAGTGATTTGGCCGGTGATGCCGATGATAGAAAAAGTACTACCGGTGTGGTTTTCTTTCTAGGCTCTAGTCCAATCAGTTGGATTTCACAAAAGCAAAAGGTTGTTGCCTTATCTTCATGTGAAGCAAAGTATATTGCAGCAACATCAGCAGCATGTCAAGGGATTTGGTTGGGAAGGTTGTTAGCAGACTTCTTGGGGACAGAGAGCATTGAAGTAATATTGAAGATTGATAATCAGTCGGCAATTTCTTTAAGCAAGAACCCAGTTTACCATGACCGGAGTAAACACATTGATATTCGATATCACTTCATTCGTGAAAGTGTTGAAACAGGAATGATCAATATCCAACACACTCGCTCAGAAGATCAACTTGCTGACATACTAACTAAGTCGTTGGGAAGAACAAGATTTCTTGAGATGAGGAACAGAATTGGGATAGAAGCTGTCACAATATAAGCAATGTGTTTAAGGGAGAGAATGTTGGGTTTAAACACATTGAAAGAAGACGTATTGCAGTTGAAGAAGATAAGTGTTTAATAAATATGTATTCTGGGTGAAGAGACGCGTTGGTTACTCATAATTAAGTTGTATATATATGTGTGTGATATATATGTGTGTAACTGAATAGATTATTAATGAAATAAAGAAAATTCAGACTATCTTTCTTTTACTACTTCTGTAAGCGAATTTCCTCAATCCCTTCTAAATCTACACCGCCTGAATCGGAATAGGGTTTCTCTTATTTTCCTATATATATTGCAGAAGCCTACAAAACTCTCTTTTTTTGGTAAAACCCTAAAAAAACTCTCTGCACACGACAAACTTCAAACATTCATTCACCATCGTCAAAGAAAAGTAATGGTGGGTAAAAGAGAAGCAACGGAGGACGCAGAGATTAGCGGCGAAGTGATAGGCATCGACCTAGGCACCACCTTCTCCTGCGTCGCCGTCGCTCGAAAGGGTCGCGCCGTCGAAATCATAGCCAACGACCAAGGCAACCGGACCACCCCTTCCTACGTCGCCTTCTCCCCCGCCGCCGCCGGCTCCGAACGTCTCATCGGCGAAGCCGCCAAGAACCAGGCCACTCTCAACCCGCGCGGGACAATTTTCGACGTCAAGCGACTCATCGGGAAGAAATTCGACGACCCAGAAGTTCAGAGAGATCTAAAGTACTTGCCCTACCCCGTCGTGGAAAGAGATGGGAAGCCTTGCGTCCAAGTTGAAGTCAACGGCGAGATGAAAACCTTTACCCCGGAAGAAATCAGCGCCATGGTGCTGGGGAGGATGAAGGAGACCGCGGAACTGTACCTTGGGAAGCAAGTCACCAACGCCGTGGTTAGCGTCCCGGCCTACTTCAACGACTTACAGAGGCAAGCCACTAAGGACGCCGGGATTATCGCAGGCCTTAATGTTTTACGGATAATCAACGAGCCTACTGCTGGTGCCCTAGCCTACGGTGTGAACCAGGACCCAAACACAAAAAGGAACATTCTGGTTTACGATTTAGGTGGCGGAACGTTCGACGTCAGCGTTTTGGAGATCGAGGACGGCATATTCCAGGTATGGGTCAAAAAATCTTTGAGAACCTTGAAACAGTTGATCATAATACATGAAATGTGTAACCGTTAATGGTTGACCCGTCAATTTTTCCCGATGTGCCAGGTACTGGCCACCGGTGGTGATACACACCTCGGCGGAGGAGATTTCGACAAAAGGTTGATGGAGTATTTTGTCGATCTTATAAAGAAGAGGTACCAAAAGGATGTTAGTGAAGACAGGAAAGCTTTGGGGAAGCTGCGGAAGCAATGTGAGAGGGCCAAACGGGTATTGAGCACTCAGATGCAGACTAGAGTAGAGATTGACTCTTTGATACAAGGGAATGATTTTTCTGAGCCGCTGACGAGGGCAAAATTCGAGGATTTGAATTTGGATTGTTTTGAGAGGACACTAGAAGTGGTGAAGTCGACACTAAAAGATGCTAAGGTAGAGAAGGACAAGATTGACGAGATAGTGTTGGTTGGAGGAAGCACAAGAATCCCAAAGGTTAGAGAGATGCTGAAGAAGATGTTTGATGGTAAAGAGCCGAGCAAAGGGATTAATCCTGATGAAGCTGTGGCTTATGGTGCTGCTGTCCTCGGAGGCAATCTTACTAGCGATCAAGCTGGAGTTGGTAATTTTGCAAATCTTTCGAAGCCCTACCAGCTGGTTTGTGTTTCCGGTCGTTTCTTTCAACGTAGTTGCATGTTTGTTTGATACCAATTACGTATGCTATTGAAATTTTAGGTGCTATTTTATTGGACGTAACCCCCCTGAGTTTGGGGGTCGGTATCCATGGCGATCTGATGTCTGTAGTAGTGCCCAGAAATACACCCATTCCTACAAAGAAGTCTCGTGGTGGGTACACAACGGTTTCTGACCAGCGAACTAGTCAGATTTTCAGGGTTAGTTTCGCTATATGTAGCAACCGGTTGAATTGTTCTGTATTTGAGTTTATTTAAGATCATATCTAATCTCCTTACGCGAATATTATAACTTATCATTTCAGGTTTACCAAGGTGAACGAATCCTGACCAAGGATTGCCTTATGCTAGGAAGTTTTACACTAACAGGTATTCAAGCTGCTCCAAGGGGAGCTATGCCTATGGAGGTGACATTCGAGGTGGATGCGGATGGAATCCTAACCGTCACGGCGAAGGAGGAAGGCACCGGGAATTCCAAGTCCCTTACAATCGACAAGTACAAGAGGAATTTGAGTTCAAGAGAAATTGAAAGGATGATCAGAGAGGCAAGGGAGATGGCCGACAACGACAAGCAGGAGAAAGCACGTGTTGAAGCAGGAAACCAATTGGAACGGGACATTTACGATTTGAAGAAGGCAGTGGCTGAGAGGATTCATATCTATGATGGCGATAAGGCGGAGGTGGAGAGGGTGCTGAGAGAAACTTCGGAATGGTTTGATGACAACAAGATGAATGCATGCATGCAAGAGTACGAGGACAGAAGTCGGAAGCTAAAAGACTTGTTGACCAAGGTTTCATCAGAATGAAAAAGAAAAAAAAAATCAAGTCAGAAGCATGCCTGCGTATGAGTTTTCTCTATTTTGGGTGAAGCAAGACCATCTTCAGTTTGACTTTTTTTTTAGTTTTGAACGGCTCATTCTGGTTAGTGGTGCTTTGCATCATTGCTTTCTTCGTCGTACGATACACTGAAATCTTATCTTTAATTATACTAGTTTTTTTACCCGCGCTCCGTCGCGGTAAGAAATTAATAATTTCTTTGAAATTAGATAATTCACATAATTATTTTGATAAGAAGCTAACTGAAATTTCACGTATCTCACCAAAAAAACTTAAATTTCATGTATGGTGGTAACAAGACCGCGGTGGAGAGGGCGTCGAGAGAAGCTTCAGACTGGTTTGATAACAACAAGAGTGCGAGCATGCAAGAGTACAAGGATAGTGAATGGACGGTATACCAGGCGCGAGGGGCCTGCCGGATAGGGGCGGGCATTCGGTCGGTTTGGTTTCGACCGAATCAAAATTATGAATACCGGGTCCCCGAATTCTCTCAAACCGGATTCGAACCGAAATATAATTCGGTTCTGTCGGTTTAAACCGAATTATAATTGGGTTCGGTTCGATTTTTCACCCAAAACCGAATTTGTGAAGCTTTTATCACTTTTAAATTATTTTTCACCCCTAATATAAACAATAAATATCAATTATATGCATCATTAATGATAAAATCAAACTTTTCAACATATAAGTCATAAAACATTTCAATATTTAAGTCTAAAAACAACTACAAACATAAAAATCAACCATTTGGAGCTTGCAATTATAGTATTTCGGTTTTTCGCTCGGAATTTCAGAAATTCGATTCGGTTGAAACAACCCTAGTTTCCGAACTATCCATATTTTCCTTCCGAATTCCGAACCGAATAACATTAATTCGGTTTCAGTTCGGTTTAATTCGGTTTCCGTTTGGTTCGGGTTTACCGAACCGTTTGCCCAGCCCTACTGCCGGAGGCCGTGAATGGCCCGTTTGAGACGACAGACATGATGAGGTCGATCAGGATCGACGAAGCCTGGAGGCTGAACCATGTAAACTTCATCAGTTAAGGGGCCTTGGAGAAAGGCGTTGTTGACGTCAAAGTGGGCAATCGACCAGTTCTGAGATAAGGCTATAGCAAAGACAGTGCGGACTGTGACTGGCTTCACCATGGGACTGAATGTATCATTGAAGTCGACTCCAGGTCGCTGGTGAAAGCCCTTTGCGACCAGCCTTATTTTGAATCGAGCAATCCGACCGTCAGGCTCGCGCTTGACCCGAAATACCCAACGGTTGCCAAATACATTATAATGTGGAAGTCGTGGAACTAGGTCCCAGGTTGCATTCGCATGAAGAGCATGATTTTCGTCGTGGAGAGCAGCAGACCACTCGGGGTAGAGTAAAGCCTCGTCGACAGTAGCTGGCTCGAGCGGCGGGGAAGAAGAAGGGAAAGCAGCAGGAGGCGATGCAGAGGAGCGGCCGGCAGTGGTGTGAAAAAGCCTTTTGGGCTTGAAAATCCCGTGTTGGGCCCGCGTGGTCATGGAATGCACCCGTTGTGGAGGGGGTGGGAGAACCGGCGGGGCAGCAGGCCCAGTGGCAGGCGTCGTGGGCTCGGAAGGAGGCCCAGTGGCGGATGCTGTGGAGGTTTCTTCAAACGAGGAGGCCATAGTTGAAGGGGAGTTGGGCCCAGATGGAGCTGGGCTGGTGTGTGGAGAGCTGGGCCTAGGTACCTGCAGGGTAGTAATAGTAGGATTGGAGTCCAAAAGCCTAGCGGCAGTAGTGGGAGGAGGAATAGACGTAGAAGAGGTGAAACCAGGAAATGTATTTTCGACAAACCGAACATGGCGAGAAAGGTAAAGGCGATTATTGAGGGGGATCAAAACAGCGATAGGCACTCCGTTGCAGACAATAACCCAGGAAGAGACATGGACGGGATCGAGGTTCAAGTTTTGTGGTGGAGTAAGGCCGAAGCCAAGGGTAGCACAAACAACCAAAAATACGAAGCTTATGGTAATTGGGAGTTTGATTAAAAAGGAGAGTGTATGGGATTTGACCGCGAAGAGCAGAAGATGGCAGGCGATTAATAAGGTAGACCGCTGTCGAGAAGGCAAAGGACCAAAAAAGAGAGGGAAGATGGGCATGATGGAGAAGGGTGATACCAGTTTCAACAATGTGGCGATGCTTGCGTTCGGCTAAACCATTATGCTCTGGGTATGAGGCGGAGTAAGTAAATGACTAATACCATGAGCAGCCAAGGTGGAACATAATTTTTGAAACTCACCACCCCCAACAGTATAAATACGGCGAATGGTGGTAGAAAAATAGTTTTCAACCATGGTGCGAAAATCAAGAAAACTTGAAGAACATCAAACTTTCGACGAAGGGGATAATACTTCGTGTAACGAGTGAAATGATCTATTATAATGAGATAGTACTGAAAATTGTCAATGGAGGAAACAAAAGCTGGTCCCCAAACATCTGTATAAAGTAGATCAAAAGGGCGAGTACTTGAAAGAGATGAAACACCAAACGGGAGTTTGTGGGATTTATTAGAGAGACAAGCATCACAATAATTAAGGGAAGAGGATGAAACTGGAAGGGAATGAGAACGAAGCAAGGTATGAAGCAACTGCTGAGATGGATGACCCAGTCGTGAATGCCACGAATCTGCAGAAGTACAAGTCGTGACAAGTGCCATACGAACAGGTTCAGCCGTCGGGGCAGCTCGTACACATCACCTTTGTTGTCCCCTTTCAACAGTGGTGCCCCCGTGCGAAGATCCTTCACAACAAAATAAGTGGCAAAAAATTCCACTGACACTGGATTAGTACGACATAATTGAGCCACAGAAATAAGATGCTTTTTGATGGCCGGAACATGTAAGACATCTTGTAAAGATAGAGTGTGAGAACTAGTAGAACGATGAGAAGAACCAATATGACTAATCTGCAAACCTGAGCCGTTGCCAACGATGATCTCATCTGGTCCTGAATAATCAGAATAGAGAGATAAATTTCCAAGATCAGCTGTGACATGGTGGGAAGCAGCAGAGTCCATTAACCAGGAATTGTGCGCAGGAGGCTGACCGCCAGCAGAAGGCAGGAGAGGTGGGCCAACGTTGGTGTAGTGAGCCTAGGCCTGCCTAGTTTGGAGATGGGCCTGTCTGGCCTGGGGAAATAATTGAAAGCACTGGCGCACAGAGTGCCCAGGATTTTCACAATATTGGCAAATGGTGCGAGGCTTGCGTGGAGTGAAGCCCGACGAGTCAGCAGGCGAAGAGTAAATAGCCTGTGAAGATGAGCCCTGTGAATATGGGCCTGAAGCCCGCTGATGAGAGTTGTGAGGCCCACGCGCTGATGAGGAGTCAGATTAGGGTTGCTGGGATTGAGAGATGCGCTGGGACCGAGGCTGAGACTGGCCGCCAACTCGCTGCCCCTGGGAGAAGAAAGCAGTTGGAACAGAGGTGGGCATCTGAGCTTTTAAATCAGCTTCAAACTCGACTAAAGATTCAACCAAATCTTCGAGAGTAAGCCCAGGACCCCCTGCACGAACAGCGGCTGAAAATGATTTGTATTCTTCACCCAAACCACGAAGGCAGTGCACAACAAGATCAAGATCATTTACAGGCTCGCCTATGAGAGCAAGTTGAGCAGCTGTGGACTTGAGATTATTGACAAAGGTAAGAATGTCCCGATTCCCTTTGACAATTTTCCCAATCTTTCCCTTCAGATGAATAATGTGGGATTGGGCATTGCTGGCATAGAGTTTCTCCAAGACTAACCAGGCTTCGCGAGCAGTAGTTGCAACAGAGACAAAGGAGTAGATTGATTCATCAATTGAACAGCGTAAAGCATGAAGTATGAGTTTATCTTGCCTGAACTAATTCCGATAGGCAGGATTTGGAGCGGGTTCAGCATCCACAGTAATTGATTGAGGTGGAGCTACCTTGGTACCATCAATAAAACCAATCAAATCGAGCCCCATGAGTAAGGTCTCAAGCTGCGATCTCCATGAAGCAAAATTTGTTGGAGTGAGCTTTAGGGGAAGCTGGGCGCCAGGGTTGAAGGTGATAATAGGATTCTCAGAGTTGCTGGATCCATTGTGCGAGACTATAGAAGCAGAGTCCCCTGCCATTGCGATGGAAGAAACAGAGAGAATTGGAAAGATAGTGAACAACGATGAGAGAGGAGGAGATGGATCGAATCTAGCTGATCGTTGCTAGCTCTGATACCATGAAAGGAATTACAGATTTGATAATTGTGGAAAATCCGAATGTATTTCTCATTAGTGATTCTTTGAACTAATATACAAGATTTGGGAGGTAAAATAGGAGCACGTAACACACTTAGCAACATAATTGCTGTAGACCTCCCACCAAGATAGGAACAGAACAGTAGTGGGCAAATTAATAAATAAAGAATTTATATATCTCTAATAGATAGAAGTCGGAAACTGAAAGCCCTATTGAAGAAGGTTTCACCAGAATAGTGAAGAAATTACTGTCCTTTTTTTTTTTTTGCAAATTACGTATATATGCATGCTCGAATTACCTACTTTACTTTTGTTTGCAATATCATCTTATATTGGACTTCAATTGTTGGGTGATGCATGCTTGCACTTTGAGTAAAGGCTAAAGAGCACATAGTCGTTGTGTGCGTTGTGAAACGATTATCTTTAATTGTTTGTTATCTTCATCGATTAATCTTTGATTAAATCTTGTTCTAACCTTAATTAGTTGCACGTACTGCGTAGAAACCAAATTGTTCAAATAAGACACTGCAATGAAATGAAATCGAATCGAGTTTTCATGATCTTCATCGGCTCGTTTATTAATTAAAATAATTTTTTTAATCAGAATATTAAAAATAAACATTAACGCATGCACCTTCCAAATTTCAAATGAAATTGTGGTAAACGAAGGGACCACAATTAATTAATTGTTCTGAATTCAGTTCACACATCCAGATTCACAATTTCAAAGCTAGAGGAAGGAATTTGGAAAGCCGCTAATAATTAAGGCAAGAAATTAAACTGGCGACTTCTATAAATAAAACTCGAATGATTCATTCATTCACTACTCAGCGGTCACACTCAGTACCAATATTCATTCACCACGGTTCAGAGAAATAATGTTGGGCGCCGCGAGGATCAACGGAGAAGTGATCGGGATCGACCTAGGGACCACCTTTTCCTGTGTCGCTGTCGTTCGGCCAGGTCTTGGCGTACAAGTCATAGCCAACGACCAAGGCAACCGAACCACGCCTTCGTACGTCGCCTTCTCCCCCTCCAACGCCGGCTCTAAACGTCTCGTCGGCGAAGCCGCCAAGAACCAGGCGACTCTCAACCCCCGCCGAACAGTCTTTGACGTCAAACGACTCATTGGGAAAAAGTTCGACGATCCAGATGTCCGGGCATATTTAAAGTACTCGCCCTATCCAGTCGTGCGAAGACATGGAAAGCCATGCGTCGAAATCGAAGTCAACGGCAAGTTGAAAACATTTACCCCGGAAGAAATAAGTGCCATGTTGCTGAGGAAAATGAAGGAGACGGCGGAAACCTACCTTGGCAAGAAAGTAACCAACGCCGTGGTCACCGTCCCCGCCTACTTCAACATCTTCCAGAGGCAAGCCACCAAGGATGCTGGCACTATCGCCGGGCTCAATGTTGTGCGGATACTCAACGAGCCCACTGCCGCCGCCCTAGCCTATGGTGTAAATAAAGGTTCGACGACGAACAAGAAGCACGTTCTGGTATTTGATTTGGGTGGCGGAACGTTGGACGTTAGCATTTTGAACATCAACAACGACGTTTATCAGGTATAGTAATTAAATAAACTTATTTGATGATATATGAAAGCCAGCCGATTTCTCCCCTAAAAATAACTGTTAGCCATGAAAGCGTGAAAAGCTTGTATCTGTTCGTAATTCCAGGTACTGGCAACAGGCGGCGACATGCATCTCGGCGGTGTGGATTTCGACCAAAGAGTGATGAACTATTTTGTTAATCTGATCAGGCGGAAGTACAGGATCGATATTACATCGGACGGGAAAGCTCTGGCGAAGCTGCGGAAGGAATGCGAGAGGGCCAAAAGGGTACTAAGCACTCAGAAGCATACTAGAGTCGAGATCGATTCCTTGATACTAGGGATGTATTTTTCGGAGCCACTGTCGAGAGCAAGATTCGAGAATTTGAATTCGGATCTGTTTGAGAAAACAATGAAGGTGGTGAGGTCGACACTGAAAGATGCAAATTTGCTGAAAGGTAAGATTGACGAGATTGTATTGGTTGGAGGGAGCACCGGAATTCCCAAGGTGAGGGAGATGTTGAAGGAGGAGTTCGATGGGAAAGAGCCCAGCATAGGGATCAACCCTGACGAAGTTGTTGCTTGTGGTGCTGCTGTCCAAGGAGCAATGCTAAGTAGCGACCAAGATGGACTTGGTAATTATTTGTTAGCATTATTTTTCAAAAGTCGTAATTGTTTTGTCTTCTTTGTTTCATTCCATATATCTGTTTTGCATGTACAAAATTTCTTACGATGTTAATGGAATTCCAGTTGTTACATTGAATGATGTCACTCCCTTAAGTTTGGGGATCAGGACAATGGGTGGAGTCATGTCTGTAGTGGTACCCAGAAACACAGTCATTCCTACAAAGAAGAAGTGCAGAGGGTACACTACCGTTGAAGATCAGCAAACTACAATAGTTTTCGAGGTTAGTTTGATGACTAGGTCATTCAGATGCATCATTTGGACCTTTTTTTCTCCCTAGAACGATAGATTGCGTTAAACAAAAAAAGATAGTGACATCATACCCGCATCCCAAAAGAGCTAGGCACAAAAATCAAACGTAACCCAGAAAAACGATTGGGAAACAAAGAAAGAACCTTCTTATGTCGACCAAAACTCTTGAAAAAAAACTTTGAAATTGGTTGCGCGGCATTTTATATTTTTTTGCCACACGTTTGTGTTGCAAATATATGAATGTATATATTTGAAATTCATATAATTGAAAAAATTTCATTTTAGATGAATCCATTTGGATTCTATTATTTGCATTCATTAGTGATTTGTTGTTCGTTTGAATTCTTAGGTTAGGTACTAAACACGTACTAGAATTTCATCATACTTATTTTTATCAAAATTCAATATATCTTTCAAACCTAAAAAATATTTTGATGTTTGATTTTTCAAATTCAATCGATCATATATATTTGAATAATTTATAATTTCAGGTTTTCCAAGGTGAAAGAGCACTCACCAAAGGTTGCATTCTGCTCGGAAGTTTTACTCTTTCAGGCATCCCACCGGCCCCAAGGTACGTACATAGTTTTGTTATGATATAACACATTTCAAGATTGATTCGCCAACCAAATCAAAATACGTGAAAATTGCAAAAAAAACATTCATATACATACAGGGGAGTTGCGTCTGTGGAGGTTACAATGGAGGTTGATGCGGATGGAATCTTAAGCGTCACCGCTAAAGACGAAGCAACCGGGAATTCTAAGTCCCTCGCCATCAACAACTCCAAAAGGAATTTGAGTTCAATGGAGATCGAGAGGATGACCAGAGAGGCAAGGAGAATGGCTGAGCACGATCGGAAGGAGAAGGCGCGTATTGATCCGAGGAACCAACTTGAGAGAAACATTTATGATTTGAACTATGGTAAGACAGCGTTGGAGAGAGCACTTGGAGAAGCTTCAGGGTGGCTTGATCACAACAGGGATGCGTGCAAGCAAGACTACGAGGCTAAAAGCCAGGAATTGGCAGACTTGGTAGCCAAGATGATTGTTGGGTGGAACAGGCCTCCCGTTTAAGTGAGAGTGCATGTAGTTTCGTTAATTAGTACTTGGGTTTGGAGAAAAAAAAAAGGGGTTGTATCTAATTATCCTATTTGGAAAATGAAAGATTAGCGATCTATGGGAACGGCTACGGTGCTAATTGTACAATAGTTAGCACCGTCCTAACCAAGGGAAAAACTACTACTAGTTTGAATTAGTAGTGATTTAGCTTAGATGTTGTATTGATTTTATAATAATTCGTAGTGATTTCGTTATTTTTAGTAGCGTTTTTTGCTAGTTATCACGGTGCTAACCCCTATAAGGGTTAGCACCTAATCCCATCCCGCGATCTATGCATTTGGATGGTTTTGTAATTTTAAAATGGAAATTGACTATTTTATTTTCCTAAGTTAAATATTTTTTTGTCTAGTCATTGTGAATCAAGAAAATATGATTAAACAAAGTTGGTGCGGATATAATTAGGTTCATAATATATATGTAGGATTGGAGATGAACTAAAATGCTAACCATTTGGGTTGGTGTTCGATTCGAAAAAGAAGGGATGTAATTTACGTATAGACAAATTAGACTGTATATTGTATAGTTGAGGCTAGCATAGCAATTTCTAAAACCACGAGCCAAAGTAGATTATTTGGGTACAGTTCGGGCCAAAATAAAGTATTAACCCCCTATTTAAAGGCTTAGACATGAATTTTAGAGGAGACTTTGCAGTTTATCGGTTTCATTCTTGGTTCATTGAGTTTTTAGCTTGTGAATTGTGCTTTGTATCAATCGAGTATTCTTTTTGATTGTAGTCAAACTTCTACCCTATATTAATAGAGCATACTCTCAGGTGTGAGATAGCACTTCAATTTCGCCTATCCCTATCTCTACTCTCTATTCTTGGTTGTGCGACTTTGATGATTACGCACACCAGTTCCGTGCTCGTATCAAATTGATCCTTGCTTGGTGAGTAACTACAAGAAAATGGGTGTTATTCCTTGTAGAGATATGATGAGTATAGTATAGTGTGTTGATTCTCTATCTATCTATCTATCTACATGTTAAGTGTTGGCTACTGCAATTCCATTTTTCCAGCTTATAGATGAGTACTAAAATAACTAAAGGGAGTTGTCATCTCATGCTACATAAGCTGATTACAATCATATCATGCTACATAAGCCGTTTACAATCATATATGCCTTGGAGGTCCCAGGTTTGGTTATGGTTCAATTCTGAAGAATCTAACTTCGGCTAAAACCACTACAACTAACCGCAATATAATCTATTATGGTTTTATTCTGGTATTATTTCACAATGGTATGCTAATTTTGTCGGTATAAAAATATTTATTTACTACAAAAATGATATTACATCGACACAAAACAATTGAATAGAATCGTGTTATCCACCAACGAATCCAATACAATTTCACAAACCATAAAAAGCCACAATGCAGAGCAATGCCGATGACCACGCCCGCGAAGGCATTGCTCGGTGGGCTCGATTGAATTTTCTTGATTTAATTTGCAGATCTCTAATGTCAATGTTAATTGAACTTTTTTTGTTGCATTGTTTGTAAAACTGTGAGAAAATTAGTATGATTTGAAATTTAAGAGATAATTATAATATTTAAGCGATATGGACGAAACAAAATGTTTAAATGAGTGAATGTCGAATCTAGTTATAACACATATTCATGTTAGTTTGATAAGGATACTTAAAATACCATAGTTGTACCAAATTTATTACTCACACTTTATCGTGTTCGAAAAAATAATCAGATAGACTTTCACCAACAAAATCAGTTCAAATTAGATTGAATATCCACAAAGATTGGTTTATTTTACCATCCCTACACCTCACTCAATATTTCTGCTCTTGCCACTCCCCATCTCTCACCACCGCCGGAGTGTTTACCCTAAAAAAAACTTCGGCGCGAGCGCCCACTTCCCAATTCCAACCCGACTACCCGAGTCTTGGAGTCTTGGTTAGATGAAGAGTCGCACTTAAATCCCCACAGCCAGATTCACAATTTCAAAGCTGTAAGGAGGAAACTGGAAAGGCGCCCTTGTAATTTATAGGCGAACAAAAGGCAGACGTTTTATATATACAACTTAAAACGATTCATTCATTCACTCAATCAACACCACTCAAGAGTACTCAATACTCAAAAGCCTAAATAACCCGGGGAAAAAAAATTTATGGGGGGCGGAGAGATCAGTGGAGAAGTGATCGGGATAGACCTAGGCACCACCTTCTCATGCGTCGCCGTCGCTCGAAAGGGCTACGCCGTCAAAATCATAACCAACGATCAAGGCAATCGAACCACCCCGTCCTATGTAGCCTTCTCGCCTCCCGCCGCCGGTTATACCGAGCGTCTCATCGGCGAATCCGCCAAGAATCAGGCTGTACGCAACCCCCGACGAACAATCTTGGACGTCAAACGTCTCATCGGGAAAAAGTTCGACGACCCGGAAGTCCAGAACGATCTCAAGTACTTGCCCTACCCCGTCGTCAACAGGGACGGAAAGCCTTGCGTCGAAGTCGAAGTTAATGGCGGGCAGCTGAAAACCTTTACCCCGGAAGAAATGAGCGCCATGGTGCTGCTGAAAATGAAGGAGACCGCGGAATCGTACCTTGGGAAGGAAGTAATCAACGCCGTGGTCACCGTCCCTGCCTACTTCAACGACTCCCAGAGGCAAGCGACCAAGGACGCTGGCATCATCGCTGGGCTCAACGTTGTACGGATAATCAACGAGCCGACGGCCGCCGCTCTAGCTTATGGTGTGAAACAAGATCCTAACACAAAGAGGAATATTCTCGTTTACGATTTAGGTGGCGGGACGTTCGACGTCAGCGTTTTGGAGATCAACAACGGCATATTTCAGGTACGTACGGGTGAAAAAATCTGGCAGTACGTACTTCTCCTGTCTCCTTCGAATCGTGGTTTGAAACCAAACTTCATACTCACAAACTTTCAATGTTTTAATTGGTCGAAAAATTGAGTATGGGTTAATGTAAGGAAGTGGTTAAGCACCGTAAGATTCAGCATAGCCTTCTCTCAATAACTTGGGTTATTGGGATCAATTGGTTTATGACATGGTATCAGAGCTGGTTTGTACTTGAGCTCACGTGGTTAACAATCCGTTATTCCAGGTACGGGCCACAGGGGGTGACACGCATCTCGGTGGTCGAGATTTCGACCAGAATGTAATAGAGTACTTTGTCGATCTGATTAGGAAGAGGTCCATGAAAGATGTTAGTGAAGACCCGAAAGCTATGGCTAAACTGCGTAGGGAATGCGAGAGGGCGAAAAAGGTACTGAGCACTCAGACGCAAACTACGGTGGAGATTGATTCCCTGATACAAGGGATGGACGACTTCTCCGAGCCATTCACGAGAGCGATGTTCGAGGATTTGAATATGCATCTCTTCAAGAGGACACTGGACGTGGTGAAGTCGACGCTGGTCGATGCAAAACTGGATATGGACGAGATCGACGAGATTGTGTTGATTGGGGGTAGCACTAGAATTCCCCGGGTGAGGGAGATGTTGAAGAAGGCGTTCGATGGGAAGGAGCCGAGCAAAGGGATCAATCCCGACGAAGCTGTTGCTTATGGTGCAGCTGTCTATGGAGCCAGTCTCAATGGCGACCAAGCCGGTAATCTATGTTATGTTCCTCACAATTTCATGTTTAGGGTTCCATTTCTTTCAACAAATAACTATTTTGCTGATACAATAACTACGTGTTTGTTATATCTATGTTGGTATTGTACAGGTGTTATTCTATTTGATGTCAATCCCTTGAGCTTGGGGATCAGAATCCTAAACAATCTGATGCATGTAGTAGTACCCAGAAATACTGTCATTCCTACAAAGAAGTCACGCGCAGGATTCGTACCCGCCAAACCTGTTCACGGACAGCGAACTAGTGTGTCTATTCAGGTTATAGTTTTTATCAAATCTGTATGCATATTGTAACCGGTTTTGCTGGCTATCTATGTGAATAATTTACGATTTCATTTTTTCAGATATTCCAAGGTGAAAGAGCCCTGACCAATGACTGCCTTCTGCTCGGAAGTTTTACGTTGACAGGCGTTCCATCGGGAGGAAGGTATCTACTTAGGTAGAAATTTAGGGGTGTCCATTCGGGTTCGGATTTTCCGGTTTACCCGAAACCGACCCGATTATGTACATTTTCGGTTTTTCAGGTTTGGGATTTCGGGTTTTTCGGTTTCGGGTTCGGTTTTGCTTATCGTTTTTTCGGGTTCCGGCTAAAAACCTCCACTGAATAGAACTCAACCTGTATTTTTAGGCGTTCGGGGTTTCGGGTTTCGGTTTTGCTTTAACCGAACCCAAACCCGATAAGGAATTTTTGGGTTTCGGGTAACCGGAACCTGCAAGTCCTTATTGGGTTCGGTTTTAGTGGTTTTTGTTTTCGGGTTTTTCGGGTTTCGGTTTGAGTAACCGAACCCGACCCGAACTGCCACCCCTAGGTAGAATATCTGTTGCCATGCACTTGCCATCATCACAACATTTACAACTGCATATATATGCAACCACAGGGGAGAAGGAGAACCATCTATTGAGGTGACATTTGAAGTTGACGCGGATGGAATCTTAAGCGTGACGGCCAAGTATGAAGTATGGAGCAACCGGCGGCGGGAACTCTAAAACCCTCACCATAGACAGCTACAAAAGGAATTTGAATTCGAGGGAGATCAAGAGGATGATCAGAGATAACAAAAGGAGACCATGGTAAAATGACGATCTTTGGGTGTTTGATCTCTAGTACAAACACAAACGACGACATCAAGATAACACGGGAACAGAAACTAAAAATCAAGGGAGAAACTTTGACTGATGACACACAGTGCTCAAGTTAGGTTACGTGTACAGTTTAAAGCAGGCAAAATCTGTACTATCTAGACAGAACCAGCAAAATGAAGAGAAATATAAAGCGATTACCTGCAAGGGAACGTGTACGGAATTGGCCGGGGCTAAGCTCCTTTCACCTCTCTGTTACCCGCATCCTCCCTGGCTACTAATGTCGTCTTCCCTGTCGGTGCTTGACATTTCCAGAGAAGGGGGTTGAGGAGACCCACCCCAAGCCGACTTATTACTCCTTGGCCGCACGGATGCAAAGGGAACATATGGTTAAACCTGCAACACAGAAGAAAAAACCCATTCACTTTTCATCCCCCGTGATGGATTAATAGAAGTATGCAACATCAATGGCTAATATCAATGAGAAATTTTATGAAATGCATTCTGCTCTCTAGCTCTGAAATCATCAATCCCCAGCACTTTTGTCCGTGTGAACTCACAAATACGCAACTCAGCCTGCTGGAGATGCTAAACAGTATGCAGCAAGTTTTCAAGTAGTGATATCCCCCGCTAAAATACAGAGGATTCGGGAGAAAACAACAAAACTTATGGGGGTTGTTTGGATTAGGAAATTTGAGGAGGGATTTTGCCACAATCCCTAGTCATAAGGAATTTGGTCACAATTCTTTGTTTGGATAGAAAAATAAAAATGAGAGATTTAGGGGATTAGGAATTTCGAAAATCCTACTATTAGGAAATTTAAAATAACTGATGGACCCCAGGTTTTTTGAAATCTCTGCTCATTTTTCCCAAACCTTCCCAATATATCCTTCCTTATTTTTTGTTATTCCTTTCTTGCCCTCCCCTGAATAGACGACCCTCCAGCCACCATTTCCCATCTCTCTTTCCCATCTGCATCCTTTCTTCCCTCCCGATACCTGCAAGCAACTAAAAAACCTAGCGACGTCGGCGATTGCAGCGGAGATAAACCTCGCGACGTCGGCGACTGCAGCGGAGTTTTACCCGCCCCGATCTACAGCGACGTCGGCGATCCCCTTGAAGTGCGTCCGATCTCCATCTTCGATCTCACCAGCTTCGCGTGGGATCTGTGCTTCGCGCGCACGAGGGTAACAGGGTGGTGAAATTCAGGGCTCGGCTTCCAGGTTCGTACTCCCTTCCTCCTTTCCCTCCCTATGCTTGAACCGTTCTGGGTCGGGGCTCTGTTTTCTGGGTTTATGTGAATTAAGAGTTTGGGTTGAGGTGCGAATGATCTTCTTCCTCATTTTGTTTGAATATATGAAACTAGGGTTCTATATTGGTGTGAACTAATGAATCTTCTTCCTCATTCTGTTTGATTAAAGGAAACTAGGGTTCTTGATTTGGGTTTATGTAAATATATGCTGGTGGTTAGTATTGGGTTGGCATTTGGCAAGGAGAAACAGTGGAGAACAAGTCAATAGAGTAGTTGATTGCCACCTTAACAGATCTAATGAAAATGGATGAAAAGTTAGCAAAAATTTTCTCTTGTTTGCACATGAGCAACGAGAAATAGACGTCAATTGCAGTGACCTGTTGGGTAGTTTTTTGCTTCTAACTTATGGGCTAAATCTATAGGAAATGTACAAGTTCCCCACACTGCATACTTCCTGTCCAGCAGTGCAATGAATTGCTGTCTTGTTCTCTTGTTGCTGGTGGGGAATTGGGAATGAATAATAATAATAATACTAAAGACAACGAGAAATAGACATTATAAAAGCAAGCTTGCTTTTGGCTGCTGATTAATAATACTAAAGACAATGGGAGGCTGGCAGGGAATGGGATAGATAGAGGAATGTGAACTGATCCAGCCACTGATTAATAATCTCACTTCAACTTGCAGTTACTGAATTGCAAAAACTCACTTCAACTTGCAAAAACTCACTCATTGTTGCTCACTAGTTTATTCCCATTAGCGAAAGGGGTATTACTCATCCAAGATGAAGAAGTCCTCTGTCCCAAGTTAAACACTGTCTTGGGTAAAGGACTGTAGTTTGGGATAATCAAATTTATTTGCTAGCTTTAAGTGGGCTTGTAATGCGGCAGGAGTGGATAGCTGTTGTACTTAGTGTCCACTTGGTTTAAAATATGCAAATGTTTCCTTAATGATTGGATCTAAGGAAACTGTGTAGCATGTGTTTGAATTATCTGTCTCGTAATATGTAATTGCAATTTGCACATGCTGCCCAGGATAACAGGAGACTGATGAGTGAATTATTCCCTTCCCAACTTGTGTTAAGGGTAGGAGCTTTCTATTTAATCAGGGAGCTATATTGCCAAATTTGGTCGACCGTTTCTACCTGTTTTAAGGTCTACTTGATCTCTATGTCTTTGCTTGTTCTTGTTTTGATAGTTTTGAAGTTGATTCAGTTTCAGGGCCTGAAATTGCTTCTGGGGCTTTGAATGTTATAGCAGTTATTTAAAATTTCTTTATGTCGAATTGATCGTTTGATGTACTTATTTAACTCATTTAAAATTTTAATTTCAAAAGGATGTCTCGGCTGTCAAGGATGTCTTCAATGGAAAGACGCAAGCTGATTGCGGCAATTAGCGCATTTTGGAATCTCATTATAATATATGTCGAGTTAGGGATGGAAGTAATGAAACTAACAGAGCTATTGCTTGTAAATCCTAGACTTGGTAGACAGCCCTTAGATGGTTACGCGATGAGACACTATGATCGACAACGAGTCATTTACAAATGTACCAAAATGAGTGATACCGAAAGCCATAGGAAGATAAGGATGAACCGTACATTATTCACAAAGTTGTGTGACCTTCTAGCTGCTGAAGGTGGTTTGAAAAGAACAAGAAACATAGAAATAGATGAGATGGTTCTCACGTTCCTCTTAACTATTTCACATAGTGACAAAAATAGGAGTTTAGCAGTAGATTTGCGTCGTTCCACAGAAACCATTTATCGGTCCTTTCACCGGGTGTTGCGGGCAATCCTTAGACTCAACAAGCTTCTAATGAAGAAGGCTGAACCAATTCCAGCTGATTCCACTAATAAAAGATGGAAGTATTTTAAGGTTTGCCAACTAAAAACTGTTCTTATAATCTTTCTTATGGAGCAGCTTGTCTAAATGTGTTGTGTAACATTTTTTTTTCCTTCTTCATTGATATAGAATTGTTTGGGAGCTCTTGATGGGACCCATATAGATGTTCGACCACTGAAGGAAGAACAAACTAGGTATCGAGATAGGTCAGGCCATCTCACAATGAATTGTTTGGGAGTTTGTACTCCCGACTTAGAATTCATTTACTGTCTTGCTGGATGGGAAGGGTCTGCCCATGATTCAAGGGTCTTGAATGATGCATTGAACAGGCCGAATGGCCTTGTTGTGCCAGAAGGTAATTGTATTACAATCAATAAAACTAATTGTTATGTGCGTCAAACTTGATTCAAGGGTTTAGGAAATCTAATTCAGAATTTTTTTTGGTTTAGGGTGTTATTATCTTTGTGATTCTGGCTATGCTAATAGTCCCGGATTTTTGACCCCGATTCGGGGTCCAAGATACCATATTGAGGAAACAAGGGGACATCTGCCACAAACAGCCGAAGCATACTATAATTGGAGGCATGCTCAAGCTAGAAACGTAGTAGAAAGAATCTTTGGAGTGTTAAAAATGAGATGGGCAATCCTTAGGGAGTCAACTTGGTTTTCTATACCTGTTGTAGCTCGAATTGTGCTAGCTTGTTGCATTCTGCACAATTTTATAAAGAAAGAACATGGAGTCGATATATATGAAAGAACAGTTCGAGACCAAGACATACAACAACATGGATCAAATGAGGTTGAAACAATGGTCGGAATATCCAGCACTCAACCAACTGAAGCTTGGAATCAGTTTAGGACTGATTTGGTCTCGGAGATGTGGCAAACTCGACCTGCTAGATTTCGAGCTTCTTCTTCAGTTTGATTAGTTGTTGTTTGATTCCTTATGAACCCAGTGAATGGAAATGAGATTTTATATAGTACAGTAGCCATGAACGTTAATGGTTACAGATTACATAGTAGTGCATAAATAATTACGTCTGGTATTCTCGCAAGAAAGAAGCTGGCTCACAGCATTGTCAAAGAGAGACTTGCAGCTTGCGTGAACATAGTTCCAGGTGCATGCTTAATCATCCTTGTCAGTGTTTTTCTTCTGTTTATTCTACCTGACAGCAAACTTGTTGTTTTCTTTAATTGCATAGCATTATTGCTTGAACCCCTCAACATGACAATAATTGAATATTAGCCAAATGCATTGGATGACAGCAAACTACATTGAGATTTGAAAGAAATGCTCTTTTTGGTACTTCGACACAAACCCAATTCTTAGGCCTACTATATATATAGAATGGACAAAAGGGTCAGTGAAGCTGCAAATTCATCAAAGCAATCACAATCAACCATAAACCCTTCAGCTCTTAACACCTTTCCAACTTTTGACTGGCTTTGATGAACTTTAGAGTTCAGTGTGTATTGTGGTTGACATGGAATAATTTTCAGTTGCAACTCTTCTCATTAGTTCTGTTTTGCAGCATGGTAAAGAGAAAGCAACGTGATGAGGATATGGACGGTGCTTCCTCTAAGACATATACTTACTGGAAAGAGGAACTAGACAAGCCATTTGTTGACTGTATTATGGAGCTAGTAGAGAAGGGGCAGATTGTTGACGACAACTGCAAGAATGGGGCTTATAAGCAGTTAGAGAAGCTGTTGCAGGAAAGAGTGCCGGGATGCAGGGTCAAGGCATATCCTAACATTGAAGGCAGGTTCAAAAAACTGAAGAAGAGATGGCATGCAATAACTTTTATGAGGAAACAAAGTGGCTGGGGATGGGACGAGGTCAACAAATGCATTGTATGTCCCGAGGGATCTTGGGATGAGTTTGAGAAGGTAAATTACAGCTTGATCTTTATTTTTCTGTCCTATAAACTACTCCTTTTCTAATATAAGCTGTCATTTTCTTTGTATTTATATTGCTGACTTGCAGAAGCACACAAGCTGCAGAGGGTTGAACAAGAAAAGATTTCCTGTCTACGATGACTTGGCACCGGTTTTTTGCAAAGGGCGTGCAAGTGGTGAGCATGGGGTCGACACCAATGTTGTTGACTCTATCGATTTAGAGGATGAAGAAACTGCACCTGTCGAAAATGAAGAAATGGATGATGTGTTGATGGAGGAAATACAAGCAGAAATGGCAGCACAGAATAATCAATCTGCCAGTGTTACCGCTTCAACCGATGGTGCTCCAATTAAGAAGAGAAAGAAAGGTAAGACAGTCGATGAGCACCTCGCCAACTCCACTGAGGAAATGAGAGAACTTCGACCACTGATTAAGCAATCAGTTGACACTATTGCAAGAGCACTCGGAGAGAGCGATGATCTCATTAGCAAGAGATCGAATCTGCTGAGGAAGCTGGAAGAACTTGGAGGCCTCACAACAACTGATATCATTACTGCATTGCGGAAGCTCTCTAACAACGATAGGGACCTGGTGACATTTTATTCGTTGGAGGCAGATGAATATAAGATGGCTTTTGTTAGGGGATTGCTTGGATGAAGGCGAATGATTTTAGGACGAGCTGGAATTTTTCTATATTGCTTATGATAGGGATCTGGGTTGAGCTTTTTGGGGATATACTGTATGTTTCTTGTTTGTTGAAAGATGGTGTTTGGTAGGGAAGTTAAAGTGCATTTGCAAAGACTTGTTATTGTGGGTTTGATTACTTTGTTGATGTTGTTGGTCACAGCCAAACAATATGCAAATGTCATTGCGTAGTAGGGGAAGAAATGATTACTTTGTTGAGGTTCTTTTCTTTGTTTTCTCATGTCCAAGGATCGATGTATTGCTCATTTCTTCTTTTTTCCAGTCAAGTCTGTTGTTTGTTGGATTGGATTCAGTTTCCATGGATGATTTCACTATACAAAAGTCTGCAGATCGAAACGTGTCAGGAAGTTTTCTCCTGTACAAAGTGTTTGTGGGATCGAAAGTGGCACCTTGCAGTGCATGTATATGCAGAGGTTTTAGGCCCATCCAACGACATAATCAAGGACATAAGCAAGCAATAGGGAGACTGGGTACAATCCGAAAGCCACCATGGACATCCAAAGAGGGAACTTGGTGCGGAAGCTAGCGACGAGACCCATTGTGATGCAGACAACGAGGATTATCAGCACTTGAGCTGAGAAGTTCCACTCGAGGTCTCGATAGTAGACAAGACTCAGAAGAGGTCATCTTCGGGCAAAGGATTCAAATTCAGCCTTCCCCTGCCGCTCCATCCACATCAACAAGTCCAAACCCAATTCCGCCGCCGTCGCCTCCCCTCTTTCTTCGCCTTCCGCGGCGGGGCGGATCTGCTGCGGGTGTTCCGCCACTTCGACAGCGACGGGGACGGCAGGATTTCAGGGGAGGAGCTGGGGATGTACTTCGCGTCGACGACAGGGGAGGCGATGTCAAAGGAGGACGCGGAGAAGGTGATTTGGGGAGGTCTTCAACAACCAAGAACAGAGAGGAGGGAACGGAGAAACTCTCAGCAGCTACACCCCCCTTCTCCACCACGATCTTCGCCGGGATCCTCCTTTCCGCCGCCTCTGAGATTCGAGATACCCGCTGCTTCTGCGCAACCCATCCACTCTGGTCACACTTGGAGCCTGCTCCAAATCTTCCCCGGCGTCGTTGGCCCCGGCGATGGCGAACGGGACCGTGAGTCTGATCCCCGGCGAGAACGTCTCCGGCGACATCCTCTGCCCCCGCAACGTATGGAGAGCCCGTCAATTTTGGCTGGGAAAGTGTCTGCAAAGAAAGAGAGTGAACAGGGCAAAATAGTAATTTTAGGTTTGTCATTAAAATCAAAATTGCTCATTAGACAATTCTGGATCCTTCATCAAACAAGTGATTTGATTCAATTTCCTTGTTTAAATTACCTGGATTTTTAAGAGCAGAATTTGGATACAAATTCCTTATAAATCCCTCAAATCAAAATGCTTAATCCAAACAACCCCTTAATGCCAACACATCAGCTAGATTGAGCAATAGAAACAATGAATCCTGAACTTGGAATTCTTTGTCAGTAGGGGCAATGCTTGACCAATACTTGAGCGAAACTTTTATGTCTTCAAGGATACTCTGCCACGAATAAATGTTTGTGCAAATAAGAAAGTAAGTAAATTAAAGAAAATGAAACAAAAAAAATATTTCTTTGTCTATACAGAGGATTGTAACGACTAACGAGTAAGTAATATAAATAAATTATTACTACCTCTGATTTTGGCCTGTAGTCAAACCTACAAAGTGCACGTTTGCTATAAGTCACAGCAAGGTCATAGGCTGTTCTATCGGTCCTTTCGCTCATCATCTATGAAAAAAGAAGAGTTACAATATTTTATCCATCAAATTGGTAAAATTGTGGAACGAAATAATAGTTTTACTATAAACAACTCACAAGAGAAGCAATGGTAGTTGTTAAGGACTCTTCGATTGTGTCCTCTAACTTTACATAACTCGCTTCTTCTAGTCCTTCTGAGGTTGAATAACTAGGCTCTCCAGAAGCCATGAGCTGTGAGGCAGAAAAACATCAAATAATTTGTATAAGGGGTGGAGTCAAGATTTCAAGACCTGGGGCCGAAAATAATTAAACAAAATGTATGTTGCCAAGGTGGATTGAACCCGTGTGTTATAAAACACAAGTCAAGTTTGACTACCACTAGACCACGTGACTATTATACAATAGAATATATGGAACAACTTCTATTTATAACATGTGTACTAAATATCCTTACAATCCTTAAATCCTAGTGGTCGGGACCAATCCCGGGGGCCGGGGCCCACCCTAGCTTGAGTGTAGCTCCGCCCCTGTGTATGTCATTAGTTCTGCTAGAAGCTATTTCACAATGGGAAATCACATGAAGGGAGGGAAATCCTGCATATCTAATTTAGATCTACTAGAAAGGGAACAAAAACACTTCAGTACAAAAGGAAAAATTGTAAAGCTTGTCTTCGTCAACTGGGAAAAGGAAGCCTAGTTAATAGAGGAACGATGGGAACCAGTAGGGTCGCATGGTCCAAACCGGTTCAGAAACAAATTGAATTGAAAATAAACCGAACCGAAAAAATGGAAAATAAAATTAACCATTAACTCTTTTTGCTCTGACCCAAATTCAATTGGCTCCCTTTTGCCCTTCAATCCAACACTACATCCATTTCATAATGAAAGGAATCTAAATGCTGCCTATTAGATATTAGTTACTTAATTCATATGCTACCCTTGAGTGAAAACAAGGGAATCTCAGGAAGTAAAGAGAAGTAATCATACTTCAGCAAATAGTCGGGTTGAAGATGGTAATTCTCTTAGTTTGTGGAAGATCAATCGTCACGCTGCTGAGCTGCACAATTGATTGCAGAAAACTGAGCAAAATAGGACTTAATAGCAACTACTATAAGATTTTAGTAATTAGTAATGTGTAAACGTAAGAACTTGTACCATACAGTTTTATCACCAAAATTGACAGTGACATTCTCTGCTGGACAAATATTATGATACCTTCCTCAGCGTTTTGGTATTATTCATTCCTGTTCAAACACAACTAAGCCATATTAAGCACAGCAATTAGTAAAATGTTCGCAGAAAGTATAATTACTCATTTGGCATGCAAACAAGCTTCAATCCTCAAGTCCTGCCAACTAGGAACATAAGCACCGTTTGGACCAATGCTTGTTAGGAAAGAGATTAAATTTTTTATTATGAAAATAAGAGTTTCTATTACCGTTTAATTTCTATAATAATAATTGTTGACTGGGATAAATCCTAGACTATAAGAAAATGAATTCTATCCTTTTATATTTGGAAAAAGATGATTCACTTTTACATTAACACCCCAGTTTATAAATTAAAAGTTGACCTAGCTAGATCGTGGGCCTAAACCTTTTAACAAACTTTTCTATTGTCGAAAAACCTTTTTAATAAACTTACAAACATTTAAAACCACTTTTAATAATTGCCTGGGCCGGATTTCATTAATTAAGAGGGATTAACAGGCCGTGTGATGTAAAATCATAAATAAGTAAAAGATAGCGAAAAAAACAACTCAAAATGTGGTCATTTATTTGACCAAACGGCCTTTGATGTCATTAAATAAGAAGGGCATTTCCGCCTAGACACAAAATGAAATTGTGGGCCCACCGACGACTTGCCACCAAATTCCCAAATTTTGGTTCCAACACTTACATTTTCCATCAATTATTACCATACAAAAAACATGAGAATTTATTACAAGTTTTCCTCCCAGACCAATGGAGGAGGAATGTCGAATGTATGGCCGAAAAGAAAAAAAAAAAAAAAAAGAAGAATAATGATAGTATTCCTATTCGAAGCTCTAGGTTTCGTAACAGGTAACAAACAACAAAAACATAAAAATTCACTTAGTTATCGAAAATGAAATTACATTTTCATGAATAAATCGACATATTTATGTTTTTCATTCTTCTTGAAACATTTTTCATATAATGTTTTCATAACAACTATGTGTTTTGGTCAGCCAATCTCAGACATAGTTGTCTCAGGCAATCTTGGACATTTTTCATAACACATAGTAGTCTGTCCCAGACAATCTCATACATTTTTTATTGATGTCGCTGGGGATCGAACTCAGAACCTTGCTGACACTCCATCACCTAGGAGATCATATATGTTTTCATAACCACTATCTGTTTTGTTTTGAGACAATCATGCCAAATTGACTAAATTATTTCGTTTTCAGACAATCTGACCAAATTAATCGTTTGGCAGAATCAAATCTAGATGCAGCAATTCCACCTGAACAATTTTAAATTGACTCCTTGAGGCAATTATAATTGTCGGGAGCGAGATAGACAATTCAATTTGACTCGTTTTACAAAATGAGTTTCAATTGATCCATCCAAATTACCTCAAACTTTTCTTCCCGGAAAGACACTTTCTGAAGAAGAGCATTATGAAGGGAAAAAATTATGTTTTCCTTTAAGTATTATAAAGGTTAAGTTGATTACAAAGTAATCGATACTATTGAATTACAATTTGACACAATTCAGACAGCCTCACTCTGCAGATGAGTGAATGATGTGAGTGGATTACAGTATCCACTCTTACACACATTTTATATAGTCGGTATATAGTCGGGTACTCAATGGGTTGCAGGTCATTCGGGGTTGCAGGTCGTCCGAATGACCCGCACCCCCACTTTGCCCAGGAAGAAAACGTAATTCAAGGGTTTTTTTTCTTTTACCCCTGAAACGAGCATTCCGGTTGTAGCTCCTCCGCGAACCGTGTAGAAGCCGCTGTAGAAGAGGATGACCTTCAGTTGAAGCTTCTTCACGGACACTAGAGTGGAGAGATTGGGAATAGGAAAGGAAATGAGATGTATGACAGCGGCAGAAGAAGGGAGAAAGAGACTGGGCGATCGGCAGCGGACTAGGTTGAACGACGGCAGAAGCAGCCGGAGAAGAAAAGAGAAAGAAAAGGGTGGTCGGAGGAGGACGGGCGCAGAAGCCGGAGAAAGAAAATGGTGAGAGAATAAATTATTTTCCCGAATCCCACCAGCCACCCAACCACGATCTGTCTCGAATCGATATCCACCATCCGTCTGGTTTGGGGAAGAGCAGAAAACCTAATTCCGCTCATTGAAGAAAATTCGAAGGAGATCATCCGCAACCTAATTGCCGCGAATTGAAGAAAGTTTGAAGGAGATCATCAGCAGAAATCTTCGTAAGTCGATGTGCGTTTGATTTCGATTCCTTCTTCTTGCGCTGTAATTTGACGTCATCCTGGAACTCGCTTCATACCTGCTCCGAGTTCTTCTGTTTGTCTGTTTTCTAATCGGTTTTTAACCCGGAGGGTGTAATCCTTTCTCTACACTTGCTCTTGTTTTATATTATTTATTTAGATAATCCCATCCACAATTTGCAAGGATCCTCCTTCCTGATTTTGCAGGTCAATGACAAAAAGAAGAAGAGATGGTAATTCTATACTTTGATCTATATCACGGTTTTAGTTTCTACGGGTCTTCCTATTTGCTGCTTGATTATTGATTATTGATTATTTCATCTTTCGAATTTGCTTACAGCTGCAGATGTGCAGAAAAAGAAGTTGCAACAGCAGGCCGCTAGGATGAGAAGTTTGGCATGGGGTAAACCCATGTGCACCACCTCTTCTAGGGTACTTGGCTGTGTCCCTGCTGCAGTTATGCAAAATAAGAAGCCGCAGACCCAGACCACCGGGATAAGTGGCCCCTCATCCACTCAACCCATGATCACAGCGTCTGACCCCTCCTTCACAGCATCTAACTCCGGCTCTTCACATGATTGGGCGGCATCAGAGAAGGCCTTTCTGGATTCCATTGAACTTCCTGACCCATTTCGACCAGAAGTAAGCAGGCAGATTCTGCCATAATCTCTCTCATTGGTTTTAACTACTAATCCCCTTGTTTCAGCCAGCAGCTAGCTAAAAGGTGTTTTCTTCTACGAACGGTCAACTAAAGAAGAACGTTTTGTGCTTACCCCTCACCTTGCTAGGGTTCTGGGAATCCCATTGAATAATAAGGGAAGGGTTGATTTTAAAATGTATAGTATGTGTGACCTCATTTAGGATGTTTGATTCGGGCAGACTGTATATAGTTTCCTTTCCTTTAAGATCCTTATCTATTAACGTTGGTACAGCAGGTTCATTGGTTTTTTACCCCGTTTTTGTATTGAAGCAATTGAACTCTTATGTTGGTTCCTCGTTGGTTTTGCAGCCCACCGAAAATGATGTAGTCAACAACTCCCCATGGCTGGCAGCAATGTGTCCGAACCTGTTTGCTAAGTATAACAAGGGTAATTCCTTTCTCCCTTTTGTGTTGGTGTATTTGGATATTTGCTGCTACTTGGTTTTCATGTCCTGAATCCTTAAACTGCAGGGTCTGAGAAGACACTGACTCAAGCGTTTCTTGATATGTTGAAGGCTGAAATTGCACGACACCCTCCTCTTCCTCCCGATTATGATTCTGATGCTGAATGGGATAATTATGGAGGAGGATGTCGTGACGAAAGTCATTTGGCAAATGAAGAGTTTGATTGGGACTCGTTTCGGTCAACCATTGTTCCTCCCCCACCCAAGAAATGAGAAGAGGTAAATTAGGGGGCACATTCTGTCCCAGAAAGAGTTGTATGATTTGCTCTATGGCCATGCTACGTGCTCCGCGGCATGGATTTAAAGAAACAATAGGCTTATGAGTGATAGATAGGATATTGAGATTGCATGCTACATGTATTTTTTATTGGTAGAGAGCATTTCCAGCCCTTCTGTTGGTCAGATACGTACATAGGTTCTCTGGGAATGTAAATCGTGTTTTCAGCGAATCATAGAGAAACAAATGTGTCGTATTGTCAGTGAGGGTTTTGAAACTTAGATTGTTTCAAGTTCTCTTCCCCCAGTTGTATTGTATCAATGTTTTTTATTTTATTTGCAAGGTAGATCTATTCTTCATAGTACGCATACATATACGGCTAGTCATTCTATTTTTTTTCATGGCTCTCCTACATTTTCGCTTCGTTCTTGTTTTGTCCTTTTTGCCCGATAACTTCTTCATCAAGATGAGCTTCTTATTATAAGTTTAGAACTTCTAGGTATTTCATAGGTTTATGCTGCACATTATGCTAAGGTTTCTTGTCTTGCCCGCTTTTGAGTAAGATTTGCATCATCATGAGTACAAAGATAAACATTTAGTGTTTGTATGGTTGCTGTCCTCTGAACATTCTCTCAAGGTTTCTCGTTTGCTTTTTGGCCGTGTTAAGCTGAAATAGTTTTATGCTTTTCATTTTGCAGGTGCAGTGGCTGGGCAGTCCTGAGTTGTCGGTTAAGGCGTCATTAGGCTCAATATTAGTTTGAAGCCCGTAGTGCATAGTGTCGTTGCAGAGAGACGACTATATTCTCGTACTTTTAACTTAAACTTTAGTAGTTTATTATCTCTGGATTTCTGGTTAAGTTAACAATGTATGTGTATTTGAGGGTCGGAATGCTTGTACTAGTTTACTTATCAACTTGAACCTGGTATTTTGTGCCAGAGATATTTCATGTCCTTCTGGGAAACTTGAACCTGGTATCTTGCAAATGGTTCTTGCTCAGCGTTCCCTGTTTTCTCGACGTTCTTGGCCCCTTTCGGCCCCATTTTCTTGAAAGAACTCTCAAAGCTAAACAAGATCTGCATGTCAAACTGTGCAAAATTATGTTAGCCTAGCCCCAACACCTCAGTCCCTTTTAGAGGAAGGTTAAGAATGGGTTCAAGTTCAATTAATAAATAATCATGGGGTATGAGCTCGATGCGGGATAGGATAGCGTGACAACCCCTAAGGGGTTGTCAATCTCGCTTCCCACTTTATAGTCGTCCGTCCTCCATCTTTATCCAGCGGCCAGGAGTCCACGAAGGGTGCTTTTGTAAGTAGCTAAATGATATAATTTTGAAATAAAACTTAAATACATGGAGAAAATCTGGGAGCGTGATTGGTGGGAGCTGAACAGCCGATTTTGGGTGGGACTCTTTCCCTTCCATTTATGACTCCTCCCTCATCAAACCATACCACAATACCTCCGGAAAATACATTCCACGCGGCCGCCGCCATACAATGGACGACTACATCAGCAACGACGACGACAGGTGGGAGCTGAACCTACGTGTTTATTTGGGTTCGATCTAAACGTCCCATTAACAAGCAACGACAAGGATATATATGAGGCCGGAGCTGACCAGGCGGACCCGACGGACAAAGGTGATAATGTGTGCATGGTGGATGTTGACTACGTTTTGGAAGTGGAGGAGCTGGTGAACGAATATCATCTGGAACCTCGGACCACGTCCAATATGGCCTCGATGTGGAGAAGAACGACCATTTCGTGTTGCACTCAGGCGATCGCGTTTATGCCGACGACGGTGGGGCGGAGAATAGCGTAGATGCAAACAATGGTGGTAGGGTTAACCTCTAAGCCGTTAGGAATTCCTTTCCATTTTTAGTGTTTTACTATCGGTACAACTAATGTTTCAAAAAAAAAATGTACCATTAGTTATGTTTCAAGTTAGGTAGTGGTAGTATTATTGTAGGGATAGTGACCTAGTGGTAGTCCCCTAGTGGTACTAATTTAGTGGTAGACACGTAGTCATCTAGTGGTAGTTATTTAGTCGTAGTTAATTAGTGGTACTTCCTAGTGGTAGTAGGATACGGGTAAGAGGGTAAATAATGCGACTTGCTAATATCACTAAAGGTATACCAACAATAGTTATTTACATTGGTACCAATACCATTACAGTGGAGACATTACCATAAAATTGTACCAGTAAAACTCAATTGGTACCAATCTATTAATGGTACAAATGCCATTAATTAGGTATCGATATTAGTAATAGTACCTGTACCACTGATTTGGTACCAGTCTTCAGTAATTGTTACCAATACCATTAATTTGGTACCATTCTTATTAATGTAACTAGTACCACTGATTATTTACCAGTCTTAGTAATGGTTACACGTAGCATTAATTGGTACCAGTCTTATTAATGGTACGAATACCACTGATTTGGTACCAGTCTTATTAATGGTTACCAGTGGCATAAATTTGGTATCAGTACTATTGATTTGGTACCAGTACCATTTAATTGGTACCAGTGAAGGGATATTTCTATAGCCAGTGGAGAAGGTACTGAATTTTCACAATCAAACACCAAACCAATTGTGCCAATGTAAGCAACAGTAATTTACCCAAGATCAAATTAAAGACAAGAAATACCCATAAACTTCCTCATACTTGGAAACGTACATGAAGCAATTATGCTACTCTTTAAATCCAACACCCAACCTAGCCCAACCTTCTTCTCATTCGAAATACTGGCCTCCATAATCTTGATGATTGAAGTCGGACTGCACTTCTTCTTGAAGGTGCTTTGACTTGACGCTACAGTCCGTTGCTTCTTCTTCTTGTTGCGACTCTTTGTTTCCTCATCACGTGGTCGTTTTTTACTAGGCCCAGCACTCGAATCACTTGAGTCCCCCAAAGCGTATTGCTACCTGTCGAGATGCACAACCATCATGTTGTGTGTTTTCCCGGATGATATAGCTGAGATCTTTGTTCTGCCATTCCTGCAACAACAACAACAAAAAAATGTTTGGTACGAATTTTTACTCAAAACTTCAAGAGGGTTATCTTCTCACTGAGATCCACACTTCTAAAACGATACCACTACAAGTACTGCTACTACTACTACTACTACTAGCAATGTAGAATGTTATTGTACAATACTACTACTAACAATCTAGAATGTTATTGGTACCAATTAGTATGTAATGGTTACCCTTCAGTGGTACTACTACAAATCAATTGGTACCAATCCCACTACAGATAGAACAAGTAGTGTCATTCCATTAAACTACCACTATTAGCATACCAGTGTCATTGGTACCAGTAACACAATTACCATTACAACTGGTACCAATAGAAAACTACCATTCAATCATACCGAAACGAATACAACGGTACCTGAAGCCCCCATAAGTGGTACTTGTACCAATAAGTGTGTACTGGTATTAATTCATTGTTACTGGTACAAATGAATTGGTATTACTATCACTACAGCTAGAACAAGTTATACCATTCCATTAAACCACCACTATTAGCATATCAATGTTATGGGTACCAGTAACACAACTACCACTAGCACTATACGAATTAAAGACTACCAATGGATCATACCAACACCAAACAAACACACCACACAAGAAAGACAGGCCTACATGTGGCTTATTCCAACGTTGCATTCGGAAAACAAAAGCAGTAGTGTAAAGAAACCTCACCGGCGATTGTTTGCACGGTCGCAGAAAGGAACGACGGCGAAAGGATGTTCGCCTATGCGCGCTTAACCAGAAGGAGAAAAAAATTAGTTAAGATAACCAGAAGTGAATAGAAAAAGACGAAGAAGTGGAGAGGAGCGACAGAGCCGACGAATCGAGGCGGGAAAGCGAGCATAAAAGGAGACCGAATGAAAATTACATTGTAAAAGTTTTGCTTTTACCTGAATTACTTATGCTCTGAAAAACAAAGTCTTCACAATCGAACGGGAGCGGACGAGTTGCTATCAAGAAAAGTGGAGAAAAATTATCTGAGACGGTGAAAGGGGATGCTTTGGGAGAAGACGGAGGAAAAGGGTTTCAGTGGAGTAACGTACAGGCTGTTTTGGGGAGACGAATGGTTCGCCGAGGAGGGTGGCTAATTTCTCTCCCCCACCGATTTCTTTGCCTTTTCAAAATGCGGGCTGACGTTAGAGAACTAATGGGAGCCGGATCCAGTGTGGGAGCTCTCTTTTTTGCCCCTGCCTATCATCAACCGTCGGATGGAGATATAAGTGAATGTAGGGCTAGGAAGGGGGAAGCGAGATTGACAACCCCTTTAGGAGTTATCACGCTATCTGGCCCCGTTGGATGCTACGGCAACATTTTCGATAATATGGTGCAATGTACATTGCTGACATTAGACACAGTTAAATAGAAACTTTGGACTAAGTTTTGATAATAATAATAATAATACAAGTCAAAAAGCATAATACATAATAGCATTGATTATCCAACATTGCTTATGGATTTTTCTTTTTGTTGTGGAATCGATATAGAGCTTTAGTTTGTTCATCTATCTTTCATTTTTATTGGAGCTAATTGGAATCGATTGAGATCTCTTGTCCTGGGTAATTTTTGTGTAAGGGCTAACTGGTTGTGGGAATAGAGGGGGCGGTGAGAGGCCAAGAGAGATCGATAGAGACGAGACTGGGCCTGTGGAAGGAGGATGAGCAGGGGCGTCCACAATGGAATTGATGGGAGAAACATCCTTTTTTACGTTTTAATCATTTCTTTTTAATTAGTAAGGGCAAAAATGTCATTTAAGTCAATCCAAACTTTGTTGGATCATCGTTAATGGAAAATGTAATAGAATGTTAGATATGAGAATGTGTGATGGTGGAGGGACAAGTCTGACGTGAAAAATAGTACGAGTAGGTTCGATAAAATATAATAATAAAGAGACAATTTATCCTATTAATTTTAAAAATGACTATATTAAGTTAAACACTAATTATTAGTCAATCTTCCCAGTATTCTTTTTTATTAGTTAAATTTATTGAATTACTAATAATTAGTCAAGTGTTAACTTCTATTTAGCAATTTTGTCAGTAATATTTATTTGGCAACATGATACTGACTTGGAAGAGACACATGAAGATCAACATTCCAAACTTTAGTATTTGAACTAAGAAAAAAGAGTTACAAAATTATTAACGATAACATAAAAATGACTAATATTTTTTAGGGCTAATACCACTGGAAATACCAACCTTTAGCGAAAGTGTCATTTATATTATGTAGTTTTCGATATGACAATTGTATACCAGCCGTTAAGTTTTCCGTTAGTTGTTAACAAAAAATACAGTCAGCAATGACGTGGCAGCTGATGTGGAAAATTGTAATAAAAAATAAATGTAAAAAACAACCCAAAAAAATAAAAAAAATAAAAAACAAAATCAAAAGCAAAGAAGGAAAATGTCTTCTTCATCTTCCTATCTCTCTGGATCTCTCTCCTTCGCCAACCTCTTCTTCCAGGCTCTGTTTTCGGCTGCAGATTGGGGGAATGATTTTTTTTTTGTTTATGAGATTTGTGTTAGGACAACCCTAAATCGATTAATCCTCCCACTGTCGAGAATAGACACATCCTCCCCTTGTCCTCCAAATCCGACACGAACCCTAAATCCTTTCCGTTTCAGTTCTCCCAAATCCTGACCTAGCCACCTTCTTCCCAATCTTTAATCCGTCGGTGGTAGTTAATCGGAATCGCAGGCTATTTCTTCTTCCTCTTCCTCTTCCTCGTTCTCAAGCCACCCAATTGAGCCATCCCACCAGCCACGCCATTGTCATCGATCCACCATCGCCGAATGAGAAGCTCGACTCACCGAGAAGGCTGGTTTTGGGAGATTGAAGAGGAAGAAATTCAGAGGCAGGGAGAGGCGTCCTTCTTACAGCGGCGGAAAAAAGAAAGGGTGGGTCATTCTAATAGTCTAATCCTCACAGCGGCTCCCACCGTCTCTCCGTCCTCCACTCCCTTCACCTTGATTCTCGCCTTCCCTCAAGCGCAGATCCAGAACACCACAAAAGGGAATCTGTGGCGGTGATAAGCGTCATCGATGCTACTCTGTTTCCCGGGGCGTTGAAGAGGAGACAAGGAGCCGGAGACAGAGGAAGCTCCTATCTGTTTCAACTGGAGGTGACCCTCCTAATTCCTTGATTTCGGACGAGGAAGCTTCTGTTTCAAAAGCTATCGTGGGATATGAATTGAGATTGGGCAATGATTTTTTCTGTTTTGTTTATGGGATTGAGTGAGAGAGATAAGGTCGATCGACGACTGCCAATCGAGAGAGGCAGAGGCAGAGAGATGTGATTGACGCCGCCGACGTCTCAGGCCACTCCCCTACCCGATTGAGCCATCTCGCTATCCTAGTCGTTGCCATCGATCCACCATCGCCAAAGGAGAAGCTCGACCCGCCGGAGAAAGCTGGGTATGAGATATTGAAGCAGAAGAAAGCTGGATTTTGGAGAAAGCTGGGTTTGGGAGGGTTGAATTAACCTTCCTTGGCACCCGACGACATCTTCTTCCCCAACATAATAAAGCTCGCTTCTTCTTCCTCGCCGGCGGCGGCAGCGGGCTCTCCCCTAGGTGGGTGTGGTCAAGGAAAGGGTGGGTGTGTCAAAGAAAAGTTAATTTTCTATTCAATTATTAATTATTAAATAATTAATTTAAATGTTAAATAATTAATTTTTTATTAATTTCCAACATGGCATCTATGTGTCGTCTACGTGGACAACACACAGGCGCCACTTCATCAATGGTCAGATAAAGGTTGACCACCGTTAGGTCAACAGTTAGATCTAACGGTCAACAGAATTTCGCGTAACACAGATGACACAAACCCCTAATACGTTGGAATATTTTTGTGTTTATTGAAAATACGTAATATAAATGACACTTTCGCTAAAGGATGGTATTTCCAGTGGTATTAGCCCAAAAAACTATATGGATTATACATATTTTAAGAAGGTTTCAAATATCTCCATGAACAAAGTGTTATGTGTTTTTAGAAAATTTATAAAATAAAAAAAGTACGAACATCGATAATCAAAACAAAAATCAATTTAGTATTGGTGGTAACTGAGGGACGACGATGGTGAAAGATGTAAATGATGATTCATATAATTCTACTATAATAGTAGCAAGCAACTGAGGGGTTAAAACAAGAAGGCCGGGCCGGGGAGTCCAGAGGGTACTGCCGGTCTGCTCCGGGCCCAAGACTAGAATTGTGAACTGGTCAGGCCCGTGAAAGCTCACCGTTAACTACCCATTACTGGCCCAGCACAGCCTTATCCGAAACTCGCCTTCGATAACAAAACTACACCTTCCTTTCCGTTCCCTCCCTCTCCCCTGCCGTTTTTATTTTCAGTCCATCGCCTCCGCCGTCATGTTCGCCGCCTCCGCATCTTCGCTGCAACATGTCCGCCAGCCGGCCACCGCGGTTCTACTTCCCCTTTCCCCATACCATCCCCTTCTTCTACATAAAATTTCACATCTTTGTCTCGATACTCAAAATACCATTGCCTTTTTTTTGCAGGGGACCGGTGCTTCAGGGGAACAATACAATCCGATGAAGAAGATTAAACCATCTTTCCAAAAGGCGGCAGATTGTAGTAATTCAGGCCTTTCCCCCAAACTATCATGCTCTGTTCATTGTCTGAATCTTCCGAGGAATTCGGTAAAGGTGTGGGCGGGTAGAAGGAGGAGAATGATACACGATAAGACGGACACGTACGTGTTTCTGGAGCCAGGGGAGGATGAAACATTTGTTAGCGAAGAAGAGCTCAAGGGGAAACTAAAGAGCTATTTGGAGAACTGGCCGGCGAAAAGCTTGCCGCCGGACCTAGCCAGGTTCGAGGCCATTGACGATGCTGTTTCATTCTTGGTGGGTTCGGCGTGCGAACTTCAGATCGATGGAGACGTTGGCTCGCTCCAGTGGTATCAAGTTCGTTTGGAGTGATTGAAGTGAAGGAGATTGAATTGAGGTTGGTGCGTCTTTTTTTCTGTGTGTACGTAGTTTGCAGGTAAATTCGACGGCCGAATATGATTAGTCCAAAACGATTTACTTCCACAACCGCAGATTCTTTATCGTTGATTGTTGACTGACGGAGTTGGGCTTTCGCCTGTTGACTCCTCACTTCTCAACTTCTCTGCTACGTTCAAAACTTCAGCTACTAAGACGACGATATTGTTCTCGCGAACAATGAAGCGAATATCAATGTGGGAGAAATCGCCATAGAGTTTTACCATACGCTCTGATGAAGCTTATCAATTATCAGTTTCTCCTTATTATTGTGATTGTCACACCACTGTAGGTGACCATAAGAGTTGATACATTTCTAAGAGGAGGTGCAATATAGAGCTAGTTTGCAAGAACTAAGCAGACAGGCTGCCAAACCTAAGCTTGAGAAGGGATAAATGAACCCATCAACCAAAAGTGGGAGCACAACAGAGATGTACAACAATTTACAACCCATATATAGGCTAAATTATAAACCACCATTAGTACGGAAGGGGAATCCACTTGAAGCTCTGCACTTTACTCTGCCGCCTGGAGCTGCAATGTTTTGGCAACACAAACAATTAGACTATGGAGTAGAATGATTGCAATTCTCAGAGTAGGTTTCCTAAATGGGTTTCTATCAGCCAATAATACCTTTTGTGACAGATTTGTGCTGACGGGCGGCAACGGGAATGGTGCTCCTTCGCCACCACCCCTTCTTCTCCTTCCCATAAGGCCTCTCGTGATCGGAGAAACCATCGCATCAGTCGGACTCCGGTACCTGGAAACCAAACCCCAAAGTTACTCTTTTCGTTCGGCGGCAACGCCACATAACAGTAATCTATGAACCCATTTTGAAGATGAACAAAAGTTAAAACAAATCAGTAATAGTCAGCTGTAAGTTAACCCCACCCACCATGAAAATAAATAAAACAGAGCGAGGATAGATCATTGTAAAATCTAACTGCAAAGTACACAGGGAGCTGTGGTAACAACTGGAACTTTAATGATCTGAGAATAGTGAAAAAGATAAATGAAAAGCTTGATCCAGAACAAGAACTATAAAACGTTCTCCCAAAAGAAAAAGCAGAACTGCAGGGGTGGGAAGAAGATGATGATATACCTTTCTGGGTACTTGAAAGCCTTGGGAACTTGGAGAGGAACAAGAACGGGGATGTTGTTGCCGCCGTCGCTTTTGCTCAATTCTCCTGCGCCACCAACAACTACTTCATCAGACTCCGGCGATGAACTCTGCTGCTGCTGCTTCTGTTCCACGGGCGATTCCAGCTGAGGAATCAGAGCACTTGGTTGATTTGATTGAATATGCTCCTTCTCTACTACCACCTCTTCCATGGCTCAACTTCGGTGAGTCACTTGATTGATTGATCACTAAAGATTAAAGATATAGAGAAGGGGAGATAGATAACAAAAGGACGAGTTTTGGGTTTGGCCGGTTTTCTTTAATAATGGAAGGAACGACGAGTTCTTTCGGCTGTTTCTGTGTGGCAGTGGCAACAACGGAATATAGAGTTTGCTTTACTGTGATAACGGTGAAGTAAAACGTGGGTCGTTGTTGAACGTTTGAGTGGGGCAAATAATAAAGGAAACTAAGACAGAATTGGTCATTATTGGTTTCACTCCAACCATTCTTTGTGGCTGCGACGACCGTTGGGAGGTAGTGGGCATTCCATGGCTCCACCACCAATCTATAGCAAAGTAATCGAAGAAGATAGTGCACATTGGTTGAAAGCAATACAGGGTCTTCAAGTCCAAACCTAAAAGACACTGCTAACTAAAACACCCTTTACTTGTATACCAAAGAATAGTTATTTTCTTTTCATATAGAGGAAAGCATCAATGGAAGGACAAATTCTGTGCCTGGATTCGACCAAGTTACCTTCCAACTCTACCTTCTCAATGTATCCAGAACTCTCTACAACTGGAACTCCTGGAATGGAAAAATGCACAAGTTTATCAACTCATAGTAACAGAGGCAGCTGCTGGGGTAATTCTTCGGCTCTCGCAGCCAGGGCAGTTGTGCAAGCTCTCGTGAATATAAATGTCGCAATCAAGGCAGAAATACTGCTTGCACTTTGTACAAGCCGCACAAGGGCCAGCCTTGTTAGTACCTGCGATAGGACCACCATACCAGCAAGCTTAAAACTTTTACAAAGCAAGTCTATTTACTGACATCTGAAATATGAGAAGTACCGTGGGAAACACAATGCACTTCATAGAAGACTCCACTATTCTGTTTATGCAACTATTTCAGCAGACCAAGAAACAGTTATCGACATTACAAACTCAAAAGTAAATCTAGTGCCAGCAGCAGAGTTTATAGCCCCCAAGTGGCAGCACCAGGAAAATAGCTCACACATCTGACATATAACCAACTTCAGTCGTGCATGATCTACTCTGCTAGTTTCTTGCTCAAGTAACCCACTACTCGAGTCTGCTGCCAAAAACTATCTACATATACTGATTTCCAAGTCCAACAGATAACATTACATATAGATCACTCGTATTAGCATAACTTACCGGGAGTGAGAAGGCTCTCACGACAACCGAAGCAAGTTTTTGAAGCTACTCTGCTCAATTCCAATTGACGTGCAGATACCTCGGTGAATGGCTCGATTGGGAAAAGATGATGATAAGATCTAGCTAGATGGGGTGATGAAACAAGTGTCAATCCACAGAAACGACATTCTGTAGGCAGTTCACATACACGGGCTTTGCATCTTGGACATATATACCCTTCGCCTACTTTCGCTTCTCTGTGGCAGGAGCAGATTGCTATAGAACCTTCTGCTGCTCTTTGTGGGAAACCCATCTTGATCAAATTCGCAATGGCGAATTCAGCAAGGGCAGGAGGAGGTGGTGCATGCTCTAGTAAGAGCTCTTTGAAGTGACCCTGTACGAAGAGAATGTGCACCAGTTCCAGCAGTGAAATATACAAAGAGAAACCTCAAGAGAACAGAAAAGAAAAGAAAACCATCCATTATTCAACAAACAGAGTGAGGCCAAACATAACTAAAACTAGCAGGTTCACTAGAAGGAGCAACAGAGAGTAACTTACATAAACTAATCACTCATTTCAAAATTCAATGAACGGGCTCCAGACAGACTTTTTAATGATAATTACATGATTATATAATTTTTGCATATAATGAAGGAAATCAAACAGTTCAAGTAAATTCTGCAGGGGCATTAGATAATCAAACTAACCTCATCCAAGGCAACCATATATGACCCACCAGTTTCCTGGCAAAGATGTTTGCACACAAACATTTCGGCAGAGAGGCCAATAACCGAGCACCTTAGTTTAGCCTTCTTGCATTTCTGGATAGTCTCCATTATATCACCCGGATCACAGGTTGAGAGTGCAGAATACAAGATGAGAACTTCACGGTGACCATATGATGGGATTTTATGGAGAGTGTCATGGACAAGTTCAAGAGCATTCTGGAGTGACGAGTCCCCTGAACAACCTAACTTAACCATCAAGGCCTTAATATGGGCCTCGGGACTCCCACCAAGTTCTGTCAAAGATTGAGCTACCCCATCTTTTATAATCATCAGACCAATCTGACTTAGTGGGTTCTGGTCGAAAAACTCCCTAATGAAAGCCTCAACATGTTTTGCAATCACAGCCATCCGACTTGGTTTGAAATCCATCTCTCCGGCTGCCTGCCAAAATTGACATCAACACTTCAAAATCAAGCTAACAACCAAATCGCTAAGAATCTTTCATTCATAACTTCTGATGTACAAGTTCCACTGAAGACTGAGAATAACTAGAGGCTAATAACAAAAATCAAGGTAATAACCAATCAACACACATTCTAAAATTCAAGAAACCAGCAAGCATCTCGCAATAGGTTATACAGATTATCAACACTGACTTCAACTACATACTGCTAAAAGTAAGGTTCTAGTGTTAGACTAGCAAGACTTTATCTTGGAGGTACAGGTCAAATGAGAGCCATGTATTGATCACCTCAGAAGTCATTGCACCATCAGCTATAACCCTATATCAAATGTAAATCAATAATACCTTGGAAAGATCGACCACGACGCAGAGAAACCGAATGAGCCCCTTTTGGATCCTCGATGCAGCGGACGCGGCTGAAAGAGATTGAAGGCGTCTACGATACTGCGAATGGTAGATTGCCTTGTTATCAATAGGTTGAAGCAGTCCTGACTCGTCCTCTTCCAATGCCTCCCATGATCTCTCGTCTGTGTATGTCCTCTCCCACGCATCACGCCCTTCATCTTCAACATCTTCTTCATTCTCTTCTTCTGCTTCACCGTTCATCCGCTTCTTCTCGCTGTTGTTCATAATTCTTCCTTTCTGGGCTAGGGATTCAGGATTTCCTTATACCTCAAACCGAGGGAAACGCTATTCCAACGCTCAGAAAATTATCATTCTATAAATTGATTGCCAAATCGAAGAACAACCCAGAAATAGGCGCCCCGTCATCACATTTTCCATTAAAGAAAAAGCTAGTCGGTGCAGAGACTCCAGACTCGATTATCAGTTCACTGGAGCTGAATCGGACTGAACATTGATGCATCCGAATTCCGAAACAACGGAGTTGGAAACTGAAAGCTTCCGCCGCTGCCAGATTGGCAAGAAACCAGATAGAGAGGAGGAAGAGAGAAGCCAGCGAGCGGTGAGCTCGACAGCAACTCCGGCGACAAGATAGGGAGCCGGCGGCCAAAGGAATTGGCTTTGAGGTTTTATTGACTGAATGTACTGATCTTCTTCAGCCCTAATTTTCATTTCATTCGCCGGATCCAGTTTAATCCCCTGAACAATTTTAGTTGTGCTTTTTGGCCTTTGAATTTTATGGTTTTACCTATAATAGTCCCTTTAAAAAGAAATTTCCCAGTTAACTCTTGGCTGCAAACCATGCTCTGCAGCCCGCTCCTGCTACCCATCCACATGTTCTCTCCTCATTGGATCATTCCCTTTTTATTTTTCACTGTCCAAAAGCCTTAGAAGTTAGAACCACCCATTTCATTTTCCATTTAAAGGGTAATGCTAGTAGCGCTACCAGGTGATGAATTGATCGATTATGATTCGTTTACTTAATTATAAATAATTTGTTTTTTTAATCTGAATAATTTAAATTTTTATACAAATTAATTATAGATCTCATATCAGTTTCTAAAATGTCCCATGAAACGAAAGCTGAGAGAACGTTAATTATGGATTTTATATCATTATCTAACAAGATGCTACAAAGGAAAGTCAACTCGCGAGGTTGAAGTTTACATAGACTCACCATATATTATGTTTAATCAATGGTTAATGTCGGGGTCGTAAAAATTTGAATTCACGACCACTTGACCAAACTAACTTTGATATCGTGTTATAAACCAATTGGTCTCAATAACTCGAATTGTTGTGAAAAAAAATTAATTATGAATGTTATGCTACTATCTAACACACTTTTTGTTTCTACATTGGATGGGCGTTGTGATGATGTTCTATTTTCTAAAGCTTTTGGACGATGAAAAAAAAGGGCCAATGAGGATATAACGGGCGGAGGGGTAGCAGGAGCGGGCTGCTGCTACCTAGGTTGCAGCCAAGTATTTCCCTTCCAAAAATAGGCAATTCTATCCATAATTGGGTAGACTTTACGAATCATGTCACCTCATGGCTGCTACCTAGGTTGCAACCAAGTATTTCCATTCCAAAAATAGGCGATTCTATCCATAATTGGGTAGACTTTACGAATCATGTCACCTCATGGAATTGAAATTGAATGACCAAGGTATCCACTCAGTTTTATTCTCTTTTTTTGCGTTATCAAAACCTACCACTCAAAACCCTATATCACCATTATCCGCGATTTAGAAGGAAATAGTTGTAAGACTCGACAATTGATCGCCATGCATCATCCTTGTTGTTGCACGGGAGTGCCTCGCTCATGATATGAAGGCTAAAAATGGCACTATATGTGAACAATATAACATCAAAATTCCTAGTATACCACATAATACCATATCATTGAAATGTAAGTTTGACATTATGGCTCAAAATTAATCTCACATCAATGCTACTTACATGTCATCAAGAATGAAAGCACTTAATTAAGTATAGTTCAAATATCAAACTAGGCACTTACTACATCATTAATGGCTGAGAAATGCAAATGAACTTTTTTTTATTGAGCATACATGTGGTTGGTGGATAATCGATTAAGAGAAGTAAATATTGAGAAAGTGATAATAAGACGAAGATGAATTAAGTCAATCGCCGAAGAAAAAGAGGAAGAAATAAAGAAAAAGATAGTTTTCTAGGTTGAAAAGTTGGGTTTCTTCTTCTTTCACGATTTATATCACATATATCAAACTTGCAACCCTATTATTTACACCATAAAATTTGTCTTGTACCACGTTGGTGAGTTACAAGATAATCAATGAGTTCATAAGTCCACACTCATTATAACAATTAATATTGTTTAAGTTGGGCCTTATGGATATTGATTTTAAGCACAAGCCACTAAGTCTGGAGAGTGACATGCCGCCTCAGCGAAGAGGGTCATGTCCATCTAAAATCTAGAAGCATGTGCCGCCTCATGAAGAGGGCCATGTCCATCTAGAAATCGAGGAGCACATACCGCCCCAAGATCAAGACTGAATGACTGAAAAATAAACTAATTCTGGAAGAGGTACATGCCGCTTCAAGGAGAAGCACGTGCCATCTCGCTTCACGAGAAGAGGCATGGACGCGAGACAAGATGAGACGTCCATGCGTAGTCAGGAGAAGGGGAATGGATGGGAGACAAGAGGCTTAGGCATGATTGAAAAACCAAGTATGAGAAAGTCATGCCACTTCAAGAGAAGAGCCATGTGCATGATTGGAATATCCATGGTCGTGTCACGAGAGGGGCCATGGACGCAAGGCCTCGAATCACACTTCAAAGAAGACAAAGATATTCTAAGTGTGGAGAAGGACTTATCGCTTTAACAAGGAGGGTCAGGTCCCTCTAGAGATCGAGAAGGTCATGCCGTGTCACAGGATGGGCCACGAGCATGAATGGGAGGTCCATGGCCGTGAATGAAGAGGCCATGCCGCCTTATGACCAAATTCGAATGACCTAAAAATATTCTAAGTCTGGGAAGAACATGTCGCTTCACGAGAGGGGCCATGTGCACGATTGAGAGGTTCATGCCGCCTCATGAGAGGGGCCATGGACACAAATAAAAAGGGTGTGGTGATGGAGCATTATATCACTAGTGAATATGTCTCAAGAGGTCCATGACCGTTAGACAAGAAGGCCATGGACATGAGTAAGAAGTTCATGGCCGTAAGACAAGAAGATCATGGACATGAGTAAGAAGTCCATGGCCGCGAGGCAAGAAGACCACGACCCCCTTTGTGAGACACCACATGCTTATCAAAAGACTAGCATGACACAAGATTCAGAACAAGACCAGGCGAGGCAAGCTACACTCCAAGCCCCACGACGGTTACAAGAGAGGCCCCCTGGGCGGTTACAAGAGTAACCACCACTCTGAGGAAGCAGGGAGCGATTCATTTTGGGAGTTATCCAAGAGGCGGTTTTCTACCGAAGAAGGGGGAGCGGTTCTTTGTAGCGGTTATCCAACAAGCAGTTTTCTATGGCGGTTACCTCCTCGTGGCTATAAATAGGAAGAGGGGTCGACAGAGACAAGGGTTCCAAAACCAACACTCTGACACATTGTCAAGTTTATCCTTTACCTTTTTCTCTATCATGTAGCCATAGATGTAGTTCGTAGTTTGGAGCTCTCGTCGAACCTCCATAGGAGTAGAAGTAATTTAATTTAGATCTCGTTCCCAGAAACCATCAATCAAACAACCTCGTTCGAACTTTGTTTGAAGAGGTGTGAGCCGTGTATTAGTAATCGTTGCCTTATGGAGGAAAACACCTATCAACATCAAGCTTTCTCGCAGGAAAACACCTATCAACATCAATTTATGGATGTATTGGTAGTAGCATCTCATTTCAACGCAAGCTTTCTCGCAACGAAAACACCTATCAACATCAATTTATGGATGTATTGGTAGTAGCATTATGTTATGAAATTATGGAGTTTATCCATTGGTGCATAGAATTGATACATGTTGTAATCAATTAGAGAGAAGAGGGCCCCAACTGCCCTGAAAACTCGAGTACTATACCATGGGGCGGAGTGGTTGATGACATTCAATCTCCATCTCTCTCTCTCTCTCTCTCTCTCTCTCTCTCTCACTATTTATGGCGTTTCTGAAATAACGCCTCCCAAGCCAATCCAATCCCCACCCGCCCTCCCACATTACTCACTCTCACTCACACGAGTTGGAGAAAGTCAAGCGACTTCTCCATCTCCATCCCCATTTCCTTGTTCACCACCGACTCCTTCTTCTTCTTCTTCTTCTTCTTGTAGCTAGCTAGGCATGGGAAGAGAGAAGCTGCAAGGGCGAATCATCATATGTCCTGCTGCAGCGCTGCTGCTGCTGCTGCTACTTTTCGTGGGTTTAGTTACCTGTAGTCATCATCATGCAAATCATCATCATCATCATCACCACGGAGGGAAAGAAGAAGAAGAAACAGGAGGATCAGAAGCGGAAGGGGACAGGATAAGGTCGCTACCAGGGCAGCCGGAGGTGAAGTTCCAGCAGTACTCCGGCTACGTCACCGTCGACAAAGCAGCCGGGCGAGCCCTCTTCTACTGGCTCACTGAATCGTCTTCCTCCCACCCCCTCTCCGACCCTCTGCTCCTCTGGCTCAATGGAGGTAACTTCTCAACTCAGAACCCTCCACATATGTACTTTTAACTCTTCCCATGAAACTGTTTCAGAATATGCAACTCACCAAAGCATGCATATGCTGATATGCATTATGAAACTGTTTGAGAAAATGATGATCATTCACCTTGCTCGTTAATTAGCTTCTCTCGTCATATTATCAATGTGAAAATATGTAACCGCAACTGCTAATAACCTCTTTGTTGCGTTAATTAGAGAGAGAGAGAGAGAGAGAGAGAGAGAGGGTGGGAGTGGGTGGTGATATCATAAATCAGGGGAGGGGGGCATGGGCAGGCAGGGCACATGAATGGTGGTGTGTCACTCACTCAACTCAATCACTGCCACCATTGGCTGGGCTCATCAACAAAATCATGACCCAACCAACCACTTTCATCACTTCACTCCTATAGTTAGCCACTTCTTTCTTATTTTCTTTAACTTCTTGTGGGTTGTTTAACTCATTGAATAGATATATATGGCCTGCCATGCTACCACCATTGACCATTGTCATCATCATCACGTATGGCTGGTTTTTACCCTCCATTTCTGCTGGCCTGGCATGGAGTAATTTGGAAGCAAAGTAGATAGGGACCAGAAGGCCACTCTATCTCTCGCTCTTCTCTCTCATTATTATTACGATTAGGTCATCACTATGGGAACAGAAGGCCACACCACACAGTCACAGTACCCTGAAGGCTTAACTTAGCTTAGCTTAGGCCACATCTTGTCAGCATTTCGGCCGCATCATCAATGCCTTTGGTTTTTTTCCTTCCATTCTTTTTTTGAATGGGGAATTCGAGCGGCGCATACGTCTAACTTTCTTGAGAGTGCCGCTTAATTTAAACAACCTATCACTGCTATTGTCTGTCTGTGTTATTTCCCATCATTAACTTTTGTTTGCTTCTAGCTATATTCTACTCAATAATTTCCCCTCCAGTCCACCTTTTGACCTCTCATTAATTTCCAGTAATGAACCGAATTGACAAGTAATCGCACACACAAAAATTCATGGACTATATAATTGAATTCCCAGACCTTCTTCCCCCAACCAACCAACCACTACCTTTAGTCAACTTTCCTAACTTATTAATGGGACCAATTTGCCTTTACCAAATTTAATACGCACTCTGGCTCGGTTTGCAGAAAATGTAGTACAATAATGACAAGGGCAGACTAACCTCTAGCTAATTCCACTGTCATAGTTTCTGATTTTGCTGTTTTTGGTAATGACGATCAGGACCAGGTTGCTCATCAGTGGCGTATGGCGCTTCGGAGGAAGTAGGGCCCTTCAGGATCAACAGGACTGCTTCGGGTCTATACCTCAACAAGTTCTCATGGAACACCGTCGCCAACCTGCTCTTCCTCGAATCCCCTGCCGGCGTTGGATTCTCCTACTCCAACCGATCCTCCGATCTGCTCGACACCGGCGACATTCGCACCGGTATATAACATCCCGTTACTTAAACAATGCTGCTCTGTTTCATCAACAAAACCATGATTAGTGATTTGATTTGTTTTTAAATCTTTTGGTTCAGCCAAGGACTCACTAGAGTTCCTGGTCCGGTGGATGGACCGGTTCCCTCGTTACAAGAACCGGGAGGTCTACCTCGCCGGAGAGAGCTACGCCGGCCACTATGTCCCTCAGCTGGCTAGAGAGATCATGCTCTACAACAAGAACTCCAAGCATCCAATCAATCTCAAAGGGATCATGGTACGTATGTTCACACACGTTGCTTCAACTACTTACCTTGTTGAATTTGCACATTTGATGAACGTTCCTGCTTGCATTGTGTTGCATTTGTTCATTAGGTTGGGAATGCAGTGACGGACAACTACTACGACAACCTAGGCACCGTGACCTACTGGTGGAGCCACGCCATGATCTCCGACAAGACGTACCGCCAGCTCATCAACACCTGCGATTTCCGGAAGCAGAAGGAGTCCGACGAGTGCGAGACGCTCTACAGCTACGCCATGGATCAAGAGTTCGGCAACATTGATCAGTACAACATCTACTCGCCACCTTGTAATCGCTCCGATGGAAGTAGTAGGAATACTCGGCATTCCATGAGATTGCCTCACCTTCCCCGTAACAACAAGGTTAAGTCAATTTGCCAGTGTTTTGAAGTAAATTTTTTTTTTAAACCCTTTTAGTGTAGAGATTGTTTATCTTTTTTACCATTTTGGGTTAATTAATATTTTGTTTGCAGGCTCCGAGGGAGCTGAGTGGGTATGATCCATGCACGGAGAAGTATGCAGAGACATACTACAATAGGCCAGATGTGCAGAGTGCTCTCCATGCTAATATAACCAACATTCAGTACAAATGGACTTCTTGCAGGTTACTGCCCATATGATTCATGACAATTTTGCTTATTCTGATGACTGAGCAGAGTGCTCTGTATGTGTTAATACCGTTTGATTGTGTTATCCCTCTGTGTCAGCTGCAATTCATCATGAGCTGATGTTTGTTTGTTTCTGTGGTTGATGATGCAATGTAGTGAGGTTCTGAATCGGAACTGGAACGATTCAGAGACAACCATCCTCCCAATATACAGGGAGATGATTGCTGGCGGCCTCAGAGTTTGGGTTTTCAGGTTGGATTAGCAGCTTTTACCTTCTTCGTAAACAAATTTTGAAAAGATGTTTGGACTTAAACATTGACGAATCATGTTCTGATGTGTGCACTGCACAGTGGGGATGTGGATTCGGTGGTGCCGGTAACAGCAACAAGGTACTCTCTGGCACAGCTCAAGCTGGTGACCAAGCTGCCATGGTACCCTTGGTATGTTAAGAAACAGGTCAGTATACAGCAAACTACTAAAACCAACTCACTCTAATTGCTAATCATGGAGAAGTGATTTCTGAGATTCTGTTTCTGTGTGTGTGAAATGTGAAGGTTGGAGGGTGGACAGAGGTATACGAAGGGCTCACATTCGCAACGGTGAGAGGAGCAGGACATGAAGTGCCACTGTTCAAACCAAGAGCAGCTCTCCAGCTTGCCAAGTCTTTCTTGAAAGGTCACCCTCTCCCTAAATCCTGATGACAGGCAGGCTCCCTCCCAAAGGGGATGGACAGTAATCAACAGCGTCTGGTTTCTTCAGCTTTGTTGGTAGAGGGTATGTAAGAAAGGGTAGTCAGCTAGCAAGGATGTGAGTCAGAAATGAAAGGAAAACAAATCCAGAGAGGCAGGGGATTTGGGAAAAGTAGAGGAGAGGAATGATATGTGTTGATTGAAGGGTATTGTTGGGCTGTAATTGTGGAGTTGGTGTTCTGCATTTTCTCTTTGTATTGGGGAAGCAAGTATTTTAGTTGATTTGACTATTTATCCTCTGCCTGTCTCATGGTCAAGGAAAACACTTGGGGAGGGGAAAATTCAAGAGTGTTTTTCCCCTACTGTTTTGTGATTCTGTAAAAACCATTTCATTAGGAGAAGTGACGTTTTTTTTTTACAAAAGATAATCGATATATTAATAAAAAAAGTAGTTACATCATGAAGTTTAACCAGGTCAAGAAATCAAACAAACGACTCGCAGTCGGATACAATTAAAGGACATTTCTAGCCACCAAGTGGGCTACCCTATTACTATGCCGACCTACAAACCGCACACGAAGACCCTGGCCACTGGGCATTCCAGAAATAAATGTTCCAAGGAACAAATATTTCCCTTTATATACTTGGGCAAGAAGAGAGGAGGGTTCAGTCAGGATACGCCAGCCAATTTTGGCTAGAAGCCCCATCCCCCCCCTCATGTTTACTTTTGCACATATTTCTCCAGGACATCCACCTTATTTTCGAGTGTCCATTCTCCACACCCCACCAAAAATCGGGCAACATGTTTATCCAATAGTCGACAAAGAGAGGGGAAGTTTGAAGCTGGACATGACATGTAAAGGCAAGGCCAACGCGACTGATTTAATTAGTGTTTCTTTCGCTGCCCACGACAGAGTCCTTTGTTTCCACCCCTGTAATCTGGTTAGCAATTTTTCCTCCAGATAGCGAAATGTTTCCATCTTTGATCGAGCTATTAGAGTAGGCAGTCCCAAGTACTTATCATGGACCCCCACGGCCCCAACACCCAGGATCTGGGCCAGGAACTCTTGATCTGGAATGGAGATGTTTTTGCTAAAACAGACCGCTGACTTAGCCAAGTTGACCCTTTGCCCACTAAGTTCCTCATATTTATTTAACACTGTAATCAGATTCTCACATTCCTGAAGAGATCCTCTAAGGAATAGATATGAATCATCAACAAAGAATAAATGTGAGATACGTGGGGCGCGATGGGCAACCTTGACCCCTCCCAATTTACCCTCTGAAATAGCTTTTTGCAGAAGGGCTGCAAACCCTTCTGTGCAAATTACGAACCAGAGAGGGGATAGAGGGTCACCCTGCCTAAGACCTCTTGAAGGAGTAAAATATCATTTGGGAGTGACATTCCTAAGAACCGAAAAAGATGTTGACCGGAGGCACTCATGTACCCAGCCTTGCCAGGTTGAGTTAAAAACCCATTTTAGCTAATACCGCAAGAAGAAAGGGCCATTCGACTCTATCATAGGTCTTTTCCATATCAACCTTAAGAGCCATGTAACCTTTCTTACCCCGCGTTTTGATCTTCAAATAATGCATTAACTCATGCCCAAGAAGGACATTGTCCACGGTTTGCCTTTCCTTAATAAAAGCATTTTGGCCTTCAGAAATAATCTGGGGTAGCAATGTAGCCAATCTTTCCGCCATAATTTTAGTAATGATCTTGTAGACAAACTGGCACAAACTAATAGGCCGTAACTGTTTCATAGTTTCAACACTGTCCACTTTTGGGATAAGCGTGAGCCAGGTATGGTTGAAGCTACGGAGCATTCTACTTGTTGAAAAAAACGAGCAGACTGCCTCAGAAACAGAGTCTCCGCCTATATCCCAGTAGGCTTTAAAGAACTTTCCCGTGAATCCATCCGATCCTGGTGTTGTTTTGAGCCCATGGCAAAGACAGTTCTTCTAACCTCACTAGGAAGAACTTCAGCAGTAAGACTAGCGTTCATGGCTTCAGTAACCCGACTAGCTATCGAGAGTTCAGCAACCCGCTCTGTCATATTTAGCACCTGGGTTTCCGAGGTACAAAGGTTTTGGTAGAAATCAGTGGCAATTGTCGCCTTACCTATATCCTCGGTCACCCACTCCCCATTCTCATTCCGGAGGCCTGACACAAAATTCTGTTTACGGCGAGCCCTTGTCACCGTATGGAAGTACGAAGTGTTTTGGTCCCCCTTTTTTAGCCATCGAACCCTTGGTTTTTGTTGCCAATAGACCTCCTCAGCCTCCCATTGCCTACTGAGTTCTGAATCCAGAATTCTCACCTCATCCCAATCAATGGGGGCAATGGATTTGATCCTATCAATTTTTGCCTGCTGGGTGTGAATACTACGGAGGGAGTTGGTAGTACCCGCTCTACTCCAGTCATAAAGCATATGCCTAAGCTTCTTAAGCTTTTCCCAAAGTTGGAACATAGGCGTGCCTGAGATATTCTCATGGCAAACATAAGTCACCATTGCTTTGGCCTCCGGGTTATCTGCCCACCGGGCATCAAACCGGAATAAAGGTCGACTATGACGAACATATGGTTTTTCTGACAAGAGTAAAGCTCGATGGTCCGAACCCTGGTCCGTGAAGTGCTTGACCAGAGTATCAGGAAAGAGATCAACCCAGCTCTGGGAGCAAAGCGCCCTGTCTAGTCGTTGACGGATACATGCCGCTCCCATGCGCTTATTTGTCCATGTAAACTGGTCCCCTTGGTACCCTGGGTCATGGAGACCAAGATCATGGACAAAATTCCGAAAATCAGCCGCTTGGGCCGCATTTCAAGGATTTCCGCCATCCTTTTCACTCCCATGAAGAATCTCATTAAAATCCCCAATAACCACATAAGGAGTATCAAGCCCATCACAAATTTCACGAAGTTGAGCTAGTTGGATAGCCCTTATTGCATCAACACAACTAATGTAGACAAACACCACAACATAGGAAAATCCAATTCATTAATCTGAGTACAAATGCAGAATTGGGAACTAAAAAACACCGAAGCATCAACTCCGAGGACCAAGCTCATGAGTAGGGATGGCAATGGGTCGTGTTGGGTCGGGTTTTGCCAAACCCAAACCCATGGGTTTATCCGTGAAAAAAACCCGGGGTGAAACCCACTGGGTTTGAAAAACTCAAACCCAACCCGCTGGGTATCCGCGGGTTCATGGGTACCCACGGGTTTTTGTCGTAAAAAAATTACAATAACAAGTTCATACCAAAATTAAAGTCAAATATCAATCTCTCAATACAAATTATCCATATTTAAAACACCATTCTAGAAAATTCAAGCAAATCACAAATTAACTATACAAATTGTTCAACACCAATCTAGAAAACTCAAGAAAATTGAAGTAAATCATAAATTATCCATAAATAACATGATTAATTGAAGGCTTCATCCTTTCAATTAAGTTTCTTCACTCTCTACTCGATAACACAAACTTCATTCTACACAATTATAAAGAAAAAATTAGACATGTCTCCACAAACATAAATAAAATTAGTTGTTTAAAATATTAAATATACCGAGAAAATTAATTATATGTGTGGGCGGGTACCCACGGGTCGGGTTTACCTAAACCCAAACCCAACCCGATGAATAGTGAACGGGTTTAAACCCAAACCCGACCCAAAACCCGTCAACACGGATTTTACCCGCGTTGACCGGATTGGGTCGGGTGGGTACCCGTGGGTTCGGGTTTGGTTGCCATCTCTACTCATGAGCCATTAATATATTTTCCCCTATAAGTCTCCCTTTAACAAAAGCAGTTTGGTTTTTGCTGATCAGGGCAGGGAGCAGGGGACTTAACCTATTAGCAATAAGCTTAGAAATGCATTTATACAAAATGTTGCAACAAGAGATTGGCCTGAAGTTTCTCATATCATCTGGATTTGGTGTTTTAGGGATCAAGGTGAGAATAGTTGCATTCACTTGTTTAGGCACCCTATCTTGTTCAAAGCAATATTGAATAGCAGCAGTTACCTCAGAGCCAATGATTGGCCAAGCATATTGAAAGAAAGCCGTAGAGAAGCCATATGGACCATGACTCTTATCACCATCCATTTTGAATATAACATCTTTAATCTGCTGCTCTGTGAAAGAGTCACAAATATCTTCAGTTTGTTCCTCATTGAGCTTCCACTTTAGCAAACCAGAAATATACTCATCTGTTTAAATTTCAACCTCAGGATTAGACACACCAAGCAATCTTTCATAGAATCTAACAGCAATTTGAGACATTTCTTCCACTTCCTGAATTTTTTCCCCTTGCTCGTTTATCAGAACTCTTATTGTACTCCTCTTCTGTCTAGTTTTGATGGATCTGTGGAAATATGCTGAGTTTGAGTCCCCAGTCATCAACAAAGTTTCCCTTGACTTCTGATGGAGAAAGGATTCCTCATCATGACTTAGTGCTCTTAGTTCCTGTTCCAGCCTTATCATGTTGTCAAAGTTATCAGTAGATGGGTTTAGTAATGCCTGCTGTAGCATTAGTTGAACTTCAGCTTCCTTTGCTTTAACTCTTTCCCTTAAGTCTGAATAATAATCCATATTGAGCTTCCTCAGCAAATTCTTCAAGATCTTCAACTTCTTGCACACTTTAATGAGAGGGTGACCTGTCACCTTGCTATTCCAAGCCTCTGCTAGCAATTCATCAAATTTTGGATGTTTCAACCAGAATTTGAAGAATTTGAATGGCTTCGGTAGTGACTTCAATGAGGCACAGGTGTCAACATATAATTGACAATGGTCCGAGATTCCAGGAGCTTGAATGTGAACCTTACTGTCCTTAACCAAATCTAACCAAGCAAAGTTAACCAGGACCCTGTCTAGCCTCTTAGCAATTGGATTGGCAGCTTGTTTATTTAACCAAGTGAACCATGGCCCCGTTGCTTGATGCTCTTCTAGTTCAAGATCATTGATCCAATCATTAAACCCCATCATTCGAGAATCCACTGTAGGAGTGTTTGAGGCTTCTGAAGGAGCTCTAATATCATTAAAATCTCCCAAGACAATCCAAGGAACCTGGGTCACATTAATTCTCTAATATTTTAGATTGACTTAAATCTTATTTATTTTAACTAGAATTTTAATTTCTCACAAAGAAAACTACTTCACTGTAGTAAACAAAATAATATCAATTTGGATCCATAAGCAGACACAAAAAGGATTCAATAGTTCAAAATACCGCAAAAAATCCCCCTATCATGGTATCGTTATCGTAGACAAAAGTGAGAGGAACTCCTTCCTCAACCTAATGAAAAACCATTGCCACACATATTACCGGCTACCAAGTACGAGCCCACAAATCTGTCAATTCCTGGATTCTCCCTTCGTAATCTTCCTCCCACGCATCCTGGTTATCATCAAGCCACTCTGAAGCTTCTGTCAGAGCAGTCTTCACCTCGGCCTTATCACGAACATTAAGCTTCTCATCAATTGCCTTGTTCAGATCATAGATATGCTTCTCCAAGCAGTTCCTCGCATCGATACGTGCTTTCTCCTTCTTGTCATGCTCGGCCATCTCAATCGCCTCTGTCGTCATCCTCTCCACCTCACTTTGACTCAAATTCCGTTTACTGCTGCTGATGGTGAGGGATCCCGAATTCTTTGATGCTGTATCCTTGGCCGTGACGGTTAAGATTCCATCCGCATCAACCTCGAATGTCACCTCCACAGACGGTACACCCCTGTAGGTGCATGTTGTTTCTGTAACTTCAAGTTGTACTGCATTTGATTACATCATTACAATCACATGCGACATACATACATACCTTGGAGCAGGGGCATCATAAGCCACCGCTTCATCAGGATTAATCCCTTTGCTAGGTTCCTTTCCGTTAAAGGCCTTCTTCAACATCTCTCTAACCTTGGGGATCTAGTGCTTCCCCCAACCAGCACAATCTCATCCTTCTCCACATTTGCATCCTGCATTGTCGATTTCACTACTTCCAATGTTCTCTCAAAGAGATCCGAATTCAAATCCTCGAACCTCGCCCTCGTCAATGGCTCCGAGAAGTCCATCCCGTGTATGAAAGAATGAATCTCCACCCTAACTTGTGTTTGACTGCTCAGTACCTATTAGGATTGTATCAAATATGAACAGCATGCACATCCAATAACATAAAGGATAAAATAAAGCTAAAATAACATTTACCCTTTTGGCTCTCTCGCATTCCCTCCGCAGCTTTCCAAGAGCCTTCCGGTCTTCACTAACATCCTTCTTGAACTTCCTCCTGATCATATCCACGAAATACTTCATCACTCTCTGGTCGAAATCCCCACCGCCGAGGTGAGTGTCCCCGCCGGTTGCCAGCACCCTGAACTCATCCTTGTCAATATTCAAGACGCTGACGTCGAAAGTCCCGCCACCTAGATCGTACACCAAAATATTCCTCTTGCGTCTCGAATCCTGATTCAGACCGTAAGCCAAGGCGCCTGCCGTCGGCTCGTTGATTATCCTTACAACATTGAGCCCGGCGATAGTGCCGGCGTCCTTGGTGGCTTGCCTCTGGAGGTCGTTGAAGTAGGCCGGGACGGTGACCACGGCGTGTTTTACTTGCTTCCCAAGGTAGGCTTCCGCCGTTTCCTTCATTTTCACCAGCACCATGGCGCTGATTTCTTCTGGCGTGAAAGTTTTCAGCTGTCCGTTGACCTCCATTTCGACGCACGGCCTTCCGTCACTTTCAACCACGGGGTAGGGCAAGTACTTAAGATCTTTCTGGACGTCAGGGTCGTCGAATTTTTTGCCTATGAGTCTTTTGACGTCGAAGACGGTACGGCGTGGGTTGAGAGTGGCCTGATTCTTTGCGGCTTCGCCGATGAGACGTTCGGAGCCGGTGGAGACTGGGGAGAAGGCGATGTAGGACTGAGTGGTTCGGTTGCCTTGGTCGTTGGCTATTATTTCGACGTTACAGCCCTTTCGAGCGACGGCGACGCAGGAGAAGGTGGTGCCGAGGTCGATTCCTATCACTTCGCCAGTAATCTTTGTGTGCGCCATTGGTTTTGTGATTGTGGATTAATGGAAGTTGCAACAGAGAGTAATGGTTTTAGGCTTTGCTTGTGGATGTGTATTTAAATTAATGTCGGGGCTAATATTCTTTATTGATTGGTGCCTTTCTCGTTCCCCCGTATCCCCGCTCCGTATATGCATGGGTTTGAAGTATTTGAATCTGTGTAGTAAGAGAGTTAATGGCGACTCTTAGTTTACCACGTTTGGTATTGGAATTTGCCAGTGGGGTGTACTGGTGTAGTGGTGTAGGCTGTAGAGATCTAGGGGAATTGGTTAGGCTGATAGTTATTGATGGGAAAAGATAAATCTAATTACCTAAAAACCATATTGAATGTAGCTGTACAGCCGATTAACACCAGCAACATTTGGATGGTTAAGAAGATTTTAGTGAAAATCGGAATAAATCAAGGTTGTCAAGCGGAAGTACAACAAGGATGTTACTCAAGACCCCAAGGCTATTGGGAAGCTGCGCAGGGAATGCGAGAGGGCCAAAAGGGTACGTATAAAAAAATTGAATAAATTAGGGCTGGGATATCGGTTTCTGTTTTGTATCGAACAATTGATAAGAAATTGAAATCGAAAAACATTATAGCTTTTTCAGTTTGTAATAACTGAAATCGAAGTCGTTAAAGGGTTATTACGCTCACTTAGGTGTGCTACTTAAGTATGTAAGCTCAATTTACTAGTAGGTACTGAGGAGTCAGACACAAGCTAGAGTAGAGATTGATTGCTTCATAGACGGGATGGATTTCTCCGAATCACTGTCGAGGGCGAGATTCGAGGATTTGAATTCGGATATGTTTGAGAAGACAATGAAAGTGGTGAGGTCGACACTGAAGGATGCAAAGGTGGAGAATAAGGAACAGATCGACGAGATACTGTTGGTTGGAGGAAGCACGAGAATCCCCATGGTGAGGGAGATGTTGAAGAAGGAGTTCGACGGGAAGGAGCCGAGCGAAGGCATCAACCCCGACGAGGCCGTGGCTTATGGTGCTGCTGTGCAAGGAGCCATGCTCAGTACCGACCAAGACCAACTCGGTACGTATTTTAATGGAATTATTTCTAGGACAGTAATTAATCCACACATATATATGGAGTTTGAAATTTTGGTGGTGTGCTACTTGAATTAATCTGTTAGGTCTCGTTTTATACGATGTCACTCCCTTGAGTTTGGGGATCAGTAGCCTGGGTGGTGTGATGTGTGTGGTGGTGCCGAGAAACACCGTCATTCCTTCAAAGAGATCAAGTGGCAGGCGCATTACTGTTGGAGACCAACAAACTTCTTTTAATGTCGAGGTTCGATTTGGTTCATGTCGCGCGGTTCGAATCGATTTCGGTTTATCTAAAATCAGATCTAACCATACAGGTTTGTATCTCACTATCTCAGGTGTATCAAGGTGAAAGGACCCTGGTCAAAGATTGCCTCTGGCTCGGAAGGTTTAGCCTGGAAGGTATTGCCCCGCGCCAAGGTACAGTCTAATTAAATCTTTGATCGAGTCTCTTAACAATATCATTAGTGGTAAAATTGTTGGAAATAAAATAATTATTTCCTTTCTCAACTTGGTTGGCACGTTTATGGGCTAAGAAAATGGAAAATGGAATTTGGAATATGATTTGATGGCCACGTTTTTGTACAGAGAAAGAAATCTTTTTGGGTTTTTTATATTTGAAGATTGGAAGAGGGATTTTGGATTGGCAGAGGAGTGGACAAGAAAATTCTTTCTTTATTGATACTTGCTTTTAACTCTCTTTTTGACTCTACACTTTCTGACACATCCAACCAAGCCTATTTATAGGCTCCAAGTTACAAAATATCATCACTAACCGACTTAAGCTTATGGTTGCTATTTTTTCTTATTTTTTTTATTTTACAACTGCCACATTTATTTCACACCTAATTGGTTCTGGATATTTTCCCATCCAGCACAATCACGTAGCTTCTAGCAATTTTCAGATATTTTGATAATTTAAACTTTAATTTCAACACTCCCCCTTAAAGTTTAATTCGTCGTAACTCCGAGTAGCATCCTCATCTTGACGAACACATCTTGCTTCAGCGGCTTCCTGAAAATATCAGCAACCTGGTCTTCAGTTTTCACATACTTTAGCGTCACCTCTTTCTGCTCCACGCATTCTCTCAAGAAATGATATCTTGTAGCAATATGCTTACTGCGATCATGAAATACCGGGTTCTTTGCTAGCGCCAGTGCAGACTTGTTATCAACAAAAATTTCAGTTGACTCTTCTTGTGTCATGTTCAACTCCTTCAGCAACTTTCTCAGCCATATCGCATGACACGCACACGATGTCGCAGCAACATACTCAGCTTCACAAGTTGACAGTGTCACGATAGCTTGCTTCTTTGAACTCCATGTGAAAGCTGTATCTCCCAGGAAAAATACAAATCCTGTAGTGCTCTTGCGATCATCGATGTCTCCTGCCCAATCACTATCGCAGTATCCAACCAATTTTGAAATTTTCTACTTAGTATAAAGTAGACCATGATCAATTGTACCTTTGATGTAGCGTAATATCCTCTTGGCAGCATTCCAGTGTGACATTGTCGGTGCTTCCATGTATCTGCTGACTAATCCAACTGCGTAGAGAATATCTGGTCTGGTACAAGTCAGATATCTCAGACTTCCCACGAGACTTCTAAACTCTGTTGAGGTGACCTTCTCTCCTTTATCATCCTTGGATAATTTCAGTCCACACTCAGCTGGTGTACTCACAGGATTACAATTCTCCATCTTAAACTTCTTCATAACCTCTTTAGCAAAACCACTCTGTGAGATGAAAATTCCTTCCTCCTTTTGACTTACTTCAATTCCGAGATAGTATGACATTACTCCGATATCTGTCATCTCTAACTCACGAACCATCGTCTTCTTGAACTCTTCAAATATTTGAGGATCGTTGCCTGTAAAGACGAGATCATCTACATATAGGCAAACCATCAATATTGCTCCCCCTTGCACCTTGCAGTATAGTGCATGCTCATGTGGGCATTTGTTGAATCCATTCTGCTGAAAATACTTGTCAATCCTGCTATTCCAAGCTCTCGGTGCTTGTTTCAGACCATACAATGCTTTCTTCAGCTTTAACACCTTATCTTCTTGACCTTCAACGACATATCCAGGGGGTTGCTCCACATAGATATCTTCCTCGAGATATCCATTGAGAAAATCTGACTTCACGTCCATTTGATGTATCTTCCATCCATTTTGAGCAGCGAGAGATATCACCATCCTGATACTCTCCATTCTCGCCACGGGAGCAAAAACTTCATTATAGTCAATGCCTGGTCTCAGACTATATCCTTTCACCACCAATCTTGCTTTGTGTCTGACGACTTCTCCTTTAGCATTTTTCTTAGCCTTGAATACCCACTTCACACCGATTGGCTTCTGGTTCTTAGGAAGTGACACAAGCTCCCAAGTCTTGTTCTTCTCAATTGCTCTAATTTCTTCATCCATAGCTCTCTTCCATTTTTCATCTTTCATGGCTTCTTTGACATCAACTGGTTCACTATCAATGAAATGACAGTAGAGTGTCAATTCATCACCTTCAATGGTTGTCGTTTCCTCATAAATTTCTTCAAGTCTCCTATACTTCTGTGGCCTTTCTCGGGGACTTTCACTCGATTCTCCTTCTAGGCTGGCAGGCTCTCTGTGACTGGGTGGACTTGTCACAGGTGTAGCTGTATCTGGTTCATCATCACTTTCATCCATAGTGAATGGATAAAAAGTGTAATTTTTCTTTGCTTCAGCAGTCCAATCCCATGTTGCTTCTTCATCAACTACCACGTCTCTGCTGATGATCAGCTTCTCTTCCACAGGATCAAACATTTTGTAACCTTTTGAGTGTTCTGAGTATCCCAGGAATATGTACTTCCTGCTTTTGTCATCCAACTTCTTCCTTTCTTGATCCGGTACGTGCACATATCCTACACTTCCGAAAACTCGGAGGTGAGAGATTGTGGGTTTCCTTCCGCTCCATGCTTCTTGGGGTGTTTGATTCCAAACACTCTTTGTTGGTGACTTGTTCAGCAGGTAGACTGCACAATCAACAGCTTCAGCCCATAGCTCCTTTGGCAGGTTCTTGCTTTTCATCATGCTTCTCGCCATGTTGAGGACAGTTCTGTTCTTCCTCTCAACGACTCCATTCTGCTGTGGGGATCTTGGGACTGTGAGAAACCTGCGAATTCCTTGATATTCACAGAACCTTCTGAACGTCTTGAGCATAAATTCTCCACCTCTATCTGATCTCATTGCTTTGATGTAGCGGCCACTTTCATTCTCCACCATCATCTTGAACTTCTTGAAAGCTTCAAATGTGTCTGACTTCTGCTTTAAGAAGTATACCCATGTCTTTCTACTGTAATCATCAATGAACAATAGGAAGTATTTGTTCTTCCCGAACGATGTCGGGGTGATCGGTCCATAGAGATCTGCATGGACGAGCTCAAGTGGTGCTTTAGCTCGTGACAAGGACTCTTTCGGGAAACTTGCCCTGAATTGCTTCCCAACTAAGCATCCTTCACACAATTGGTCTGGATGATTGATCACTGGCAGACCATGCACCATATTCTTCTAACCGAGCAACTTCAGGCCTCCAAAATATAGATGGCCATACCTCAGATGCCATAGCCATGTAGTGTCTTTCACACATGCTTTCAAACACTTCGCCATTTTAGTTTGAATGTTCAGCGTGAACATTCTGTTTCTCGACATTGGTACTCTGGCCAACAACAGCCTCTTCTCATTTAGCAACTCCAATTGACGATTCACCATGTGGACTTCATAATTCTTCTCCATCGGTTGACCCAAACTCAGGATGTTACTAGTCATGTCTGGGGCATAGTACACATCACTGATAAATTGTTGTGAGCCATTCTTTAGCCGGATGAGTAGAGTTCCTCTCCCTTTGATAGGAACCTTCGAGGAGTCTCCAAATACGACATTTCCTTTCACTGATTCATCCATATCCACGAACATGTTTCTTTTTCCACACATGTGGTTGCTTGCTGCATTATCCAGATACCACATGTTATCTCTCGGTTTTTCATCTCCTTGATGTGATAGCATCAATGTGCCTTTGACTTCTTCTTGCACGTTGTTTGCTGTCTCCTCCACTTCTTTAGGCGGACTCCAACATTCCGATGCATAATGCCCGTACTTCGAGCAATTATGGCACTGGACGTTGGATTTATCACGACCTTCATTTGATCTCCAACTTCCTCTTCCACGTCCACGACCACGACCTCTGCCTCTGGTGGACGTTTCATAATTGTTCGTGGTGAAATTTCCTCCGTCTCTGCTTTGATATGCTCCTCGGGCTCTTCCTCTTCCTCTGCCTCTATAGTTGCCTCTGCCTCGACCTCTGTATTGACCTCCTCCTCGGGCACCTTCTTTCTCCTCAGTGGTAGCTTTTGTAGCTAACACTTGTTCTGACGATTCTTCATTTCTTTTATTTAGTCTTTCTTCTCTGGCTTGTAATGAACCGATGAATTCATCAACCGTCATTTTTGACACGTCCTTAGCTTCCTCCATGGCCACCACCACATAGTCAAACTTTGGTAATAATGACCGTAGAATTTTCTCCACCACTTTGGTCTCTTCAATTTTCTCCCCATATTGCTTCAGTTTGCTGACGACTGACTTCACACGGGCGGTGTAATCTGAAACAGATTCACCTTCCTCCATTTTAATGGCTTCAAAATCTCCTCTTAGTGTCTGAAGTCGAACCTTCTTTACTGGTTCTACGCCTTGCATTTCTTTTTGCAAAATCTCCCATGCTTCCTTCGCCGTGGTAGCATCTGCTATTTGGTCGAACATGGATTCATAAAGACATTGATGAATTAAAGTGAGTGCCTTTTGATCACTCTTTCTATTTTTTCTCAATACCTCCTTTTCAGCAGGAGATAACCGAGAATCCTCTACGGGAATCTCGTAACCTTTCTCAACAATATCCCAAGCATCTTGGGATCCCAACAAGGCTTTCATACGAATACACCAATTTTTATAATTGGTTTTGGTAAGGTGGGTGAATTGAATGGGGAAAGTGGATTTTTCGGCCATGGGACAATCGTGATAACAATAGCACGAGAAATTCTTTTCTGATGTGGAAGTTCAGACTACGCCGCAACCACAGAGCATACTTGAAAATAACTCGGGCTCTGATACCACTTTGTTGGAAATATGCCGAGACTGCTCGTCATTCATAATTAAATGATAAGCCTCTCCTAAGCTGGGAATAGGCTTCATGGCTAGGATCTGCGTTCGAACAGTGCTAAAAGCATCATCAAGTCCCATTAAAAAGTCAAATAAGCGCTCACCTTCCTTCGCCTCGCGCTGACGCCGCTTGACATCACACGTACAGCCACCACAAGTGCATTCGAGAGAGGGGGCCAACGAACTCAGCTCATCCCAATGCCCCCGCAACTTTGTATAAAACGTGGCGATGGAAGTCTTCTCTTGCTGAAGTAAATTTATAGTACGCTTCAACTCGTACATACGAGCAGCACTACCATGCCCAAAACGAGCTTGGAGATCGACCCCAGATGTCTCTAGCTGTTCGTGCAAACCGAACACTGCTCCGAATATTTTTAGTCATGGCTGTCTTGAGCCAACCTTTTACCATAGCATCAGCTTGCTTCCACGCGGCATAGTCTTCTCCCCCGATGTCAGGCGCCGAAATCGAACTGTCAACGAACCCAAGCTTGTTCTTGGCGATGAAGGAGTCAGTGATGTCTCCAACCCACTCGCCTTAATTGGTTTCGGTGAGCAGTTCACCCACAAAAAGTTGACTGGGGTTATCGGAATTATGAATCACGAAAGGAGAAGGCCGCGGAATAACCTGGGCGGAGCCAAGACCGCTGTCACCGCCGCTGCTCCTCGACGAGCTGTGTATGGTATGATCATCTGTGTCACCCATAGTAAAAACAAATGGTCGTGAATCCGTTCACAACTCTGATACCATGTAGAAATCGAAAGTGCGGAAACGAAAGAACACAAGAGACGAGTTTTACGTGGTTTCCCCGTTCGGTGAGAACGGGACTAGTCCACGGAGAACGTGAGTTCTCGGCTGATCTATTATTGATAGGTCGACTAATTTATCTATTATCGATTGAGGCATTCACGATTCATAAAATGATCGTCCCCTGGCGTTCAAAAGGTAGTACGATCAGAGAAGTTATCGTCCCTTTATCGTCCAGTTGGCATTTGCGATCCAAGAAATGATCGTCCCCTCTTCCGGTTCATTAGTGGGCACATAGCAACCATTCATCGCTTTTCAAGCTGGGCATTCACGTTGTTCATGCTCCAGCTTGAGGGGGAGAATAGGAGGTCAACATACGTCGGTCGACTAACTCAGTCATCAGGTCGACCGCGATGTACTAGGTGTGTTCAAGTTCAAGAGACGCAGTCAATCGTCTCCATCATCAGGTTGTTCAGAGAGAGTCAGTCGTCTCCAATCAACCTCGTCCGAGATGTTATTCATCTCGAGTTTTGTGGTTCAAGCCATCATGCTTGTTCTTCATATTTACTTCTTCAAGCTCGACATTCTTGTCATTTATGTCTTCGCTTGAGGGGGAGTGTTGCGGTTACTTAAACCGTGTTAGTATTGGGCCTTGTTGGGCCTCGTCTGATTCGTTGGATTAGGGTTTTAACCCTAAGTTTATCTATATAAGCTTAGCTATCGACTTGTGTGATAGCAAGCCGTCACAATGTAGTCCTATAATAAAATCGCCAGCCGTGAGCTCTTTCGAGCTCACCGTGGATTAGTCTCGATCAATCGATCGAGGATACCACGTAAAATCCCTTGTCTTTTGTGTTTGTTTCGTCTTCCGCATCATCAAATTCGGGAACTAGACTATAAATCATGGGCATGATCACTCTTTTGGCCTCATCAGTTGAAACTGTAATAGTGCACGGTAGCTCCCAATTTCTCGTTGTGCATTACTATTTACAAACTACAACAATGACTCTCTTTGTGCTCCCAATTTCTCTTTGAGGAGTGATTGGTAGTTTATTTCATATCTCGCTTGCTTCTTTTACAGGCACTCATGAATAGAATTTTACCAAATTGTAAAGAAGAGGAGAGGACCATTAGTGAAAAAGCAGCCATGCGATACTCTTCCTAAAACAACTAAGCATCAACCACCAAAAGATAGAGGATGATGCCGAAAGATTCTTAAGTTAATACTAGCTAGAAAGAGCATAGCCTTGTTCTTAATTAGAAAACATGAGCTTCTAGATTCTGATGATGAAGAATTCATGCACCGGCTTGAACCATCTCCGTTTCGTTAATCAGAATACCAATCATCATCATCATCATTAGCACGATCCCATATGTAACCCAATTCCAGTCTTTTGTCCTCGTACTCTTGCATGCATGCATCCTCGTTCTCGTCCAACCACTCAGAAGCATCCCTCAACGCACGTTTAATCTCGGCCCCGCCATACATATAAACCTTCTCCAGTGCCTTGTTCAAATCATAAATCTTTTCCTCCAAGCGGTTCCTCTCTTCAATACGTGACTTCTCCTTCCTGTCCCGCTCAGCCATCTTCCTTGCCTCTCTTATCATTCTGTCGATCTCCCTTGAACTCAAATTACCTTTGTAGCTGGAAATGGTGAGTGATGTAGAATACTTGGTTGCTTTTGGTTTGGCAGTCACCTTTAAGATTCCATCAGCATCAACCTGGAATGTCACCTGGATACGAGATTCTCCCCTGAGAGTACATAGGTGCAAGCAATTAGTTTCATTTACGTGGTCATTGCTGAATCTTACCATCCCCACCTTACGTACAGAGTTAATAGAAATTAGTTTCATTTACGTGGTCATTGATCGCAACTGAGCATAGCACCTTGCACAGCAGCCCCATAAGCCACGGCTTCGTCAGCATTAATCCCTTTGCTCGGCTCCTTCCCATCAAATGCCTTCTTCAGCATCTCCCTAACCCTAGGAATTCTCGTGCTTCCACCAACCAACACAATCTCATCAATCCGTTCCTTGCTCACCTTAGCATCTGCCAGTGTCCTCTTCACCACCTCCAACGTCTTCTCGAAGAGATCAGAATTCAAGTCCTCGAATCTCGCCCTCGTCAGTGTCTCTGTAAAGTCCATCCCCTCTACTAAGGAATCGATCTCTACTCGAACTTGAGTCTGACTGCTCAATACCTATTTAGCAAGGGAATTGTGTGGTATATGAATTTATGTAATGAAGCAAAATATAATTACACCGATTTTGAATTAAATTTTTACCCTTTTCGCCCTTTCGCATTCCTTCCTCAGCTTCCCCAACGCCTTCCAGTTCTGACTGATATTCTTCCTGTACTTTCTCTTGATCAAGTTGACGAAATACTCGATCACTCTCTGGTCGAAATCCCCACCGCCGAGATGAGCGTCGCCACCGGTCGCCAGAACCTTGAACTCACCGTTATCGATCTTCAAAACGCTGACGTCGAACGTCCCACCACCCAAATCATACACCAGAATATTCCTCTTGGTCCTCGAGTCCTTCTTCACACCATAGGCCAGGGCGCCGGCCGTCGGCTCGTTGATTATCCGTACAACATTGAGCCCGGCGATGGTGCCGGCGTCCTTGGTGGCCTGCCTCTGGGAATCGTTAAAACACGCCGGGACAGTCACCACTGCGTTGGTGACTTGCTTCCCAAGGAACGATTCCGCCGTCTCCTTCATTTTCCCCAGCACCATGGCGCTGATTTCTTCCGGGGTAAAGATTCTGAACTTGCCGTTGACCTCCATTTCAACGCACGGCCTTCCGTCCCTGTCCACGACGGGGTAGGGCAGGTATTTTAGGTCGTTCTGGACGTCCGGGTGGTCGAACTTTTTCCCGATGAGTCGCTTTACGTCGAAGATGGTACGGCGAGGGTTGAGAGTGGCCTGATTCTTGGCGGCTTCGCCGATGAGACGTTCGGAGCCGGCGGAGACAGGAGAGAAGGCGACCCATGAAGGGGTGGTTCTGTTTCCCTGGTCGTTTGTTATGATTTCGATCGTACCGTCCTTTCCGGCGACGGCGACGCAGGAGAAGGTCGTTCCTAGGTCGATTCCGATCACTTCTCCGGTTATCTTTTTGTTTGACATCTTTTTTTTTAAAAAATTTGGATGGACAGAGGGAATTTTGTTAGGCTTGCATGCGATAAGTTTTGTGACTCTGTGACTCTTGACCATTAGAGCGCCTTTCCAGTTTCCGCTGACAACTTTGAACTTGTGAATGTGGGGTGTATGAACCATTCATTCAATGTGGCTCTTAGTTTACCGCGTTCTCGTATGAATTGGGAAGTGGAGGAGCTTATAAGTTGTCTACATTTAATAAATATTCCCAAGTTCCAAAGGTTTAGAGATGGGGATTTGGCAAGAGGATATATAATACCTAGGAGTGTACTACTGTACTGTGGATGGGGTGATAAAAGTAGTGATGGCAATGGGGCGGGGCGGGGCGGGTACCTTAATCTATGTCCCGCCCCACGCTATTACGGGTCGGGGCGAGTAAAACCTGCGCGGGTACGGGGCCGGGCGGGTCGACCCACTCTTACATGTTGTTCAAAAAAAATACAAGTAAATTTTACTTTTTACAATAAAACGTAGGGAAAAATACTTTAAGAATGAAAAATATTGATAATAGAATGAATAATTGAGCCTAACAAGTTGAAAAATCGACTCTAACTAGTTGAAGAAAAAACAAAATAGGAGAAATATATTATATTATTATATTATTATTATTTATTTTATATTATAATATATTATTTATAATAATTTTGAATGTAATTACTAAGTAGTACTGACATAGTCAGCCATATATACATGATCATGCTAGTTAAGTTTGGTATTTTTGAAGGGAACTAGACTATACATCAAGGGCATGATCGCTACTTTCGGCTCAAACTATAATAGCTAGTGCATGGGAGCTCCCAATTTCTCTTTGTGCATTACAAATACATCCATTTTTTCAAACATAAACAAACGACAAATGGCTCGGTCACAAAGTCAGACCCTCCTAAAACAGAATAACCAAATCAGGTAAAACGAGTCATGTCGAAATTACCATTTCTAGGGACAAACTCACCCATCAATAATGTTGAAGGTTTACAAATTCTCAGTAATTTTATTCTTCTTATTGCTTTAATGCTAAGAATTGAGTTATCAATCGTCATTGTAAAAAATTCAACCAACACTTAAAAAAATGTTTTCATGAAGATAATCACTCAAACGCTTAAAATATTATAGTAAAACGAGCGAGGGTCAAAACTAGTATTAGACTATTAGTATATGACGGGTGAGAAATAGGAAAAGAGGTCATTCTATCCATCTCAATTCTCAATAAGGTTTTACTATCTAGCTAGTTATTTATCAATATTATACATGGTTGAACAATAATTAACGAAGTACATAATTAAACAATTACTTCAAAATTGCAATTAGATTATAAAAAGGGTGGACTCTGAGAGGCACGGACGTAGCCAAGCGTGCATGCATGCAGCACTTTTCACTAAAATAAAACAGCTAGGGTTAATCGCGAGAAAAATAAGTTAAAACATTAGAGGTAGATCGAAAGCCTGACGACCTTGTCTCTACAGTAGACAAATATACTAACAGAAAACTCTCCATCTCGTTAAGGGTTCCATAACCGCTTTGCTGATCACTACAGGTCCCATAGAGCTGCTAGTTCTCGACTTTTCTCCTCGTAGTCTTGCATGGATGCATTCTCGTTCTCTTCCAACCACTCCGAAGCTTCCCTCAGGGCACTTTTAACCTCGGCCAACTTATCATCCCATGCCTTGTTCACATCATAAATGTCATTCTCCAATCGGTTCCTAGCATCAATACGCGCTTTTTCCTTTTGGTCTTGCTCAGCCATCTCCTTTGCCTCTCTTACCATCCTCTCAATCTCCCCTTCGCTCAAATTCCCTTTGTAGCTGGTAATGGTGAGGGATTTAGAATTGTTGGTTCCTATCTCCTTGGCAGTAACACTTAGTATCCCATCCGCATCAACCTCGAATGTCACCTCGATAGATGTTTCTCCTCTACATAATCAAATATGTACAATATATAACACTCGTGCAGTTGACTGATCATCTTGTTCGACAGTGCTGGATAGTCATGGAATATAACCACACGGATCAATTATACATACCTTGGAGCTGATGTAACGCCCGTTAGAGTGAAACTTGCCAGTCCAAGACAATCTTTGGTCAGGGGTCTTTCCCCTTGAAACACCTGTAGTTTAGAGTAAGCATATACGTGTGCAGTGCATATCGGAATTAATGTGACCAGCAAGATATACAGCTCTCGGATGCAAAGCGGCCCTTGAAATATTGAACAGGTTCATACAATTTTTAAGTTTAAATTCAATCAAACTAACCTTTACGCCCAAAGCAGTCTGCTGGTCGTGAACAGTGTAATACCTTTCTGACATCTTTGTAGGAATGACAGTGTTTCTAGGCACGACTACAGACATCACACCACCTTTAATATCCGTCCCCAAACTTAGCGGAGTGACATCAAATAAACTAAACCCTACAGTTCCAATACATAAAGTTATCAAGTGAAATGAATGGAACTCAGAAAAAAAAAATGAAAACTATAACCATAGGCGGAGGGAGGCCCATTGGGTCTTGTTCCGGAACAGGGGTAAATTTCGGAGAAACAAAAAATGTCATATATATCTATATTGGTGATGGAAAACAACGTCTATAGGTAGTATTAGAGTATTTTTGTCACTACAGCACAACTCATTACTTATTCATAAATTGACATAAAATTAATTTATTATACTATAAACGAATTCTAATTGCAATAAAGACCTAATCATATCTCTTTTCTCCTTATGCCTATTCGATTTTTCCCCAACAACCATGAAATTGTCTAGCGACAACGGCAATTCCACTAGTTTTGATTCTACGAATTACAACTGCAAATGTAAAAAGAGCATTTTTCAGCTTTGAGTTATATTAAGAACAAGTTTTCAAGTCGATTTAGCAACTAATTTGCTAATGCTAATTTAGTGAGATACATTGAAAAAGACTTATTTAATAATGTAGACGACGAATGTTTTTGCATTTCTTTCACAATATGAAATCTCTTCGTGGTTGTTTATAAAAACAATGATTGTGTAGTCTGTTATTTTTAATCTATGGATGAATTATGCATATATAATTAATTTTAATTATTTTTTATTAAATAATTTTTATATATTTATTTATGGAAAGAGGACAGGGTGGTTTGAAATGCTGGCTCAGCCACCGACTATAACTTAATTCAACTTCAAAGAAGCTACGCAATAAGCATGCACGAGATCGAAGCTAGTCGATAAGGAGTAGTCGAGGAACTATAATATTAAAAAAAAAATGCAACCAATATTAGTTACCAAGTCCATCTTGGTCGCTACTAAGCATTGCTCCAAGGATGGCAGCACCATAAGCCACGGCTTCGTCGGGGTTGATCCCTTTACTCGGCTCTTTGCCATTGAACTCCTTCTTCAACATCTCTCTTATCTTAGGGATTCTTGTGCTTCCTCCAACCAACACAATCTCGTCAATCTGGCCCTTCTCCACCTTTGCATCCTCCATTGTCGACTTCACCACCTCTAGTGTCCTCTCGAAGAAATCCAAATTCAAATTTTCAAATCTTGCCCTCGTTAGTGGCTCCGAAAGGTCCATCCCCTCTGTTAAAGAATCAATCTCTAACCTAGCTTGTGTTTGACTGCTAAGTACCTATTAGCCATTTAAGTGTAAATATTAGAGCGTGTAGAGCGAAATATAAGGAAAACATTAGTGCATTTATCATAGTAATTATATTTCCTGTTGATATTTGAGTACTTTTCATAAGATTACCCTTTTCACCCTCTCGCATTCCCTCCGCAGCTTTCCAAGAGCCTTCCGATCTTCACTGATATCCTTCTTGTACTTTGTCTTGATCAAGTCCACAAAATAGTCCATCACTCTCTGGTCGAAATCGCCACCGCCGAGATGCGTGTTACCTCCCGTTGCAAGCACCTAAAATTGACAAGGGTTGTCATACCCTACTCTAAAAGGTGGTAGTCGATTTTGCGAGTTTATTTTAATGGTTTTTCATTTTCATGTTAATGGTTGGCTTGCAATCCTTTTTTTTCTTTCTTCTTTCGTTCAGTTAAACTTACCTGAAACACGCCGTTGTCGATATTCAAGACACTGACGTCGAACGTTCCGCCACCTAAATCATAAACCAGAATATTCACCTTCCTCTTCGAATCTAGCTTGGCACCGTACGCAAGGGCACCCGCTGTAGGCTCGTTGATTATTCGTACAACATTGAGGCCGGCGATAGTGCCGGCGTCCTTCGTGGCTTGCCTCTGGGAGTCATTGAAGTAGGCTGGGACAGTGAACACGGCGTTGGTTACTTGCTTCCCAAGGAACGATTCAGCCGTCTCCTTCATTTTCCCCAGCACCATGGCGCTTATTTCTTCCGGCGTGAAAGTTTTCAGCTCGCCGTTAACTTCCAGTTCGACGCACGGCTTTCCATCTCTCTCCACGACGGGGTAGGGCAGGTATTTTAGGTCGTTTTGGACTTCTGGGTCGTCGAATTTTTTGCCGACGAGTCGCTTGACGTCGAAGATTGTACGGCGTGGGTTGAGAGTGGCCTGATTCTTGGCGGCTTCGCCGATGAGACGTTCGGAGCCGGCGTAGGCAGGGGAGAAGGCGACCCATGAAGGGGTTGTCCGGTTTCCTTGGTCGTTGGCTATGATTTCTATCGTACGGTCCTTTCCGGCGACGGCCACGCAGGAGAAGGTCGAGCCTAGGTCGATTCCGATCACTTCTCCGGTTATCTTTTTGTCTGCCATCTCTTTTTTTTATTATTATTTTGGAAGGGCGTGCAGAGGGAATTTTGTTAGGGTTGAATGCGTACGTTGAGCGACTGGATCATTTTGGGTTTCTATTTATAAAAACAAAACGTACATGGGCCTTTTTGCCTAAAAGCCCTAAACCATTAGAGCGCCTTTCCAGTTCCCTCTGATAGCTTTGAACTTGTGAATGTGGGGTGTATGAACCATTCAATGTGGCTCTTAGTTTACCGCGTTCTCGTTCGAAACACTCCCAAGTCCCAAAGGTTTAGAGATGGGGATTTGGCAAGAGGATATATAATACCTAGGAGTGTGGATGAGGTGTCTAAACGTAGGGCGGTTAATGAGCCGAGCCGAGTCGAAATTTGTCTTATTTATGTTCGACTCGTTTATAAACGAGCTCAGCTAGAGTCTGACTCGTTTATAAACGAGCCGAGTTGAGTCGAACACGAGTCAACTCATTTATTAAATCTTGACACATCATTAAGATCGAAAGTACAGATCGAGCTCAATTCTGAGATAATTTATAATATAAATACCCTAATATTTATTTCATACGTGATACAAGTGATTACCTATTGTTATGCCATATATGAGACGTATTTGCTTACATATACTCAATGTATTAAACACCATGTGAGGTGACACATACAATTTTTAATAATTATATGCATCATTAACAAACCAACTCATAAAATATAGATTGATTTTCACATAAGCTGTGGTCGAGTTGGCTCTCTAGTCACAATGTTAGGACATCTCATAAGTTCAAAACGAGACAGTTCATGAGTTGTATTAAACGAGCCACCTAATCGAGCTAGTTCACAAGCTTCACGAGTCGAACAAGGTAGAGCTTTTTTTTTTAATCGAACGAGCTTTTATCGAATTCGAGACCGAGCCGCTCACGAATAGCTCTTCTCATTAACAACTTTTATATGAATGAGTTACGGTGCCCACTATTTGCAGCCCTAGTTGCAGCAATATCACTGGGCCTATAAATTAATATCGATCCAGCAGCACAGTGAACAAGACTCAATCACTGGACTTCGGGGCCCATATGAGTTTAGTTTTCTCAAGCGGCCCAATTAGGTTGGGCTCCCTATCTGACATCATGGTAAAATTTTGGGATGACACGTACACAAATATTGGGTCTGTTTTATTATCTCTATGCAACTGTCATTAATTAACTCAGCAGTAGCACTCACTCTAAAGTCTAAAGTTCGATGTTGCATGTAAAATATATTTGTGCAAAACGACAAAACAAGTTGTAGAGAGTAGGGCTGGATTTCGGTTAGATCGGTTATAACCGATAACCGAAATGTCGGTTACCGGTTAACCGCGACGCCAGCCTTGTCTACCGCCAACCGCCCTACGGAAGCCATCGGTTAGTCGGTAACCGACCGGTCGGTTATCGGTTAGTTGCTCGGTTAATCGTGGTAACTGACCAGACGGGTATTCGGAGAAGAAGGAAAAGAAAAAGAAGGAGAAGAAGAAGAAGAAAGCTGCGGAGATGGGGAGCGAGGGTGAGGAGAGGAGGCTGATTTTCTGATTCACTGGTAACCAAATCTTCCTTTTCAAACTCCCCCACCGCCGACAAAACTTCATACACCCAAATCATCCGCCTTTTCCCCATCTCCTCTGATTCCCTCCGCTGCCGCTGCCGCCAAAATTGACGAATCTCCGATTAACAATCTCCCCCCAGAGACGCTCCACCAGATCTTCTCCTCCCTCACCCTCCGCGAAATCGTCGCCTGCCGATCCGTCTGCTCTGCCCTCCCCTCCCATGTCGGGAGCTTCATCATCTCACCGGTTCCAGCAACGTCCATGCTTCTTCTTCTCTGGCCGGGGGGAAGGGCTTCGAATCAAAAGGGGAAGCGAGGAATCAGAGATTCGTGGTTCGAGGGAAGGAGAATTCGAAGGTGAACGGGGTGGATTTCGACAGCGACGAGAATAATGGGAACGGGAACGGCGAGGAGGGAGAAGAGGATTCGTTTGATTGGGAGGGAGAATGGGGCAGGCGCGGCGGCAGGGAGAGTGAGGGCGGCGCGGCGGCGGCAGGAGACTGCTGTGGGAGGATTCCGCTGTGCTGCACTGCTGCCGACTGTGGAAGGCGAAGGAGGGCTGGCGGATTCGCGATGGTTAGGGTTAGGAGGAGACACACACATCACACATACGGCGGCGTTTTGGGGAGGGTGAGGATGCATCGGTTAGTCGGTTTAACCGGCGGTTATTTACGTCGGTTAGCCGGTTAACCGGCCTTCCCAACCCTTCTACCGCCAACCGATAACCGAATGGCCAGCCCTAATAGAGAGTGATATAAATTGTAATAAATTATTATAATACTACGTAAGGTAAATTGGTTACATGTTTTGTTGCAACATAAAAGTGTTGACCCATATGAGTTGCTTCTTCAACTGGGTAAACTTCTTTATTTCTTTTTTTTTTTTTTCTCTCTTTGGAAAAAATAAGATATATCCTTATGTAAAGCTAGAATTTGACCAAATTATATTGGTCCATATACATACTAGGATACGTTTATTTTCGTGCAAAAAGAAAAGAAAAAAGTTTTCCTAATTTAAAAGTTCTTGTAGCCAAGCCGCGTAGACTACAGCCAGTCAAAACTCAAAAGGATGGGTTCCTGATTCCATTTATGAGTAGTCACTAAACTTCAACGATACTAGCAAATAGATCATTGAACTTTCTTTTTAATGATTTTGTCACTCAAAGTAGAGCCTAACGTGATTGTCACTTTCTTTACCTACTTCAAGTTTTTTTTGTCTCGATCGTTCAGCTGGTTTCAATGAGTTGAGTTGTAGGTAGAAATTTGACATAGAGTAATGTCACTCATTTACCCACATTTACAAGCCAAAGGCAAGCGCAACGACTGAGGTAGGGGGTTTAGCCTCTATCACAAGACACGGGTAAATATTTGGTAAGAAATAATAAATCCCCATTTATGTTTATACAAAGGATTTAACTCACCATTTTAAGGTGACATAAGGTGTAGGGTGTCTGGTCGATGAAACAAGAAACTCAATTCTTGTCATATATGTTAAATACTTATTTATATTTTTACATTTTTTGAAAATATGACAGATCTATTTTTCATATTTTAACTCCGTCACTGGCAATCACACTTGATCCTTGTATAGACTCATCATCGTACCTTCACACTTTGTGCACCAATCAAGCATTAACATTTGTTGTTATTAGGACTCGACGACCAAAGGTTTCAATATCATGTAAAAAATCAACTTATGCTACTTAACTAAGTAAGAAAGTAACTAAAAAAATGTTTATCTCCTATTGATGGTCCATTTGAAATCAAACTCAACCTGGACCAAACCATTCTTCAAGTATGGTTTAAAATAATACCAATGAAACCCATTTCGTACTAATTTGTGTGACTTAACACAATGAGGTATTTTGAAACAAAATGAAAAGATTAGTTATCTTATTAACTAGTCCAAACTTTGATGGCATATCCGTAAAGCATCGAACTTGGAGGACCGATTTGTTGGTCGTTACTCGTTAGAGATCGTTGCCGATCTGGTCCGCAAAGTTTTAAGGACGACGACCATCGAGAAAAGATCCAAAGAACGGCATAACGATCCGCACCCCAAAAGAAAATGAGCAAGAAACTTTTCTATCATACAAAAAGAAAAGGAAAAGGGCAAGAAAAATCAGACAAACAAACCATTTTTGGGAGGCAGAAGGAAGCAGCGACCCGGGCAGCCAGCAGTGTTATTATTCCTTCTTCTTCTTCTTCTATTCTCCCCCGATCCCCTCGGAGAATTCTCTCCCTCTCTCTCTCTCTCTCTCTCTCTCTCTGCCTGCCGCAGCAATTATACTGAAATAACTAATATCTTTGAAGAAGTTAAGGAAAGTGTTCGTTCCCATCAGAACCCAGCGAAAAGGGACACCAAAGGTGAGAGCTTTTCTTTACTCTGTTTATCTCAGTTCTTCCATCCATCCAGCTTTCAATATTTGATCTGTTACTTCGTACTCTCCGTACACACCCTCTTCCTTTTCTCCCTCTCTCTATGATTGACCAACCCACTTTGCTCAATTGTCTTCTTTCAATCTCAGCCTCAAGTGCTTCAACTAGGAAAGAATACCCTTTTCAATTTCAGATCTTCATTTGGTAAAATTGAGAATTTCCGCTGCTTGTTTGCTTGGTCTCCTTAGTTTTGCTTCTGCATTTGTTTACCCATCTTGGTCTATTGATTAGTTAGCAATTTGAATGCTGATAAAGTTTTGATCTTTGATCTGGAGCTGCTACTGGGCTACCCTGCTTTTTTTGAAACTGCTTCATGTTCTCTATGTATTTCTCTGTTCTTCTGCAAGTTCTGAGTGAATTTATCTGCTCTTGAGCAGAAATGATAATGACATGGAAGTTCCCTTCTTCCCCCCTTTTGTGGCTTTTTTCAGAGTTGATTCCTCTCTAATTTGGCTTGTAATCTGAGTGAAGTCGGGACTCAGCTTCAAAATAAAGGCAGTTTTATGTAGAGGAATCCTGCATAGCGGGAATTTGCTAAACCCTAATTCTCTAGTAAGTCATTTGGTGAGCTGTGAGAAAATTTGCTGGCCAATGGAGGCTGCAGCATTTGATGCCAGGGTCTCCTTAGTTTTGCTTCTGCATTTGTTTACCCATCTTGGTCTATTGATTAGTTAGCAATTTGAATTCTGATAAAGTTTTGATCTTTGATCTGGAGCTGCTACTGGGCTACCCTGCTTTTTTGAAACTGCTTCATGTTCTCTATGTATTTCTCTGTTCTTCTGCAAGTTCTGAGTGAATTTATCTGCTCTTGAGCAGAAATGATAATGACATGGAAGTTCCCTTCTTCCCCCCTTTTGTGGCTTTTTTCAGAGTTGATTCCTCTCTAATTTGGCTTGTAATCTGAGTGAAGTCGGGACTCAGCTTCAAAATAAAGGCGGTTTTATGTAGAGGAATCCTGCATAGCGGGAATTTGCTAAACCCTAATTCTCTAGTAAGTCATTTGGTGAGCTGTGAGAAAATTTGCTGGCCAATGGAGGCTGCAGCATTTGATGCCAGGGTTCCACAACCAGAAGGCGAAGAGAACTTAATAGAAGCTGCGAAGCAAATTGTGAAGGCTTTAGGGTCGGGAAAGAATCTCACGGATGATGCAAGGAAAATTTTGGCTGACCTGGGCACCCAATTGTCCACCATAAACATAATCAGTGAGGACAAGGACGGCGACATAGGCGAGCTCGAGGCACAGTTGGATGCAATTCAGGAGAAGATTGCGAATTGGGAGGCTGACCAGTCTATGATATGGGATTCAGGTCCCGATGAAGCTGGTGAGTATATGAATGTCACTCTAGAAGCCCAAAGATTGATTGAAAGATTGGAGAATTTTTGCCCTGATGGTGGTGGTGGAGATGATGCTGGTAGAAGGGATTTGCTACGCAGGGCGCACGATGTGCTTCAAATGGCAATGGCAAGGCTCGAGCAGGAGTTTACACACTTGCTTGTACAAAACCAGCTACCATTTGAGCGAGACAATGTAGCATCTTTCCGTTCAAATGAAGATGATGGTCTCGATTTCAACTCGTTTGTCTCCAATGGTGATGATCTTGAGGACCCGAGTATTAGAGATAGCAGCGTCAGCAGGAGCTGGGAGGAGCTCGCCATTGATATGGTACACCCTGATGCTATCCCGGACCTTAGAGATATTGCTGAGTTGATGTTTGTTTCTGGTTATGGTCACGAATGTACACAAGCATATATCACTGTTAGAAGAGATGCCTTGGATGAGTGCCTGTTCATTCTCGAAATGGAGAAACTGAGCATCGAGGATGTACTGAAATTGGAATGGGGGAGCCTTAATTCCAAGATTAAAAAGTGGATCCGAGCTTTGAAACAATTTGTCCGAGTCTATCTTGCCAGCGAGAGTTTCCTCAGCGAGCAGATCTTTGGACAGCTCGAGCAATCATCATGGTCAGTTTGTTTCATCGAGGCATCAAAGGGATCAATGCTGCAGCTGTTGAACTTTGGGGAAGCCATATCTATCGGTCCTCACAAACCAGAGAAGCTCTTTCCTATCCTTGACATGTACGAGACCCTTTCAGGTATGATTCCCGACCTAGATTCTCTATATGCAAGTGGAGCTGGTTCGTGTGTTAGAACCGATTGCCACGAGCTTCAAAGAAGGTTAGGCGATTCAGTTAGGGCAGCATTTTTGGAATTTGAGAATGCAATCGCGACGAGCACTTCAACAATTGCTTTCGCTGGAGGAGGGATCCACCATTTGACACGCTACGTTATGAATTACCTCAATACACTCACTGACTACCAGGAATCGTTGAATTACCTCCTGAAAGACCACAATAGACAGAATGCTGTTGTTATGTCGCCTGATCTAGCTCCGTCAACAAGGCAAGAAGACGATGCCAGCGGGGAACCTGCTGCAGACGATTACGCAACCATGGCTCTACACTTCAGGTCGGTCACTTCGATCCTGGAGTGCAATCTTGACGACAAGTCGAGGCTGTACAGGGATCCATCATTGCAGCATGTATTCATGATGAACAATGTCCACTACATGGCACAGAAGGTGAAGAATTCAGCAGCATTAAGGCACGTGTTCAAGGACGAGTGGATCAGAAAGCGCAACTGGAAGTTCCAGCAGCACGCGATGAGCTACGAGAGAGCCACGTGGAGCTCTGTGCTGTCCTTGTTGAAAGACGAAGGAAACTCCCATCCGGGATCGGTCTCTAAAGCTCAGCTCAGAGACAGGCTGAAGAATTTCTACGTGGCGTTCGAGGACGTTTACCGGACGCAGACGTCATGGAACATCCCCGATGCTCAGCTACGCGAGGATCTACGGATCTCAACCTCACTCAAGGTCATCCAAGCATACAGGATGTTCATCGGGAGGCACACGAACAGCATCGGTGATAGGCATGTTAGGTATAGTGCTGATGATTTGCAGAATTATTTGCTGGATCTGTATGAAGGGTCTCAGATGTCATTGCACAATCCTCACCGTAGATGATGATTGTGGTGCTGAAGTGTATTTGTATTAGTATTCATTAATCCAGCTACAGATCATTAGGCTTCCTAAGGGGAAAAGGCTGCTACCATGTCTGAAGCTTTCTTTAATCATATACATGTGTAGTTATGTGCATCATGGACGTTGTATTTTTGGTATCAATCATTATGATAATTGATATGTGATGGGGTTCGAAGTTCAAACATACGAATTTTGGTCAATTTTGGATTGCTTAGACTAGCTTTCGATATTTGAATGGTCGTGTTCCAAATACAGGGCATCATTAATGAGCCAATCAATCATTGTACCATCAAGAAAGGGCACGCAGAAAACTGGTCAACGTGCTTGTGGAAATTAAGACAAATTTACTCTTTCATAACATTCACATGATTGTTCATTTGATGCTCTCATTCTTCCTGGAACTCGGTCTGAAACGCTCCAGGGCAGAGATCCCATTAAGCCCTTTTGCATCGTAATGTTCAATGAATTCCTTCAGGGTAGTCTCCCTGAAAACCGGGGGATTCCCGTCCGATATCAGCTCCTTGAGCGGGCTATAAACTCGGGAGGAGTTCTCAGGAAGCGGCTGCGGTCTCAAGAAACAGGCCACTGAAATCCTGGGGCCTATTGATTTAGCAACTACTCTGTGCTGAGAGCTTTTGAATTCCTCATTAGAGATCAACTACACGTTCATTGCCAGAGAATTGAGCATGAAAACCAGTTAGTTTTATAGCAAGACTTTGAAACAAGCACTGTCCAGTTCTGACCTGCAACAAGTCTCCCAGATTTATAACAAGAGCATTTGCTGTGGCTTCACATCAACCCACTGATCATCACACAGGACCTGAAGACCCCCCAACTTGGTCTTGCAGAAGCACAGTGAGAAAGCTGCTGTCAGAATGGCTGCTAGTTCCTATTGTCAAATCCGGCTCTGGACAAGCTGGATAGTAATGACCCAGAAGCAGCAATCCTTCCAAGCAGCCTATATTGTTAAGGTAATCAGCTTTCAGTACCAATGCTTCAGAAACCAATTCAAGCAGCTTCCTTGCCAATCCCATCACTTTGTTTGAGTAATCAGCAGTCGTCTTCCTGTTCCAAAACTTAAATTCGATTAGAAATAGCAAGATTTATAAGATTCAATCTTATCTTACTAATTAGCCTTGCAATCCTACCACTCACAACTCAAATTGACAGAAGACCATTCATTCATGATGAGATGTTAGATATTAGTGACAAGTTTCAAAAGGAAACGGTTTAAGAACGCACCTGCAGGCTTGAGGGAGTTCTTGAGGGTTTGGCGGGCGTGCGGCCATGACACAACGTAAGGTATCCCTCTGGTTAGCCGCCGGCGACTGATATAAATGGAAATTGGAGTTGTAGGTAAACGTCTTGTTCAGGAAGTCCCTGGAGTAGAAGCCTTTCTTCACTTCAGCATCTTGTTCGTGGAACTTTTTCAATCCTTCGATGGTCTTATCCAGAAGGGAAAACGGCTATAAAAAATTGGTAAACGAAACTATATGCAACAAAGGGTATATGTAATTGTAAACCCTTAGTTCAGCATTCTGCAATTGGAGAGATAGGTCGGTCAAGCAGCCGCAAATGGCTGTCCCACATGCTAAAATCGAAACTGGCTACTAATTTCAGCATCATCTTCAACCCCATCTTCAATTAGCCTGATTCAATCATCCAAGTCAAGATGGTAGAACAGCTTCAATGCAACAACAGCCCATTCTGCCGGTCGAGAAAAAGATGAACCTTGCGTAGAAAGATCGAGTCTTTGTTACCCAAGAGAGCAAAAGATCAAGCTTTGTTCGTATCCGGTACTGTATAACCAGGTCTACCAAGAACATTCAAAAGCAAAGACCGAGTGACGTGTTTTTTTCTACAGAGTAGGGCCATGAACAACGTTACAACGACCCCTCCACTCCATAACCCACACAAAAGCTAGAAATGTATAGGCGCCAAAGACTTCCAAGCAAGTCCCGCCATTGACTTACTTCCATAATATCATCCACGGCCTTGCAAATTGCAATTCACCACCACCCATTTCCCCAATCCATATGGAAGCAAACCTTCAATCAACACTAAGAATAATAACAAGTACAATCCCCTTGGCTTCATTCTCTACCCGCCGGGAAAAGATGAAGAAACAGGGCATTTGCTCTGTTTTCCTTCTTATAATCATCACCCTGAATCCCTCTCCCACACTCTCCGCCGGCGACTACACTCCCATCGACAACATAGTCGTCGATTGCGGTTCCACAACCTCCGGCAGCAACAGAGCCGACGACCGGAGCTGGGACGCCGACAACCCTTCGAAATTCCTCCAGCCCGGTTCGGAGTCGGCTTCTTCCACACCAACAGAGCATTCCACAAGGCTCGAAAAAGTGCCTTACCTCTCTGCCCGATGGTCTCGCTCCAACTTCACCTACTCTTTCCCAGTCAACCCCGGCCAGAAATTCATCCGCCTCTACTTCTTCCCGGCGACATACTCTCCCGATTTCAACAAATCTGCCGCCTCCTTCTCCGTCATCGCCGGCCAATTCGCCCTCCTCGACAACTTCATCCCTGATCTCCACCCTCTAGCGAAGGAGGACGGATTCCAGTTAGAATTCTGCCTAAACGTGAACCCTAATCAGCAACGTCTCAACCTTACCTTTTCCCCAACCCCCGCCGCTTACGCTTTCGTCAACGGCATCGAAGTCGTCTCCATGCCCACAAATCTCTACTACTCCGACGCCGGCGCTGGGCTCAACATCATCGGTAACGGTAATCAGCAGAGCAGTATCCGAAACGACACCGCGTTGCAGCTGATGTTCAGAATCGACGTCGCCGGGCAAGGTATCTCTCCCGACGGCGGCACGGGGATGTATCGGAAATGGAGCCCCGACGATGAATACCTCCACATCGATCCTCCTCCGAAATCTGCTTACTACAATGACTCGGTTCCTCTGAACTCTATTTACAGAAACGACTCGATTCAGCTGCAGTACAATGACGAGATCCATAAGCTCGTCGCCCCGGCGGCGGTTTACAGAACTGCCCGGGGAATGTCCAACATCAGCGAATTGAACCTGCAGTACAATCTCACATGGAGGTTTCCGGTCGATCCTTCGTTTACTTACTTTGTTCGGCTCCATTTTTGTGAGATCCAGCCACCGATCAACGCCAGGGATAACAGGGCTTTCTGGATCTACATCGCCAATCGAACCACCGCGACTTATACGGATGTGATTCAAGATGCCGGCGGGAATGGATTCCCCTTTTTCAAAGACTACTTGGTCAGAATTAAAGCTGAGGAGGAGAAGTTGTTCGTTGCTCTGCATCCTTTCCCAGATAACAGCGCCCATTACAATTCGATTCTGAACGGAGCTGAGATCTACAAATTGAGCCGGTCGGGTAGCTTGGCCGGACCGAATCCCGCCCGCCCCACCAACCCATCGTCACCGGTTCCGTCTTCCTCCTCAACCACAAGCCCGACTAGATTAATCATCATTGTTGCCGGCGGCGTCGTGTTAGGTCTCGCCATGGTCTCGCTCCTGCTTCTCTTCGTCCTCCGCCGGAAGCGGAAATCCAAATCCTCATCGAATTACATCGACGGCGGATCGGCTTCCAAATCGATGCTGCCGTATTCATCCTTCGCATCAACCAACGAGACATCCAAAGATGGCTCCTCGAATCTCCCCTCGGAGCTCTGCCGCCGATTCTCTCTCTCGGAGATCAAATCCGCAACCGGCGACTTCGACGACAACTTCATCATCGGAGTGGGAGGCTTCGGCGACGTGTACAAGGGACTCATCAATTTCAACGGTGGCGGCGCAACCACCGTGGCAATCAAGAGGCTGAAACAGGGGTCGCAGCAGGGAGCAAACGAGTTCCGAACAGAGATCGAGATGCTCTCCCAGCTCCGCCACCGCCACCTCGTCTCCCTGATCGGATACTGCTACGACGACGAGGAGATGATCCTCGTCTACGACTACATGTCTCACGGCACCCTCCGCGACCACCTCTACAACAAATCTCAACAGAGCTCCCCTGCCATTCCCTGGAAGCAACGATTGGAGATCTGCATCGGGGCAGCACATGGTCTAGACTACCTACACTCGGGAGCCAGTAACACAATCATCCACCGCGATGTGAAGACGACCAACATCCTCCTCGACGAGAATTGGGTGGCGAAGGTGTCGGACTTCGGGCTCTCGAAGATCGGGCCCACAGCCGGCGCGGCGAACGCGCACGTGAGCACGGTGGTGAAAGGGAGCTTCGGGTACCTGGACCCGGAGTACTACCGGCTCCAACGGCTGACGGAGAAATCGGACGTCTACTCCTTTGGAATCGTCTTGTGGGAAGTCCTGACTGCTCGGCCGCCGGTGAATCGGGCAGGGGGGAACGACAAGAGGAAGCTGGTGAGCTTGGCTGAACTGGCGAGGCAGAGTTGCAAGAAGGGCAGAGTGGCGGAAATTGTCGACCGGGAGCTCGACGGCGAGATTGCGCCGGAGTGTCTGAAGAAGTTCGCGGAGGTGGCGATGAGCTGCTTGGTGGAGAACGGAGTAGACAGGCCGTCGATGGGGGATGTGGTTTGGGGGCTGGATTTCGCCAAGGAGTTGCAATGCGGCAGCGAGGAGCGGGTGAAGTTGTTGGCGAGCGGTGGTGCTGGTGGTGGCGACGATGGGATTGCAGAGATGCGTGGCGACTCTTGTTCGATGGAGGGGAGGAAGAGCAGTGGTGGTTCGGGTATGTTTACAACGAACAGTGAGATTGATTTGGGGCCGTGGATGAACGGAATGATGGTTATTCCGAGTGGCACTATGACGAGTGTGGAAGAGAGTTCCACCAGTCAAGAATACCCCGAAGAAGATGCTTTGTTGGGGTCGAATGTTGTTTTCTCGGAAATTTTGGATCCGAAGGCTCGTTGAAGTTCTTTATGACCAATTTGACTAGGGCCTTTATGCAGGCTAATAATCCATGTACTTGTGATGAGGAAGTAGAAGTTACAATACGTGCGCACCACCGTAAAGTAGAAAGCAGGAAGTTTCGTTGGGCATTGCTATTCGTCGCCCTAAAATACCTTATTCGTCGCTCTAATATTTATTAAAATTACTAAAATATTCTTAGTTTAATTTTTTAAAATTTTCGCCTAAACATACCAAAAAGAGGATTCTACCCCAATCCTCAAAACCGTCGCCAATCCATCGCCCTAGTCGCTCTAATTTGCCCTACCCCATTAACCCCAACTCCGTTGGCCACCAATCTCCGACTCAATGAGTAGTACAGCACCACCGCGGCTCCGGCGGCGATCGCCATTGCACCCGCCGCCATCTAAATATGGGAGAAAGCGAAACGGAACCCCTCCCTCCCAATCGTCGCTTTTTGGCAGTTGAGGGGATAATGATTGATCGATAAGAGAATTTATGGAGTAAAATTGTTAGGGATACGGAGAAAGAAGAGAAAGGAAACCTTTTGGCTGTTGAATGTCAAGGAAGAAGAGGAAGAAGAAAAAAAATGGCGAGAGAACCTTATGGAGTCTTCTTCCTTCCTTAGCAACAGCAGGTCGGCGGAGTGGGGAAATGGGTGCGGCGGTGGGTTCGAGGAATGGCAGCGGTGGTCGGACGGTTGGTGGGTTAGACTGCAATCGGAGTTGGCGATTAGTAATTGATATTGCACAGGGCTATAAACGTTAATTTAGTACAATTTAGGGCGAAATAATTTAAATTTTAGGGCGACGAATAGCAATTCAGTAAATTTAGGGGTTAATTGCATGGTTGGTCACTGAGATTATAAAAACCGTTCAAGTTTGGTCACTCGAAATATTTAAATCCATTGGTGGTACTTCAGTTTACTGAAACCGTTCACGTTTGGTCACTCTCCGTCCAACTCCGTTAACTTTTGCTTACGTGGCAGTCAACTCTAAAAGTTGACCATTAAATGTGTGACGTGACAATTAAAAATAATTAAATAAATAAAATTTAATTTTTTAAAATTTCCACCTCATTTCTAACTATTAAAAGGATAAAATAAAATTATAAATTATTAAAATTAAAAACGAACAGCCGCCGCATTCTTGGCCACAAACGGCGGTGGTTGCTGTCGTTCCCGCTCGGATAAACCCTCCGAAGCCGAGACCAACGCCGCAAAAGTACCAGAACCCTACCAGGCCTCCTCCTCCCATGTTGTTGCTGCCGGACCCTTTGGCGGTGGTGGTGGCAAATCTCTTGACGACTTCAGACTGTTTCCATTCCACAACATACGTAATCTAAGAAATCCCAAAAACTTTCTCATTCCAATCGAGATGTTCATAAATTATTTTAATTCTTCTTATTAAGAATTGGAGTTGAGAATTAACTAATTATTATTACCTGGGGAGGGTGGGGCAAAATGTGACGGTGTAATCGGCTGCGGTACAAGTGAATGTACTTGTGGCGTCATCGTAGGCGTAGCTGTATGATTTAGGGCAGGCGCTCTTGAACACCGACGGCTTGCACGTTGCCGGCGAATTGTACGTTCCCCTGCAGCAATACTCTGGGTTCCCAAATGCATCGCAAGCGCTCCGTCAGGCAGCGCCGTCCTCCGATCTCAGCTCCGCTGGGTACTTCCGGTTCAATTCGATGATGCACCCTGTGGATGAGCAGTCGCCGGAGCCGTTGCTGGCCTCCACAATCATCTGCAGGTTGTAGGCGTCGACAAGGCTGATGTCGTAGAAATCCTGGGAACCGGATCCGAGAGTGAACTCGGCTAAAGTGGCAGGGGGCTGGCGCCGGCCCCGTTGCATTCGATTTGGCCGGAACCGCAATCGGCGGTGGCTCAGGAACCTCTGCCAGAATTGGCGAAATCTCAACCTTGAAGATCTCCCCTCTTACATTGCATGACTTTCCCTCTTTGCTCTCCTCTCTCAACTTTACCATACTACTAGGTCTCTCTCCTTGCAATCGTTAATGCTTCCTACAGTACCACACATAGAACAGGACAAAAGCGGTGTCGGACCTGCCGCCGTTGACTTGGTTTGACGACAGGATGGGAGCGCCATAAAAGACAATTGATTCAACGTGTTTGGAAGTTTTCGATTCAGGTTTAGTCTGGTTTGGAATAACCTTCTACTCGCTTTCGCTGCTTTTAATTAGCCAAAAAAGTCTCAAGTTTTCCTTCTGTTTTTGTTGTGTTGTGTTACTGTCAGGTCATTTCCCAAAAAAATCATCCATTTGATTGTTGTTTAAGGGGTTTGTTCTCGAATGGGATTTCCAAGTGTGAGTCGTTTGTGGAGTTTTGGGTGTGTTTTCTTTTGTGAATTGTGTTTCAATTTTTCACTCTCATTTCCTTTGGTTGTGGACTCTGCAGGTGTTCATTAATTTTCAGTTCTTGGTATTGTAGGAGACCAGCAAGTTCTCAATCCTCATGAGTTTAGTTTCCAGCTACTATACCTCTCCCTTCAAGTTCTTGGTTTAGTTTTATTTTATTTTTTTCATGTCTTTGTGGTTTCTGAATTAGTGAATTTTACAGGGTAGAAACAGCAGAGAAAGACATACAAACTGTCAATGTGCTCTCATGAGGTTGAACCAAGGAGTCTAGACATTAATCTCATCAACATGACATATGAGCATCTCAAGTGGTGGTAATTTGTTTATTATATGATGTACTCATTCTGGAATGGAAAAAATATTTGGATTTAGTATCTGTTGATTCTTTCCAGGTTTTGTGCAGTTTCCAAAGAAACTACAGTAGATACACAAACCCTACAACTCCTAGAAGTGCCAAGTTCATGGTTTGCCTGCCCACAATTTTCGTTAATTATCATTTCCATTGCTTCTCTACCTTTCTCATCATTGTGTTGTACAATCCAAATCACTACAGCATTGCACATTGAATTTCGCTGTTGTTGCAATCTGACATCCTTCTTAACAATGTTAATACGATCATGTCTATAAGATGTAAGGCTTATATTGAAGTTCATGCTTGGCTGCTATGACATAATCATGCACCCTACTACTTCGTTAACCCTTGAGAGCAAGTAACCTTTTCATTCTGATCATTTTCCTTCTAAGATGTCTAAATCGAGCATTGGCCGTTTCCATTTTAGCTTACATTATGTTCAGTTTTTCCTTTTTACCTTGTGATGTATGCATCTTCTGAGTTCTGGTTTACCTTCAGCTGCAACCTTCTGATTGCATTGAACTTTCCCAGTCTACAGGCAGTTGCTGCTTTCGCAACACCAGCAACACCTTCTATAAATTCATCTCCCCTCAGATCTTAATCTTTTCCAACTCCTTTCTCAGCATCACAAACGATGGTGCCTTCTTATATGCTGCAAATGGTTAAAATATGCAGTTTATGGTGGTAAGATGACACGAGAATGATTTTGGATGTCCCAAGTGCAGCTTTACTTTACATGAAGGCTAAATATTGCTGATTGAACGCAGTCATATATTTTGCTTCAGTTAGTGTGAAAAAAGTAGTTGGGTAATTTGCATTTTGCCTCATGTCATGAATCACCCATTTGAATTGTAAGCTCCTTTCCAAGAGGGATCTTTATGATCAACATGTATGGACCATAGGTAAAAAGCGTATGAAATCATCTAGATTCTTACTTAAGATGGATAGAATGCAATAGCTCTATTGAGATTTCCCATATGAGGAAATTTTATCTTATTTCTTTAAGTTCAATTTCATTTCACGAGTCCTATGTTGTTATATAGTGCACCTGTAATGTCATTCTTTTGAGAATCTCCCTGTTTTGAACTGTTGTTTCTGGCATTATTGACTATAGAACCAAGTCCTTCACTAATTACTTGGTTTTCAGGTTACTTGAACATGTTCTTTGAATCAATAGGATCTTACAGGTTTCTTCGTGTTGCCTCTCATGTCGATATCTTTCATTCTCCATGTGACAATAATTAATTTTATCATCATTTTGGTTTACGTCCTGGCAAATGTGATGTATATACTTTATCATATTTTTCTCAGCACCAAAAGGCAAAAACATATCCGTAGAAATCTTAACTGTGCATATGTCAGGTTGTGGAGGAGGATTACAACTGTGGATTTCTGCTCTACCTGAAGGACATTACATGGTACAAATTCTTTCGCCTCGCTCATTCGTTTGCCTCTTCCATTTTACTGCACCTTGGGAATTACAATTCATCTTTGTGGAGCTTCCTTTCACCCTTGGTGATTACTTCAGCTCTTTGGATAGGGGTTAATTTGTTCAAAGTTATAGTTCTGCAACACATATATCATCTTATATGTAGTATAGGAAGTTGAATCTATCCAAAAGCCTGCCCTCGAATGTAGTTCATGTGAGTTCTACAGAATATCGTACTATTAAATTGATGGGTATGAGTCTAGGTTTTGAGTTAAATTTAAGTGTCACGATGTGCTATTCACTACCCTATCACAGTCTGAAACTAGGTCTAATTTAGTTGCTGATATTATATTATTATTCCTCCTATTACCGAGTTGTTTTAATTTACAGTATGCATCAATTTATGCTTCATTCATATGTATGTTTAATCACTTTGCTATTGCTCCCCTCACCCAATTTATTGGTAATTTCGTAGTGTCTCCGATCACACAAACAATAGCAACATCTAGGAACTCTTAAAACAGCCACTGCTGCACTTTATCACCTGCTACCCCAGGTTTACCGTTCGATAAATTGTCCATTTATTTGTCTCATGGTATTCTATTTTTTGCTCCACTCATAAACCTGCTCGATGAAATGATGAGGAAATCATTCAAGACCTCTCATTATATATTTGAATTCATAGACCAAGTGGCCAAGCTTGCATCTTTACATGATTGTCATTGGTTGATCTGATTTGGATAGCCTGTCAAATTAACCTGGAACCAGCACAGCAGTGATCAGTTTGAAGTTTTTGCTCATTGAGCGATCGGCACGGCAGCCGAGTTCCTGGGTAAATGTTGTACAACTGTGATTTGGGGAAGCAAGGGTTCAGAGGGTGGCGATAGGAGAAGCGACAGGTGGGTTGGAGCTGTCGAGTTTAGTGGGGAAATGCACCGGCCTCCTCTACGACCAAGCAAGGTCCACCAAACATGGATAGATTTGAGCGGCACAATTCAGTAAGAAAGCTGCGACCAGTTAGTAATTTCCCATCCTCTGTAATTTCAGTTCTCTCAATTCTGGGTTTTACAGATTTATGAGCTTGACAGACTGGAGAAGCCCTTATATATGGTGGATCAATTCGAATTGGGTTTTTGGTTTCTTAGTTCGTAGAGGACCACTGAATAAAGTTGTTTCATTTCTTGGTTTTTGGTTGTTTAAATTTATGTTTGATTGCTGCTGATACTACCAAGTTGTGCACTATTTTTTATAGTGAACTGTTTGTCATCGCCATGTTGCCAATCTTTACTAGGAATCCAACTCTAACAGCAGACCGTCTCCTCATTTCCACTGCCTTTCTATCCCAGCTCATGATCCTCTATGGCAAGACTTATATATGTGTGATCTTTTTGGTTGTGTTTTGTACAGGTAGCATTATGATATTTGGTCGTTCTGTTGCCCTTTATTATTGTCTATTACTAATTTCTAATAATTATATACTAATTCAAACCTGATATGATCTCACATATATGCGCGAAGCGTAGCGAGCGGGTCTTTGCTAGTTCCACATATATAGCAAGATAGGAGTGTATAATACTGTCAATACTTATTTCATGATCAATATCTCCATAGCAGAGCACTCTCCTTGTATAAAAGCCCCTACATAACAATTAACATGCAAAATTCTTATGCAATCAAATCGCTTATTCATTCATACACTAGTAAACACCTCTTCTACATTGCTACTAGACATGTGAAGCATAAACCTCGCTTTTCCTAATTCTATCCCATGATGAAACCACCCGGCACCCAACTATCATCGACGACAACAGGATCGGGTTGGGATATCGTAACGCTACGGTTTGTATAGTCAAATCTGTATAGGTTTCGTTCTTCCCATTCCAGATAGTAAACAGAGTTTTTCTTGAACCCGAATTTTGTAGCGCGACACCAATAACAACCCAGGTCGCTCCAGAAAAATGCTCGATCTCCCAAATGCTCGACCTCTTCCCAGACCATCATTTGCGAATCCAACTTGAACGCCTGTATATCCATAACTTCACCGTATCTGCCAGGAGTTTCAAACTTGACGAAAAGTAAGAGTTCGCCTCCACATTCTACCAAAGTTACTTGCAGCTGGTATGAACCTTTGGGGCATTTTTTATGAGGAGAACCACGTTTTGGTACAGGTTTGCTTGTGTACCTTTCCGGGGTAAGTTCAATCGAAACCATACCGGACCTCTTTTTCGGGAACCCATATATCTTACCTTTGTGGATCGTAGCTCTTACGTTTGGTTTGGATCCTTTCACCATATGTCTGTGTACTGTCCATTCACTGTCACCATCTCGCCAAAGCATTGCAAAGGCATCATGCTCCATCTCTCGTTTTTCATCATCCTCTGCGTCACTCTCTGCTTCCCGTTGGCGCTCAATTTCACCAAAAACCATCACCGTAAATTTGGATCCGCCGCCCGGGGACGAATGGAGAATGGCATTGGAGCAGGTGAAGGGTGTCTCCCAAGTCGGCAGTGTCGTCTCTGCCATGGATTTCAGATCCAATAGGGAACACCGACGAGCTTCGACATCCATCAATACTAAAACGCCGTACGCAGTGCTGCTATATACTTGCTTCCCTCTGGTCCTCGCAGCTAGCTCCACGCTTCTTGGATGGTCGGCCGTAGGCCGCACCTTGGCTAAGTCGACCAACATTTCTTCACCCTCTTCATTGGACAACGTTAGAAATGGTCGCCGCGCTTCTTGCTCCTCCCTCCTCTCCTTGTCATCATCATCATCTTCCGATTGCTTGTGCTCCAATGAGAAAGACAAGTTCCTAATGACATAATGCGGATGAATACGGTAACCACGACATTCTGCTGCATTTTCCGCGATCCTTGGCCTCTTTTTGGGCTTCGACGACCAACGCAGCTGTGACCCGGCTAGAAACTGGAAATTTGGGATCGTCCAGGCGCGATTCAACATGAGCTCCGTGTCGTACAAGTCGTCAATCGACGGATGCCCGGGTTCGAAGGAATGGAATTGTTGGGTCGAGAGAGAGTAAAAAACATGGTGGCTTTCATGAAATATTGGGAAGTGAATTGTGTTCTTCAATTCTTCGTCGTTGCAGGTCATGACTGAATTGCAGTACCCCGCATGACCAACGAAAATCATTTCGTCTCCGAGATTGGCAACAGGCTGCCACTGTTTTGTGGGTTCATAGAGCCTGTAGATCCTCACCGATTCTCCCATCCGACCAACCACTATGCATATCAACTTTCCCCTGCATTCCACTAGATAGAGCATGGTGCGCGCCTCCTCCTCCAAGAACGTATCAAGTATCCGCCACATCTTCTTCTTGGGATCGAGAACTCCCAGCCTCCCATCCTGGGCCAGACAGTAGAAAGCTCCGTTGTGGAAAACAGGGGAACAATTCGAATTCGACCACCAAAATTTCCCTACGGAGTGCTGCAAGTTGGTGCGACACGGGCTGGATTTGACCCGAATCGTCCCGTTTTCTCTCGCAACCAACTTACGAGGGCGAGCGCCGGTCCACTTCATCACGTTACGAACACCGTCAGCATAGAGGTTCCAAGAACGTTGCCCTCTCCGGATGAAAGCAACGTACACTTCCTTGTTGGAGCGTATGTCGCCGAGGCAGAACACGACGCAATCTGCAGACGTAGGTGGCGCCGAGAAGCTCATCCGATTAATGCGGGGAACTACGAGGTACGATCCGAGGTCCGGCAGGTCGATGGTGTCTTGTGTGGATGGGTGATAGAAGAACAAGTGTTTGAGCCTGGAGCAGAGCAACCATCCGTAGCGGGAGCAGTGAATTTGGGCGTCAAACAGTTTTGAATGAGCACTGATGTAATACGTCTTCTCCTTGGCAGGAGAATAGGCTTCGCAGCAACAGCAACTCGAGGATGAGCCGCCGTCATGATCAGTGCCGCTTCTGGAGAAGCCCAACAACAGTGGAGAATCGACTCTGTCGTAGACGGCCTCGTCGAAAGCAGCTCTGAAATTCCAATCACGGCAGGTGGATCTGAAGTTGGAATAATCCCTCCGGAACAATCTCTGCCGTATCAAATTCAGAACCTCTTGGGGGAGGTTGGACCATGATCTTAAATCGCTCATCTCGTTGAGAAAGATTCATGGGGCTGATCTGTCCTTCTTTATAGAGAGAAACTATTCCCGACTCCTTGCCCAGTTGGGAATGACCGAATAAGTACATAAGCCGAACGACCTAATACGTTACGGAAAATGAAAAGGTTAGAGAAGGGACAACGAAATTATGCAGCAACGGTAAAATCAGATTGCCTCTTTCTAGTTACATCGTTAGGGTTATAAATTTTTCGAGATTATGTATTCCTATTGACCTAGAGCTAGTATAATACTTATAAATTTTTCTATTTTATGTATTCGGTCCAGTGTTATTTAAAATTTTGTAGGAAATTGATTCAGATGAACATATTTAAACCACTGCTCTAAATTAGCCAGAGAATTCTAGCACCAATGATTTTTATTTAAAAAAAACATAAAATTCTAAAACATAAAAGACGGAAAGTTTAAAGTTTGATTAAATTAAAAAATCCTCTAAACTAAAGCTTACCCACCCTATAAAACAAAACAAGTACGAGGAAACGAATGGAAAATGGATTCCTCCGCTAGTTAGCAGCTTGGGCGTTGAATTTTTTTTCCAATCTTTTGATTAAATAATTATTAAAATAATTTGCCGAGTAATCATTTAGATTGCTTAGCTGATTGGTGCACTAGATAAAAAAAATAAAGTTGATGAAAAATAATTGAAACATTAATTGATTAAAATTTTAGTTAATGAGATGATGAATATTGTGTTCAATAATACAATAATGATTGAATTTTGAGAAACGACTTTAAGAAATTATTTTTTTAATGTCTAAAGTTGTTTTGGGTGATAGTTCAAGTCACAATGTTAAATAGTAAAAAAATGACCAAGATGTTAAAAATTAGAAAAGTTGAGCCATACGAAAATACCCTTTAAACAAAAGTTAAAAATTAGAAAAGTTTAACACTTTGTTTGATCTATTATTCTTGATAATGCAAGTTATCTTTGGTTCAAGAAAGAGAAAGAAAACAAACACTTATGTCTCTTTTCATTGAAGTAAAAGTGTAAAACCCATATTGGTGTAGGCAAAATGCAAAATTTACATCAAATGTTGATATTTTAAGGTCCAAGGAGATCAAATAAGCCAAATAAACACTGTATACACTGTATGTTAGTGAATGGTATAAGATTCATTATAGAACCTCTCCCAACAACTGAGTGATTGGGATAAACTGGTTTTTTACATGGTATCAGAGTCTGTTGTGATCGGAAGGTCTTGACTGGCGGCTTTCGTTTGAGGGGGTGTGTTAGTGAATAGTATAAGATCCATTATAGAACATCTCCCACCAACTCGAATTATTGGGATCAACTGATTCTTGACCGTGTATATTATTATTATTAGAATAATTAAAACGTAAGTAAGAAAAAAAACACTGTTCCTTACGACTTTTCCGGGTTACTGTTCACGGATTAGTTTTAAATTATTTTTTAATGATTTAAATACAATTAATGGGATTTTCTGCTACAACCACCCCTAGGGTATACCTCCTCCATGTGTTTGCATGGGACTAACCAAGTACCAACCAAACCATGTCATAAACTCTAAATTTTCTTACGTGCTGCTTTGTTAATTATTCTAATAAACCTTCCAATTGATATTAGAAAGTAATAGTGGGTTTTACTCTGATTGACCACATGTTCACTTTATAATAACATTCAACTCTTGACATTATTTTTAATTTGGCCTCATGAGTCACGAATACGGCTTGCACTCTTCCTCTTGCTATTATTAGTTGCTTTGGCTTTTGTTCTGATCTTTTAGATTATGCTGACATTAAGTTGTACAAGTTGTTTTAATAATTTGATTTTATTATTAGACCACACATTCTGAAAAATTTATATAACACTGTTCTATATTAATTAAACTAAAAATATATTATGTAAATCTTATGGAAGGATAGTTATTTCTAATGTATCAATTGAACCAAACATATTATCTGAGTCTTCTGTAATGATTAATATATTACGTAAAGCTTACAGAGAGATAGTCACTTCTATGTATAAAATAAACGAACAAATAATATAAGTCTTTCGTGATATAATTTTGAACACAATTTTCTCTATTATTTACAAAACTGTCGACGGTATCATAAATTTGCATTGCGCAAAGACTGAGAAAGTCAATTATTTTTTATTATTGTAATAAAATGTGATACTTTTTATAATTTAATTCTCTCTGAGTCTTCCATGATATAATTTTGAACACAATTTTCTCTATTATTAACTAAAATGTCGACGGTATCATAAATTTACATTACGCAAAGGCTCATAAAGTCAATTATTTTTAATGATATTGTAATCAAATGCTATTTTTTATCTTAATTCTTTAATTATCAACTAAACTTCGTTCTATTATTATTTATTTTCTTATCAAATTGCATTACGAAAAGGTTCTGTTAGATAAGTTCACTTTGACACAATAGTTCAATCAAATGTGATTATATTGTGTAACTTGATTTTATTATTGGACAACAAATTACAGAAGATTTGTATAACTTTTTTTTAAACAGAAGATTTGTATTAGACATGTCATTTATTATTAATGAAACTGTTGATTATCTTATCAATTTGCATTAGACAAAGGTTCCATAAAAGTCAGTTATTTTTTCGTGTCCATTTAATCAAAGATACTTTCCATAACTTAATAAGTTTATTATGATCTATAATATTCATCACATCATTAACTTGCATTATGCGAAGGTTTCATAAGACAAGTTAACTTTTACATAATAATTTAAGAAGTGATATTTTCATAGCTTGATTTTATATTAGTAGACCACACATTCTGAAAAATTTACATAACACCGTTCTATAAATATTAAACTAAAAGTATATTGCCTAAATCTTATGGAATGACAGTTTATTTCTTATGTATCAATTAAACTAAGTGTATTATGTAAGTATTTTCTAATGATTAAGATCTTACGTAACACTTATGGAGGGATAGTCACTTCTAATATAGAAACTAAACAAATAGATAACGTATGTCTTCCATGATATAATTTTGAACAAAATTTCTCTATTATTAAGTAAACTGTTGATTGTATCATAAATTTTTATTACGGAAAGGCTCTGAAAATCAATTATTTTTAATGATATTTTAATCTAATGTGATACTGTTACAACTTAATTATTCTATTATTAATTATATTTTGTAACTTGATTTTACTAGACAACACATTACGAAATATCTTCATAACATAGTTCTATAATAGTTATGTAAAATTTATTAAAATTGTACATAGAGGTGATGGAGATATGTGTCCTAATTATTCGATTTCAAACTAAATTATTAAATTAAATTTTAAATATGCTTAGTTAATCACCGCAGCCAAGCGGGGTCAAAAAACTAGTAAAATTAACGAGAGAAAGACAAGGCAGGTTCACGAGCTTAGCTTTCCGGTAGTAGATGGAATCATAATTGATACATACTACAGGGTAGGTGAAAACACTACCGACAAAACACACTAGAGCCCCACCCACTAATAATGAGACCGGACCACTATTGAAAGGCAAGCAGATCCATCTCTCTTTCATTCCAAAACAAAACCCCATGAGCAAGATGAATCCCTCCGCAGTTTGGCTGGCGGCTGCAGCAGCGCTCGCCCTCCTTCTCTGCACAGCCAACCTCCCTCCGCGATGTGGAGCTAGCACCATCGATGCTCTGGCTGCCACCCAGTTACTGGCTTCCGCCGCATCTGCCGGCGGCGCCATTGATGACGATGAGTTCCTGATGGAGTCAGGGAGCAGCAGCCAGTCGCTGAGGATGTTGCAGGCGGGAAGCCAGAACGTGTATAACTCCATCACCCGTAACCAGCCGGCTTACAATTGCGGCCAGAATCGGTACTACTGCCTCGACAACGCCCGAGACCGGAAGCTCTATTGTGATCCCAAAAGCCGCGATCCGGCCTGCCACCCTTGAATCTTCCTGTCTTTTTTTCTTACAGTGTTAACCTGCATTTCGTTAATCACTACTGTCAATTGATTGTTCCAGCTCTGCTCTGTTCCTCCTCTGTTTTTTGTGGGTTTTGTTTTACTTTAATTTTTATGTGTCTTTTGTTCAGTGATTGAACTCCAATCACTCGCACGGATTGATTGATCCAGCTCTCAGCTACTATATATATATTTGGAATCAATGTGAGCTCGATCGATGTTGTTGCTATGATTGTTTGAGCCATCATTGGGTGACCCGCTTAACTCTGGGAGGTATGATTCCTTCTGCCTAGCTTGTTCCCTTGCATATCTAAGCCTCCCTGCAAACTCCATTATGTTCGTTTGTATGTATAGAGAATGTACCACTGATGAGCTCAAAATTCATGGTTGTCCACTGTCACCAGTTGACTGTATCTTTCTGAGGAATTTCTGGATGAGTTCACCCTACTCAACTGCTCAACCCTCATCACCACCTTCATCATCATATAAAGACACACAAGATCATTAATTAGATGTGTTTTTTCCTAAACTTGGATTGGGGTTCGAGTATTTCCTTTGGTATTGTGCTTTTTTTTTTTTGGTAGTAAAACGGAGCGCTAAGGGCACCCCAACCTTTAATTAATAGTAACCATGCGAGGGGTCTGAACCCCAATCGTATCAAAGTACAGTAAATGACTCAAACGCGAACATGGGAGTTCGATGATGTGATCGTCAGGCGGTAGCCCATGCCCTAAGGATGCAAGATAGTCTGCAACCACATTTCCTTCCCTGAACACATGTTGCGGGTCGACTTCCCAATCACGGCCTAAGAGTCCACGAACTTGATTTATAAGTGTGAAATGAGGATGGCAGTTTCTTGCCTCCTTAATCAACTGAATGATCACCATAGAATCCACTTGTGCCACCACTTTTCTATACCCCAATCTCCATGCTGTATGCAGGCCGTACACCACCCCCGCTAGCTCCGCTCTCGTCACAGTTCCTCCTCCCAAGTTCCTAGAGAATGCCATAATAAACCTTCCGTCCTGATCGCGGATCACCCCCCAGCTGCTACATTCCCCGCCACCACCGAGCCATCCGAATTTAAACTCATCCACCCCGCAGGCGGAGCCCTCCAGCCGACCAACACTTCAGCACTGGTTCCCGTAGCTAGCCCAATCCTAGAGAGTTTTTCGGCAGCCTCTTGGATCTGGTATTGTGCTTTAAGTAATGGAATATATGCTTCAGGCGCGCGAGGAACACTGGTCAGAAGATAGAAAATTAGAAAAGAATGATGATCTCTGTTATAGGATTCGCGTCGATCTTCTTGGTGGTGGATGCAGCATGATAAAGGAATCAGTTGATGTTCTGGACACTGAATAATATCAAAATAAACAAAGGCAAGTATCTTATAACCAGTGGCGGATACATGGGTTTTTAGGGGTGTCCCGGGACACCCCTAAAATTTGGAAAAACGATTATCTAACTCTCGGTAGTAGTTTTATATGGATAAAAAAAATTATAATTGGTAATCCGAGACACCCTTAAATTTTGAAAAACGATTATCCTGTCATCGGTAGTAGTTTGCGTATGATTAAAAATATATAAGTAGTACTCTCTGTTATTCAAACCTAGGACACTACTATTATTAAACATATTCTCTAGGTTGCAACTCATTTGTTGTTTTATTTTAAACACTATGTTATAGTAATAACACTATTCTTTATTCCCAATTATTTTCAAAACCTAACAATTAAACTCATTCGAGCTATCCTTAATTTGAATTGATTTTATAGGTATAGTGCAAGAGTTGAAAGAGTCTTTCAAGATTGAGTTACATCAGGAACAATGTTAGAAATTGAATATGCGATCAGTTCGAGAATTATTGTCTAATATGGTATATTTGCACTAATCAGATATTTTTTTTATATATGAATTATTTAATTTAATTTTTAATTAAATTTAATTTTTGGAAGAGGACACCCCTATAAAAATTTCCTGAATCCGCCACTGCTTATAACAAACATATGTCATACTTATCATAAAAGAAAAAGAAAAAGTTAACAACACGAAATATAATAAAATATGGCATTTTCAAAGTCACCAAAATGATATACCATATCCGACCCATTCACTTTTTCATATTTATCTTTTCTTTTATATTCATTATTCGCCCATTATTCTTTACTGCTTTGTCTTTCTTTCATTTTAGTTCAGGTTTAAAATTGTTTTACACATAAAATCATATTAATTCTGATATACAAGGTTACATCCATTTTGATGTATTTTTTAGCAAAAAGTTCTACACCATGGAGACTTGTACATCAATACGTATACAATGTACATAATTTTTAAGGCCATCAAAGGTTTGCACATCTGAGACTTGGTTTTGCTAAGTCTCTTGATTACTCAATACCAATTAACTTTGGTGTCTACTTCTTTGGTAGAGTCCTATAAACCTTCGAAACTATATCAACACTTTGCATCTCTAGTCCGAAACTCTATAAGCTATTTACTATTGTAGTAACTCACTCATTCTCTTGGACGAGTTCATCAGGTTTCATAGTAAACATTTCAAACTCCTGTTTGAACATGTTAATACGAGAAGTTTTGATGTGCGAAATACCTTCATAAGCAGTTTGAAATTTATCCCTTTTTCTGTTGATTTGCACAGAAACACTCAATGTTACTCCTCCAACCATGAGGCACAATACATCATATTGTAGCTTTCACATTATGTTGGAACTTCTTCTTTTCCTCTTCTTACCATTTCCATGTAACCTCCTTGACTTCAAATGGACAATCCACGACTATGTCTCACAAGTCGAGATCGGTTGAGATGGTGAAGAGTTACGGTTCTTCCATTAACTGTATCTTATACACCATTAAACCAAGGAAGACGATTTCGAGAAAATTCATCAGTCAATTACAAAATGTCACCTTTTACCGAAGCCATTTTCAATTTCGTCGGAGATTGTTAAGTAGGCCTCTTCAATCCATCATGTAAGTACCTTATTTATGAGCGCCATCACTTTCTTCACGGTCACCTTAGCTTGTTGAAGTCTTGTTGTCTGAGACAATAGCCCTATGCCCCCCGATTCAGCCCATTTTGCATTGTACTCCAAACTTCTACCATTACCCGACGTGACAAACATCACCATTTACATAGCAAGGTTTTCTAGACGCAATAAACTCTGCAGCCATCTCCGTTTCTTAAATTTACTATCTCTCCATTTGCAAAACAATTTCACCTCACAAGTATACCGTCCGAAAATGCGGGGGAAAGGGAATGGACGTACGGTGCAATTGGGTACAATGTTAACTTCGATGGACTTAGACTGAACTGGGCCATGACGTTCGTACACTGTAATTGGACCGGTTCGATGGGCTTTAATAATGCCCATTTAACAATGAGGATGGATTCTCTTCCTTCTTTGCATTTTGGGACAACTTGAAAGGACGTTCATTACTTCCCAAGGTGCATGTCTTCTTTCCATATTTAACATCTGAAGGAGAATATTCATGCATGATTTCTCCTTTGCACTTATGGAAAGATCAACCGTGATTTTCAGTTGTCCAATCACATCAGTTCCAGATCGTTTGTGTATTTTATTTTTTTTGTTAAATTTATGTGATGACATTCTTCTAAATAACACATACATACATTGATCTCATAGTTAAATTAAAAATACGTAAACAAGAATAAACACTCCGATGATCATAGTTTTGAGTTGGAGAAAAAGGAAGAAAAAAAGAAAACTGAAAGGACATGATCTGAAATCATTGAACTGCTCACCCAAAATAAATTCTAACCTTAATTTCTCACTTCCATTTCACACATAGCCTTTATTGACCCCAAAAAAAAAAAAAACCATAATACCAAAGGGAACACAGCACGTCAGTCGTATATAAACAAGTCTTTCCTAATCAAACTTCCCCCACAAGTCCAATACAAAGTCATCATTTCCCCACAACCCACCAATCATTTCCATCATCAATGGCTTCCTTTCCTTCTTCTTCTTCTTCTTCTTCCGTCGTTACTTCTTATGTTCTTCTTCTTCTCCCGCTCGTCGCTGCCAGTCTCAGATACCCTGCGGCGGCCACTTCACCAAGGAAAAATAGTAACGGCAACGTCGTTGGAGGAGGAGGGCAAGCCGAGAGGCTAATCCGATCGCTGAATTTGTTCCCTAAGCACGGCTCAAACGTCGTCGTACTCAACGATGATGAAAGTGATCAACGGCTCTCATCCATCGACTACATGCCGGCGGCCGGGATCACGGAGAAGAAATTGAGCTTCAACGTTACCGGTGCCGGTGGCGAGTCGGTTCAGGATTTGGGTCACTATGCTGGTTACTATTCCCTTCCTCGAACCATCGGCGCCAGGTTTGTATGTGAAGGAAATTGAATTGATTAGTGATTGATTATGAGTCATTTGATGCTCTATTAACCAATGATTTGATGATGATGCTAATTAATCTCTGTGTGTGTTGGCGCCAGGATGTTCTATTTCTTCTTTGAATCAAGGAGTAGTGTGAACAAGAGCAAGGCTCCAGTTGTGATATGGCTGACTGGTGGGCCTGGTTGCAGCAGTTCACTGGCTTTGTTCTATGAGAATGGGCCGTTTCATATTACTGACTCTTTGGGCCTTCAGTGGAATGACTACGGTTGGGACCAGGTATGTACATTTTTGACCAAATTCTGGAATGTACACACTCATTTCCATTAAAAAAAAAAAAGTCCAGACTGTCAAGATCTTGACTTCAGTTTGTGGGTGTGAACTGTGATTTTTTTTTGGTTATATAACTGAACTGTGATTTTGGTCAGGCATCGAACATTTTATTCGTGGACCAGCCGACAGGGACAGGGTTTAGTTATACAACCTCCGAATCCGATATTCGCCGCAACGAGACCGGTGTTAGCAACGATTTATATGACTTTTTGCAGGTTTTTCCGTCGTTTTCTTCATGATTGTTTTATGTTTCGGGAATTAAAATACGATCTGCTTGCACCTGTCTGATTGTTTTTTATGTTTTCTACTTCGAACCAGGAATTCTTCAAGGGACATCCTCAGTTTGCCGGTAACGATTTTTATGTAGCCGGAGAATCATACGCTGGCCATTATATTCCTGCTCTTGCTTCTCGCATTTACAGAGGAAACAAGAACAACGAGGGAATTCACATCAACCTTAAGGTACATAATTCCTTTCTTTCTTCATCTTTCGTTTGTCCGAATTTGGTTGTTGGTGCAGATAGTCTTCCGTTGGTACGAGACTAGCACCTATTGGGTTTACGGTTCCTGGTGATCTCAATTGACGAATTCAAGAGATTGAGGATTTTTGTAAATAATATGACTCTCATCGGACCAATAATTAAGATCCCGAGTAGATTGTTTACCAGAACCCTGATGTTGATCAATGAGGTTTCTAACCTATTGGTCTCTGTTTTCTCTCTTCCAAAAAACAGGGGTTCGCTATTGGGAATGGGCTAACTGATCCTGAAATCCAGTACAGAGCATACCCAGAATTTGCTCTGGCTACACAACTCATTACACAGTCTGATCACGACACCTTGGCCCAGCTCGTTCCCCCTTGTCAATCTTCCATCAAAGCTTGTGGTACATATCAGTTAGGCCTTCATCACAAAAATTTGGTTTTTTTCTTTCTTTCTATGTTACTGATCTTGGGTTCAAATAAAACACCGCACAGGTTCAAAGGGTGGGAAAGCATGCACCGATGCCTATTTCAACTGCGAGGACATCTTCAATCAGCTTATGAACCTAGTCGGCTCCATCAACGTAAGGACAACTACTAAGCTAGTTTATATTGTTAGGTTTAAGGTTGTAATTAGTAATAATAATCACCATAATGATGAGCTGACAATTCATGTCGGGCGGGTTTTCGGACAGTACTATGATATCAGGAAGCAATGTGAGGGCTCGTTGTGCTACGACTTCTCCAGAGTGGAGCAACTGCTAAGCGACCAATCTGTGAAGGAAGCAATTGGGGTGAAAGGCATAGATTTCGTGTCGTGCAGCGACGACATCCATCAGGCCATGATCGGAGACTACATGCTGGACTACGAGCTCGGAATTCCCGAGCTCCTGGAAGATGGGATCAAGGTCCTCATCTATGCTGGAGAATATGACCTCATTTGCAATTGGCTAGGTAAAAACTGCGACTTTGGATCGTCTCTTCACGTGAAGTGATCTCAGTTGTTAGATTAATGGTGGAAGTTAATCTATGTGGTGTGGCTTGCAGGGAATTGGAATTGGGTACACGCAATGAAATGGTCAGGACAAGAACAGTTTGATGGAGCTTCCACGGTGCCATTCATGGTTGGAAGCACAAAGGCAGGGGAGCTGAAAGGGTATGGGCCTCTCCATTTCTTGAAGGTTTACAATGCGGGCCACATGGTGCCAATGGACCAGCCCAAGGTGGCCCTGGAGATGCTGCAGAGTTGGATGCAAGGCCGACTTGGTGCTGTTTAGTTAATTAAGAAAAAAAAGTCAATCAATATCCATTCAGTTGAATATTCTTTTCTAATAAAAGGGTTTAGTAATGACTAGTAAAAATTTGGTGGCATTCTAATTATGCACAATGGTGTGGAGGTGAATTGTGGATTAACTTATGAAATTTTCAAAATGGCCTCTGCGTTTTTATTTGTAAATGACAATATGGATCTGATGATTTGTAACGAAATGGTCATTTAATTGTCATTCTTTATCTAAATTTACATCTAGTAATTTGACCCCATCGAATTTAGCAAAAACCAACAAAGTCAACAACATAATTAAGCACTCAGATAATCAATTCACTAGCTAGACTCATCATTGGGGAACCAATGGTAGGCATGAAAAAGAAATTCAGATCCAATAAGCGATTTATCATGTGGGTTTTCAATTAAAACTGGGTATCGGTCGTCTATGACCGTGATGAGTTTAAAATTTAGTACTACAGAGGAATTTTGAGTGATGGGGGTAGAATTCAAAAATCACAGCAACCTATGGAATGTGCTCGCGTTTTGGATGTGGGGATGATGAGTTGATAATAGCCTATTGTCTTATCACTTTTCAATATATAATTACCATATAACCGATACTTCATAGCCTAAAATCAAATGCAGAGTGTTTAGATGAGTTTTGATAAAAACAAATTTATGGTTTGGATGATTTGAAAGATTGATCACATTACTAGCTAGACAATTTTTTTTATGGAATAGCTAGACAAAATTTCGGATGGAAATTGACAAGAATAATCATTTAGTAAAAAATATTTTAAAGATATGGTACTGTTTTAGTGGAAATAAAAGCTCTGTGACCATTTTGTATAAGGGTCAAAGTTAAATGATCATTTTGGACATGTCTCAATGTTTATCGTAATTATGTAAAAAGGAAATACATTATCCTTTTTCCAATTAAATAAAATGCTAAATTTCATGAGGAAAGTTAAGCATTAGGTAAGAAATTAAAACAAATAAATAAAACCCATAAGGCAAGAGATTGAATTAAATAAACCTTACATTAGGTAAGAACGATAGATAAGTTCATTTAAGCATATATATACTCTTTCCATGTTCATGCGACTAATTACAATTTTCCCAATTAATTAGATATGAATACCATAAACAAAAATGGATGAAAATATGAAAAATTAACAATACTTCCACAAATAACGTCGACGTAGTAGCTTCCATGAATATATACTTTCTTTATAAATTTATTACCAATTCCATGAATATATTTTTTTCTGATAATTTTATTTCCAATTATTTCCTCGACAAAGGGCTATAAATACCAAACCTTCGAACACAACTTTACCCATAGCCAAATCCTAATCTCAAAGTTCTTCGAGTTTTATTAGTTCCAATTACTGTAGTCTGTAGTCATTGCCAAAACCACCATGGTTAGTTTCTTTAGTCTTTTGTTATGTTCTATAATGGCTTTGGTCGGAAGTTCATTCCTCCTTTCCGTCGCCGACGGGAAGCTGGTCAGGACGATGGACAATGATTGGTCGTCGTGGCAGGATGCCCATGCAACGTTCTACGGCGACAAAAGCGGCAAGGATACAATGCGTAAGTTTTTCTACATCAATCCTGCGATTTTTTTTTTCTTACTGAATATTAGCACATTAACTCGACATAAATTTTTTAAGTTGCGGACGATTCGGACTTACAGTGTTGCTGGAATCACAAAATAATTTTTCTAATAACGATATCAACGGTTCGTTTCGGACAAAATAAGGGGTGTACAATTTTTCATTATTTTGTACATTGATAATTTCTGTCCTTGATTAAATTATTGGAAAAAAAAAACATTGTGGTAAGACATTTTGTTTAGTTTTAGTAAATACCAAGCTCTCTCAAACTTAACAATGATGTCTAACTATATCGTACATAAAAACTCGTTCAAAAGATCCAACACTATCAATACGTGCTGATCGCCCTGTTATATTTTGTTTTGGTTATTGATGAATGATAAGTAGATAAAATCTATTAAATTTTGTTTTAATTTCAATATGGGTATATATGTTTTGATCGTACACATAAACAGAAGGAGCATGCGGCTATGGCGATCTCTTCAAGCAAGGCTACGGCCTCCAAACGGCGGCGCTAAGCACGGCGCTCTTCTACAACGGCCTCACCTGCGGCGCGTGCTTCGAGCTCAAGTGCGTCGACGACCCGAACTGGAAGTTCTGCTACCCGGGAGTCGCCCCGATCCAAATCACGGCGACCAACTTCTGCCCGCCGAACCCCGCCGGCGGCGCGTGCAACCCGCCGATGAAGCACTTCGACCTCTCGATGCCCATGTTCCTGAAGATGGCCCCGTACAAGGCCGGGATCGTGCACGTGCAGTACCGCAGGGTCACGTGCGTGAAGCAGGGCGGGGTGAAGTTCGAGATCAAGGGCAACCCCAACTGGATCCTGGTGCTGCCGTACAACGTCGGCGGCGCCGGCGACGTGAAGAACGTGAGGGTGCAAGGGTCCGGGGATTGGATCCAGATGCAGAGGAATTGGGGACAGAACTGGCAGACGAATGTGGAGTTGGTGGGTCAGTCGTTGAGTTTTCAGGTGGTGACGAGCGACGGTGCCTACAGGGTGTTTCGTAATGTTGTGCCGGCGAATTGGCAGTTTGGGCAGACATTTGATAGCAACATCAACTTCTGATGAGGCGGGCAGGCTGGTGGAATTGGGGGCAAACATCCAATTTTAGCTTTTTTGTTTGTTCTTTCTACTAGTGATAGATAGTGGATGTACGTAGTTTGTGGAGTTGTGGATTGATATTGGAAAACAGAAAAGAAGTTGATGGTAGTGATAGTAACTAATAAGAATACCCAAGTTGGTTGGTTGGAAATTGCGATTGTTTTGTTGAGATTGCCATTATGCATGTATTGTTTATAATGCATCGTTTTTTGTTTTTTGTTTTTTTAGCATAAACAATACATGAATTGTTTCTGTGATGTGACAGAAACTATCACTCATTTTGAGTGATTGTTATATCTCAACTTTTAGTTGTGATTGTTGAGGTAGTTGGGTTGAAATTGTTTTGTCTCAGCTTTTAGATGATGCGACATACACAATCACACATACCAAACGTTGTATTCTACAATGCATCAAATTCGACAATACATATATAATATTATACATGCATTCTCAACAATACATCTATTTAACAATCGCAACTTCCAAACGACTTAACTCTTTTTTTTTTTTCCATGGGGATTTGTCATTTTTAGATATTGATAGAGATTATGAGAATGTGGTGACATATCTTGCATATCCTTAGTAGTTAACCGTTTACTAATGTTGGGAAAACTTGATATGAAGCACACAAGGAATGAAACAACAAATTTGTCTTTGAGTTTGGATATAGTATGAGTTTTCCTTTTCCACTTCCATCTAACTTGCAATATGCCATAAGATTGTCAATTCTATGAGTGATGGACGGTAATACGAAGGAATGGGAGAAAATGCAGAAAGCGTCGCAAGCAAAACTTCTTGATAACAATAGCTTCAAAATCTTTATTCATCCAAAACGATAAATGAAGAGGAGAAAGCGTCGAAATAATTACAACAAAAAGTCCTAAAAATTGTCGAGCTGCTAATAGTTTCAATTAGAAGAATTCGCCATGGTTGGGCAGTTTCACCATCACTAGAACATCCATCTCTTCATATTGAGTTAATACAAGCAGGAGAATTCGAGTGAATGGTAAAAATGCGGCGTTTATTTATTTATTTTATATTATCATAAGGCCTCGTTTTAACATTACGAAACCTTATATTGAAGGGAAGTATGATAAAAAGAGCTTACATTGAACGTAGGGTACAAAAGACAGCTCATGTTTAGATTATAGAGTAGGATGAGATGTTGAGTCCCACCGAGATATCATTTCATCTATTGACCCTTTCTTCTTGAAAGCTCACTCTGTCACAATAAGAGTGCATCACTCAAAAGTGTGACGAACATAAGAGGTGTAACCAGAAAATCCTCAAAATTATCAATTAGTATGATGAGAGGAAGCTCTTGTTTTAGAGATATGTTTACATTCACAAAAACATCTTCATTTGGTACAATTATTGAGCTGAAGCACCACGAAAAAAGTAGATTGAAGTGAATGAAACAGGTATATGAATTTAGATATGCACCATCATGTGTCCGTGCCCATAAGTAACTAATGAAATCACAACGATAACCCTCTTCACCTTATTGAGTGTTTGAAAAGATGGGATGTGGAAAGTGAAGATGGTTCAAACTGTATGTAGTGATTTGTAATTATACAAAACAAATTGAGCTTTTATTTATCATAACGCTAATCTCTGTGCGTAATGCAATCAGTGTTCGCTGAATTCCAAACCTCTCCATTCTCATTTTCAGGTCCGCTGATCTCTAACTGCGAACAAGAGATCTCTCTCTGCGAATTCCACTGCAGGTTGCAGCAACTCTCAAAAGTCAGCGGTTCTTTGCCGATGAACAACCAGGTAACCCTTTCTTTCGGAAGAACTCCCAATCGCCCCCTTCCTTGAGCAATCCTTTCCTTCTGCGTTTTCTTTCCTCTGGTTATCACTACCAGTCTCCGAACAAGAGTCCGCTACTCGCTAGATCACGGCTTACTCTTTATGCTTTTCCTCCATTTCGAATCGTTCTGTTCATTTTATGAATTTTTTTTTCGACAATTCCCTAGGCTGTTCATTTGTGAATTGGGATTTCGGCAATGTGTCTTCGATTCAATGATCGAACCGTGATTCAATAGCTATGAGTGTTCGCTGCTGAAGGGGTCCTTGAAATTCCGGGACCGTGGCGTCATTTCGTTTGATGTCTATGGCTAGCCCTTAGTTTTGAGATTTTTAGACACTTGATGCTTCTTAGGGTGGTGGTAAGAGAAAGTTCGTGGTGTTTTAGATGGTTTCTTGCAGATATTTGGATGAAATTTAACGGTTGAGATATAAGTGATGAATGCAAAGTTTGAATCTTGTACCTGTCTGGCCTTGTTCTGCTGCTGGGTTTTCGTTTCGAAACTAGCTTCTTCAAGGTCCTTCATGATCAAACTGAGGAAGAAATGGCTGAAGGGTTTTTTGCTGATGATTGAGATTGATTTGGTAGCTAAGTTGCTATGCTTAATGATAAGAAATGTATGTTGCTTTTCTTACTCAAAGTTGAATTGATTTATTGGTGTGGCATCCATGATGGATATCTTCACTCCCAGTCGGTTAAATTCTGAAATCCTTGGCTTCTCCATGTATAGTTTGAGCTATTGAACTGAGCAGGCCATGTGTTTTTGTTTCTTAAAACTCTCTCTCCCTTCCAGTTTTGGAGCTTATATTCTATCAAGCATGTTTTGCTGTCTGTTACTTCTCCTGAGTTTAAGTTTTGCAAGAAGTTGATAGGAATATTTTTACTCGTTGATTCATTCCAGCTGGTGGTTGACATGCAGATATTTCTTCTCAATTCAACATTGTAGCTGACATACAATGCCAAATGATGAAGTTCTGAAAACTGTTTTCCCTCTATTGAATGGCATAGACCTTGCTTCTTGTATGGCCGTAAGCAAACAATGGAGAGATATTGCCCGGGATGATTATTTCTGGAAATGCCAGTGTGCAAAGAGATGGCCATCGATTTGCAAAAGACCCAACCTTTCAACTACGTCCTACTACAGGCTATATCAGAGCTTCTACAAAAGGCAGAATCATCAGATCTTGCTTCCGCCGAAACTTTCCTTTGATACTTTGGAATTTTATATCGATATATGGGCTGGAGACAAGTTAATTTATTCGGGCATAGTGCAGGGCTCTGTTTTCGAGGATGGAATCAAACTCCCGCCCCATAGAATCTCCAGCGTCCTTAGATATCACCTGCAGGCTACAGAGTACAAGATGATGCTGGCGGTTGAGCCGACCTTCAAACTGCCATTGAGTCAGCCTGTTAGTGTTTCAGTGCTCGTGGGGCGCAAGGACTCCAATAAGGTTGCATGCATCATTCACAAAGCTATGTTTGATTATATTGATAGGTCTTCTTATAGAGCAATGGCATTCGACGCCATTGACATTTCCCCCATGTATCGTTTCTTACCAAACATCCGGGGATGGATCTCGCTGCTTTTCATGGAAGGTGGAGATGAGTGTGAAATTGATGTTTTTGGCATTCAGATGGATTTCAATGATGTTGCCAACTCTAAGGACGAGGTATTGTGGCTATTGGACATGCTTGATTGGAAATGAGCGGGACTGCAGAAACAAGAATCCTTCCAACATGTGGCATGTTCGTACTCTGGATCTTAATTCTGATTTCACCAATGTGTCGGTAGTGTACATTGGAGATTTAGTCATGACTGTGGAATCATCTGCATAGATTTATTTGCAGGTCATATGATTGTAAATACCCTGTCTATTTGATTACACGCATTTTAGGGGTATCTTAGGAATTAGGATTAGCCAGCAACCATTGTGCAGAACTGAATAAAGAAGAAGCTAAAATGATTTGGAAGATCTGTACTCTTATTCTGGTTTTCTTATATACTCCTTGAAGGAAGTTGAAGTGGAGTTCTTTTCTTTTCTGCCCTGTTCTATTATTCCCAAGCATTTGTGTTGTGTATATTTGCCGTCTGTCCGAATACCTTCAACCAGCTATCATCATTGTATTCGGCATTCGCTATCATCATTGAGAGTCAAATTTACCACACAGATGACAGAAGTATGAAATGACACATAAAACTCGATTCTTTCATTTCCATCAAGTTGCTCATCAGCAGTTCAAGTTTCTTCAGAATTTCTCCAATACTCGTTACGTTAATTCCAGTAAAGGCGGAGTTAGATTTCTAATGTGACTCGAGTACTGGCTGTGGCAGATTAGAGTTTAGTTTATGAAAACAGTAAAATGGAAAACAATGGTTGAACTCATTCCTCGACTGCGTCTTTCAGTCGCTACAAAAATAGCAAACTCTTCACCAAATTCACAGTGGTGCAGCCAAATGGTGAAAAGATCCTTAAGACAACATAGAGTTTATTATGAATTTTGTTATAGAACAAATTTAAGTGACTTTTTTGTTAGTATCCCGTAAGTATGTGATCGTTACGTAATTAACCAGCTTTCGGACTCTGTTTCACTTGCTGGCTCGCCATCTCTCTCTCTCTCTCTGATTCTGGCAGCAGTGGTGGGCTGGTGGCAAAGCAAGAAAGCGAAAGCATGGCTTCCTATTTGCTTCTCTGGATGCTCTTTTGCTTCCTCAACTTAGGCCTCCTCGCTATCGTCTTCCACGCGGTACTCACTCTGTTCCTGCTTTTCCATTCCACAACTTCCGCTTCTGGTTTTCCTTTCCCTTTTGTACTTCGCACTACTTCGATGGTTGCCGGAGAAAAAGTTTAGAACAAAAATGAAGGATAACTGAGATTTCCGAGCTGCCGTGGCAGCTAATTTATAAAACAATTGCTGGAATTTAGGCTTGCTAGTTTGAACAATGATACTGAGTTGAGTTTCTAGCTCCCAATCGAATTTGAATCCTAAAGTTCATTGCTTTTCTCCGTCTGAAATTTAGGGTAAACCTTTTTGTAGCTGTTGGCCTTGACAGACATGGAAGCAGACCAACTTGACCCATTTGAAGCTACAGCTCGAGTCAATAGGTTCGTGTTGCCTGAGTTCATTCTACAATGGATCTTATGCTTTCTCTTCCTCATCACTGGTCACTGGGTCATGGTTCTCATTTCACTCCCCATTGCCTGCTTTCATTTGACGCTGTAAGTACCGATCTAGCTACCAACATTGGGGGTCTAGTCGTTGTTTGTACTTTGTTGCTTTCGGGTTCATGAATCTGTGCCTTTAGCCGTATCCTTGGAGAAGAATTATCTGATCAGTTCTTGGTAGTCAATTTTTGGTACTAGTTTCTGCTGTGTGGTCTAATTGTCATTCTCTTGAATTGTGTGGATGTAGCTACTTGAAAGGTAAGCATCTCGTCGATGTCACTGAAGTGTTCCGGAGTCTTGATCGCGAGAAGAAGCATAGGGTGATCAAGCTAGGTATCTACTTGGTCTTCCTATGCATTACCATCTTCAGGTTAGACCTTCACTGCTGCTAAGTTAAATCATTGGTTTCTGGCATAGCGGTTTTTCAGTGACCATTTGTGTTAGTTTATGGTCCTTCGTTCATCACGGTTAGTGGTGCTGATGAGAAATCAAACATTTACAGGGTGGCTCTGGTTAAGTTTGATACTCTGAGAAATGCAGCAGCCGATCCCGTGTATTTCAGGTGATCAATGGTAGCTGGTTGATAACAGTGGATATGAGAGATGCTGTTGGTACATATTTCTGGTACTGCAGCTGCCCTCCTCACTGTTGTTAGATAGAGGAACACGTTGACTATGTTTGTGTGGCTTATTTATTTGAGAAGATATGGAAGTGTTTGGCCATGAAATGGACAAGCTTTTGTTAGAATGTTGTACTAAAGCTTAGTTCTAATCTTACGTGTGAAAGCTCTGAACTTCCTGATATAAGTTGATTGGTATTTATGCACAAAGAAGTTTATTGTGATAAGTGCTAGGGATTCATGATTATGCTAATGGCCTTCAACTTGGAAAGGAGAAGAAGTTGTTGAAGCAAAACAGGTATGATAAGAACACCAGCACCTTGATCCTTAATGGTCATGAGACGAACTATGAGTTGCAAAAGAAGATTGGATTTGCTATGAGATGCATGGCGCCGAGATTAAACAAAACAAAGCCCTCAACCATTTAATTATAATAATCTCTCATCATTTAGGAATGATAAGAGGCAAATGAAATCACCCTGTAAGATGCCATAGTGCGTTTTCAACCAAAATTAACTGAATTTTGAAGCAAAGAACAGAGCACATCTTTCACGTATATTATGGGACATCGAATAATATGTAAAATTCTTAAAAAAAAAAAAGAATAATATGTAAAAGAATCAAAAGTTAGTATATTTTCACTCATTGTTTCCAGTCATTCATACCAGTTGACGTCCGCCAAAAAACCACATCTGCGGCGTCAGGGGGTATGAACAAAACTTAATACGATTTTTTGACAGTTACACGATTAAGATTTTTTTTTCTCGAAAATAATACCTCTAAGTTCAAAATTAATGATATTATCACTAAATCAAACTCTTATTTGTTTCTTCCTCATAATTTGTTTCTTCCTCAAGGGCCAATTGTGTTAGAGGCAAGGAACGTTGCCTCAATGTGACTTGCTTTTGATGAAATATACACCAGAATTTTATATTAATTTTTATATTAGCTAAATCTTTTTCATATTAATTTTTATTAGTCAAACCTATTGATATACTAAAAATTAGTCAAATGTTAACTTTTAGTTAACAATTTTGTTAGTAATATTAACTTGGCAACATGATACTGACTTGGAAGAGACACATGAATGCCAACATTCCAAAATTTTAGTAATTAACTAAGAAAAGAGTTACAAAATTATTAACGATAAAGTAAAAATGGCTAATAATTTGATGCATTACAAAAGATTTGATTAATTAGTAGCATTTTAATAGGTTTGGCTAATAAAAAAGAATCTAAAAAAGATTTGGCTAATAAATAGTCATTATTCTAAAAAAATCATATAGAAAAACTATTAGAATAATTTATTTCCACAGCAGCCAGATCACTGTACACCCAGACTGTTTTTCCTATTCATCCAAACTGAAAATTTCTGTTCACTTCACCCTGATTGGTTGGCCATCTGTCCTAGGCCCGTCTTCCTTCAGTCGATGATTTGGGTGGCACGTGTCTCTCCTTTCCCCATTTGAGCCTGCATTGGAGCGATGCGTTTCGCCATTTTTTCTGGCCTGCATTTGGCTTTTAAATAGTGCATCATCTGTTTAGGTTTCTCCAATGTCTGCACAAGAAGGTTTTACAATCTTATGAAAACAATTCCATGGGCTGTTTTCCATTTCCATTTCAATCTTAACACCAAATTCATTAAACCTCAAAGCAACATCCCCATTCCTGTATTTTTCATATGCAACCTGGCATCATGATGAAGTTCAATGATGGTTTTTTTTTTTTAATATTGGGATAAATTTGGTTGTACATGTGTTCTCGATGACAAGGTTGGAAGATACTAAATGGTTATGTTTTTGTCATTTCTACTTAATTTAGGAGTCACTTGGTTTTCTTAGATTTAAACGACAAACCGCTTTCTTCTATTTTTCGCATCTTATAGGTTGTAAGTCATACAATACAATTGATTGGTTTACAACCTATAATAAAGATTTGTCAAATAAGTAAACTCATGTTTTCCATCTCCCGACTCAGTGTGATCCATGCGTGAATGCTGAAGTAAAAATCATGTCACCGCTATTGGGTCAACATGTGGTGCCATTGTGCATATTTATTTTACAAAATGGTCAATGATGATAGTGATGATTGTTAGTTAGCTAACTTTACTAACTCTGCATTACCTTCCGACACTAATTATCCTGGTCCATAAAATCGTACCGTACCGGCAGTTCAACCACGAATATCAATATTGGAGGCTAAACTGGTGGGCGGTATTTAACGGTACAACGATTGAACTACGGATAAACCACGATTTTACCATAAAATACCCTACCGCTGACTTTTCCGGTGTGATCTCCGATACGGTTTCATAGACCATGCTAATTATACAAATCTCCATGAAACTTATGCAGTAAGCTTACCATGGGCATCCCCGTAATTGACCACCTTCCGGATTTATTCAAATCTCCATGGCCAGCAAATATGCGAGCCAAATTACTTTTATTTGATAATCCAGGGAACCTCAGCACCACGTGCCGCTTGAGCGACAGCGGGGCCTACTAAACCACTGGGGGTACCTGCATATTAACCGGGGCTTTCTGCTACCAACATCAGGGAGGCTTCGCCTCCGATACCAAGAATGTCGTTCGGAACGCTCAAGTGGCGCCACTGGGAATCGAACTCAGGACCTCCCACATCCAGAGCTCAATTGGTCCAGTGGTTTCACTACTAGGCTATATTACCTTTGGCATATGCGAACCAAATTACAAGAGGGCGAGTACCCGAAAAATAGAAAGCAAAACTGAAAAAGCGAAAAACATAAATAAAAATCTATCGCGAAAAAGAAAAACAGAAATATGAAGCGTAGTGAAACTGAAGAAGAGTGAAGAGTGAAGACCATGGTTGTCACGCTGGCCGGCGTGCCACTGGTTGAACCTGGTTCAACCTTACTGGTCATAAAACCGACATGACACCCCTGGTATGACCGGCATGATCGATATACGAATCTCCAAGTAAAATGATCTTATCTTAGTGAATTTAATTGATAAAAAGTCATTTATTATTTGTTTTATGTGTTAAAAAGTTAAATGTTGATGTTATTTGTTGGATTCAAGTACAAATATTTAGGTATTTACGTTAAATGTCGTGTTTAAATATGAGTATTTGTAAATTATTTGTAATATTAACCGGATGAACCGACACAAACCGGTATGTACCACCGGTCGAATCCTTCCACTTGCTAAACCGGCACACTGGCATAAACCGGTTTGACAACCTTGGTGAAGACTGAAGACACAAGTAGGGATGGCAACAAAACCCGAACCCACGGGTACCCACCCGACCCAACCCGGTCAACGCGGGTAAAACCCGTGTTGACGGGTTTTGGGTCGGGTTCGGGTTTAAACCCGCTACACTATTCACCGGGTCGGATTGGGTTTGGGTTTAGGTAAACCCGCCCCATGGGTACCCGCCCACACACATATAATTACTTTCCCGGTATATTTAATATTCTAAATAATATATCTTCCTTAAATAACTAATATTCTATATGTTGTGGAGACATGTATAATTTGTTCTTTCTAATTGCTTAGAATGAAGTTGATATTATGAAGTGGAGAGTGAATAAACTTAGTCGACGAGGAAGAAGCTTTTAATTAATCTTATTGTTTATATATGTTTATCTTTAATTTTGAACAATTTGTATTGATCATTTGCGGTTTGCTTGTATGCTCTAGATTGGTGTTTCTTGTATGATTAATTTGTATGAGAAAATTGATGTTAAACTTTTATTTTGAAAGAAACTTGTTAATATAAATTTTTACCACAAAAATCCACGGGTACCCATGAACCCGTGGATACCCAACGAGTTGGGTTGGGTTTGAGTTTTTCAAACCCAACGGATTTTACCCTGGGTTTTTTTTGCGGATAAACCCATAAATTTGGGTAGACACAACTACACAAGCACAAGGCAAGCAGTCAACATTGGGGTTATTCTCGTGAATTTCTTCAGGACAATTTCCCATTTTACTTTCCCCGCCATTTGTTCCCCTTTCCCTTTACTCCCCCAAAATTTCTTCCTCCGAATTTTAGGGCTCCGAAGCCTCTTTAGCCCGCTCTGCAACTTCATAAGTCAGAATCTGTCCTTCCTCAACTTGCTCTCTTAATGCCCTCCCCCTTCGAACTGGAATTCCTCCGGTTAGTCCAGCTATGAGCAATCCGGCTGCTAATCCCGGCGGTTCTGCTTCGGGCTTCGGCTCCCAAGGCGTTGGCCTCTCCAACACTATACACTCGGAAGTTGCGCCATACTTGCCCTTGCCTTCGCTCCCGGTGTTCTGCGGCGCTTCTGATCCGGAACTCCGGCTGTTCGACGAGCGCGGCGGTGGAGACCTTTGGTACTTGAATCGAAATGAAATTGTGGCTCAGTCTGCTAGAATTGCCAGTATGCTTGGCGCTACCGATGTTTCCTACCTGTAAGTGTTTTCTGTTGCTTATTCGAGCACAGGCTTAGTTGCCATTGCTTCTGAGTACAAAATAAGCTTAGTAAGCGAGGGAGTCAGAGTTAGTGGTAATTCTAGTTCCTGCTAGTTGAATTTAGGTGGACTACTCGGTAAAAATGCAATTCCCTGGTAGGAAGGTTAATTAAGTTTGCTTACCTCTATCGTAACACTGATCAGCTCAATTCATTGGTGGAGGCACTTGGATTGACTTGAGAAATAGACTGTAAGGTTACTTTGAGTCCATGTGGCTATGCAGTAGTTAGTGTACCTTTTGAATGTGATGCACTATGCAGATACTCAAACTATTGGGGAAGAGTTTGAAAAGTGCATTCTACATGCAGTTGAATTACAAACAAACGGAATGACCAACTAAATAGGAAGTGCCACTTTATAACGCGTACTTAACGTGAGAATCGTGGGGTATTCGTATAGCAAGAGTTAAATATGTCACAGATATTCTAGAAACTGTATTCAGATTCCGTTTTTGGCTAAGTACACGGTTGTCCCTGACTTGCATTGTTTCCAAAGTCACATTAAGTGGCAACCATGCTCAAGGAGCTTGAGTTGTTCTTCCTTCATCTGAAGTGAGCATCTGATGTCGGGATAGGATTGACTATGTGACCTAATTCTGGAAAGTTTAATTTGGAGGACGGTTTTGATGTTTGGGCGTTTGTAAATTTGTGTTGCAACCTAGTCATTGGCTCTTGTTTGTGTTGGCTGTTGAGATTGAATGTGATTGATCTTCCCTTTAAATCCATTATCTTGACGTAGTTGATAAAGTTCTGGCTTGTGTTAAAGAACTTGAGTTGTCTACATCTGTCATTTTTGGTGTACTACTTTGACGCTATTTATCCCTTTTTTTCAATTTCAGCCATCTTAGGAACGATGTGAGGCCGATGGGGTTGGATAATGTGGTACCTTTGGAACTTCATTACCAGGTTCTGCGGCGCAATCCTGAAGCATATGAGCATCCCACTCATGGTAAGCAAAGTTTGTAGTTTCCCTCTTTCAAGTATTTTTGTTTGTAGATAAGCTTTGTTCCTATGTTGAGGCACATGTTTCCAAGAGTTGAGCAATTGGAATCTGTTTTCAAATCTAATGGGAAGGAAAAATTCAGATAGACTGTCCTGTGGATTCATAATAATGGGATTTTTCAGGCTGTGTCATTTCCTTGAAATTAGAACAAGAGAAATCAATAGGAAGACTGCTTTGGCATCTCTAATTGGATGCAGAAACTTGGTATATGTATTGTCAAGTGATATTCTTAGGCTAAATTGGCTCACCCTTGCTTAACATAGCTATGCGTTGTATGAAACACTTAGATTTGCTCTTGTTGTGGTTTATTGCATTTGTTCAAGTTTCTCAAGTAAGGAGCAAATTTCTGGAAATGCAGCCTTGGAAAACAAGCCTGTTCATACTGAGCCCAGCATCCTTGTTCCGCTTAAAGTGCAAAATGGCAATGATCAGCAAAGCCACCACAGTAGCTATACGCCTAATGTAGGTATCTGAGATGAGTTTATATTAAGCATTTCCTGCTATGGTGATTCTGATGCAAAGGAATATTGCAGGATACTGATGCATCTATGAGAAAACCAAAAGGTAAGAGGAAAAGCAGTGTGGCACCAGTGCCGGTAGAAGTGAATGACCCTTCTGAGCTTGAACCAAGTGACCCTTCTGAACTACAGGGTAGGCATTATAATAACATTTTGGTCTTTTGCACATGTTATATTTGACACTAAGGTATTCATGAAAAAAAATTCCACACTAAGACTAACTGGTCTGTCCTTGTTCAGATGCTACTATTAGGAACTTTTGTGATATTCTGGAGGAATTCCTTTGTAAAGCTGAAGTTGCAAATGATGAACGGGATGAAGTGGAGTGGTTGGCATTACCTGCTAGTGATATTAGATTGCTTGTTAATGACATAATGTTACTTCGTGGAAAGAAACTTTTGCATTTGGTCCCTCTTGAGGCCCTTGTAAGATTGTTACGGATTCTAGACCATCAGATACATCGAGCAGAAGGCATATCAATAGACCAATTGGACCATGTAAGTTTCCTTAACTACTTCTGATTAAGAGGAGTATTTGTTTGCTCTAAGTTCTTTTGCCTCTTGGTAAATTTAGAGGTTGGAATTCATTGGCCAAATTTAGGGTTGGTTTGGCATTTTGATCACCTCGAATCAAAAGGCATCAAGACAAATATCTGTTATAATTTGCCAGTTAGTGGAGAACTGGTGGGTCATTGGGAAGATCCGATGCCTAGGCCAAATGGCTGAAATGTTATGGATATCGAGTATTGATTGGTTCCCGACAAAGGTCCTCCAATCCCAAATACACGCTCCACATCTTCCTCGAGGACTTGTCTTTGAGTCACATTTTCCACAGCATTCTCTTGTAGACATGTGTCTTTTTTTAACATATCTGAGTGCAGATGAATTTACTTTTTAAAATGCATTTTCTGTTTCTGGCATTGTATTTCTTGTAGTATTTGTTTTAATAATCTTT